ATAAGCAGTTGTATTGTTTTTTATGTCTTTAAACATTATGTTATATTATTTTATGCACTGTCATCATTTTTCAAATATTGAGACTTTCATCATGTGACTTTGGTCTTTCATGGTTCTGAAACTGTAATCTTATTGAAGGGGGATTGAGACCATCTTCTGGGTCTTCCGGAAGACAGTCAGGTTATTAAGTTTATATTGACTGGTATCTATTTTTTTTTCTGTTGGAAGACCATCAAAATGGAGGATGGATCAACATAGATACTTTGGAATACTGTCAGAAAATATCTCTGGATCTGCTCCTGTTATTGACCATGTTACCTGTTGTGCATGATTAAAAATCACTGTTGACAGACTGTGCTATTATAAGCATTATTTATTATTGCATCAAAAATTGACAAATTGACCTATTTTGCATCTTTTTTTCCTGTTTTTTGTCTGTACATTTGACAGCTTTGCTGCCTTGTTTAAATTCAATTGCAACATGATTTGTTTGCTTTATAAATCAATATGCACCTTATTTTTGTAGCAATTACCACAAAAATGATTATTAATAAAATCATACCGATGTCGATACGGCAATACACGCGTACATTGCTTTGTTTAGACATTCATGTGTACTGTACTCCTGATGTACATGTGCATGAACATGAAGTTTGTGTTCATAGTTCACGTAATAAGGCGTGTCCGGGGTGAGCTAAAGTTTCGTATTGGTTAGTATACTGAACGCTGTTCACGGTGCTCTTCTAAATATTTTGCGATTTGCGTAGTTTCCTCGCTGACGCCCAGGGGAAGACGACATTTTCAAAATTGAAGAGTATCGTACTTGCAGGAACAATATCTATCTCAGCGGGGATTCTCGCTGTAATTTATTTCTTTTAGGCCACCATAATGTTGGCTTTGTTATTTAAATTAGACTCATCAAAGTTATTATATCATTTTTATTTATCAAAAAATACTTAATCTTCAAGATGGAATATGTCTAAAATATAGTTTACAATAATGAAAATATACCACCTTTCTTTTTTATTTTGAAACTTACCAATGTCAAACTATCATGCCTTACATATAAATTATAGAAATAATTATAAAATCTCCCCCATATAATATATTTTATATTTAAAAGGTTCAGCAAATTCAACTTCTCCCAGACCCTCAATCTTTCATTTATTTGTTTGAAACTTAAATTTAAGCAAAGAAACTGTGTTGTATGCTGAGAACTTTGTAGATATAGATAAATCTGGAAAACTGCATTTATACTAAAAATAGCTAATATACACAAAACAGGAAAAAATTAATAACTTTTGTTAAAATGATAAGATTGTGCTGATTTTTATAAAGAACCTGCCTTTTTACCAAACAAAGCCATTTGGCAAATTTGTAGTAATACAAAAATATGCTATGTTACTTATGGGGTGTACATCACCAAAATATGTGAAAAAAATGAAATTCAATAGCTTTTGCAAAAATAAATGGATTATGCTGGTTTGCCAAAGGAATACCAACAAAGCAACTCTGTAAATTTTAAGTAAAACAAAAATATGGTATGGCAATTATACATTGAACATGCAGTGTGTGTATATAAAAAAGAATCATATCTTATTGTTTAATCAAACCTGTATGTACCTATAGCATCTGGTTATAACACCACAGAAATCTAAGGGTGCAGTGATCTATGTCCTATGTAAGGTACAAATTTTATTTGAAAATTTTCTACCAAGTGGAAGCCACATTTTAAATGCAGTAGAAGTGATGCTTCATTGTCTGTCTCAATGTACAGATATGGGTAATGTCCAACCTGTACATGTTTTTTGGCCAATGTGGTGATGACATACTTTGCACATCCTTTCCCCCTGTGTTCTGGTGTCACATGCAACATCCCCATTCCACCATGTTCATTTGCTATCATGTAGGCAATGCATTGTCCCTGTGCTGTAAACAGTGCAACAGTTGGAAAATTTTCTATCAAACTTTGAATATATGTCCTCTTTCTTTCTGTACCACCATACTTCCATTCACTGTTCACCTGATGTGAGTGTTCTGCTGATAGGACACCTTCTTTAAAACTATCTGGGATTGCCCTGCAAGAAAGGTAATTTTTGTGATAAGTAAGTTTTTAAAAAATGAAATATCAACAAATAGCCATTTACACTTGGGCAGAATGAGGTTATGTGTAAAAATGTACAGTAGATACTGTTCAGGTTTCCACTTTTATGGACAAACATTAATCATAGAACTGATAGAAGCAGTAACATTGAAATAATCTGAAGAGATAAACACATAATTTAAAGTTGAAATTCTTTATTTTTCATTTTAGGTGCAATACATAATGATTAACAGCATAATTACTATTGATTTTTAATTATTGTGCTACTGGCACTGTGGTCATTGCAGAAAACTAGCACAGGGCTTTAGACCCATGGGGGTTCAAAGCCAAACCTTGAAAATTTATTTTATGTTAAAACAATGTGTGAAAAAAACTTTCTAATATGAGATTTAACTTGCTTGTAAATTTGAGAAAAAGAAGTTTCATGATTTACCCATTATGGTGTTATTGGGGATAGTGCATATTGATGACTTTGCTTTGGGGACGACAGATCCAGGTGATGGCTAAATGTCCAGACACATGGTGTTTGTCCATATGTATAACATTTTCAATGCATAAGACCAGTATAAATGCCCAGGGAAAAACAATTAGAGGACGTACTTACATTTTAGGGATGGAACCTTCATCGTTGACATAGAGAATGTGGCATTGTGCTTCATTGTCCTCATCCAACTTTCCTCCATGCTCACTTGCCACTTCACCAATATATTGATACAAAGGACTTGGACAAACTAGACAACAAATGATATGCAAAAGTTCAGTTATTGCCGACTAATGCTGATTATATCTATATCTGGGGCCAGTTTCACAAAATGGTCAATCAATTTGGCCAAAATTGGTCTTTGTACTTCAAACTACTCCAAACCAAGGAGTTATAACTGTTATAACTCCTTGTCCAAACTAAATCCATACACTGTAGCAGTACATTTAAATACAGCTAGGAGTCATCACACATGTAAAGAATAGATATACAGTAAGTCATTACTGTTCTCACAATATATCTTGTGTGAAACTGGAAATAAAGTTTGGTATAAAATTTTAGACCAGTTGTGAGGCTATATGGTACTACGTAGTAGGTCTTTTGTAAAATAGCCCCTGATTTACTTATTTGACTATGACATAATGATAAGAGATACATGTATTATCAGCCAGGAACAAGTTGAACTGCATGAACTATACATTACTGTGCTTATAATATTCTGATTCTGAATGTGTTATAATGCTAAAATCTTCAGAGGTCCTCCATGAGGTCTTCACTCCCATGCTATTTTGCTCAATTACCTAATAAGAAGTTCTGACTCCAGTCAATAAAATCATTCTTCCTTAAAAATTCTAGACCTTTTGCTTCCTTGCCAGATTGAAAATACACCAGGTAGTAATTTATGTGAACCTATAATAATAATAAAAAACAAAAGTTTAACAATTCCTTTAATTCTTCAGAAAGGAGAGTGAGAAAAATAATGCCATTTTGTTATATTCACAGGAAACATATTGTAAAATGTATTTTAAAAAGATATTTACATTTATGTTTCCAATAAATAATAAATAATAATTACATCAAATGTACTGCTAGTATTGTCTCATTATCTTTAAATAATTAAATGTATTTAGCACCATCTGAAGTCATTAATTTCATTCCCTGAAATATATATAGACACATGAACATACACACAAATCACAAATAACAGTAGGTGTATTTGGCTATTAAAAAACTCCCCATGAAACCTGTCAAAATTAGATAACTTGCCCCTAAAATTAAGGACCTATAATCACAAATTATTAAAGTATGTAGACAAGAATTACCTAAAACTTAATGCCATTAACAGAGTAATAAGCTCACTAGAAATACTTTTTTTGCTATAATGTGATATACATGGTCCATTCAGAAGAAGAAAAAGTTAAGTTATCACTGCTATTACCTCACTTTTGGTTTCCTCTGGTTTGCTGATCACTACAGAAAATGATGGCCAGTTATCAGTATAGAATAGACTAGAAAACTTGCTGTTCTTCTGAGAACTCTGTATTGAAGCAATCATCTATTCCAGAATATGCAGATTGTAAATTAAAATTAGTATTTTTCATATTGCCATTATCATATATCATACAGGAGTAGTAAGCAGATCCACATTTTGCAAAATTCCAATGTTTAAAGAATTGAGTTCAGAAAAAATAAAAATATGGAAATTTTGCACAGACATTTAGTCACTCATTACTTACCAACTTACAATAAGATTTACATACACACACATTAATTAATCAAAACTACTTGCCAAATTGCTGAGGAAAAACATCAACAAAAAATAGCTAGAACACTTACGTATAAAGAACGTGGCATGTCTTTCTCTAGATGTTCTAACAGCTGCGTAAGTTCAAGTTGGTTAAGTGGGTTTGCTGTCCCTACTTGATGTAAAGATTTATCCACGCTGCTCTTGGACACTGACATGCTCATATAAATTCTAAACAGTGAGATACATAATGTTCAAAAATGCTGATATTCAGAAAATACAAAGGGCAAGAAATATTAGCAATATTTATGTTTTTATTTGTTAGAGGGGTGTGTAATATTGCCAGTCATTTTAAGTTAAAATCAAACTTTATAAATTTTATCAAAAGTCGAATCCCAGTGTGTAAAGAGGGATTGAATAATTTTTGGCGTATTTTAATAAAATTAAAATTAATAACAAGCACAATACACACAGAAAACGTATCAGAGCCCTGACGCTACACGTACACATCATACATGTAACACATCAGCGACAGATGCTCTCTTCATCTTTGAGGTGCCGCAGTTGGAACACCTTGTACCTTATATGTGAAGAATATATATAAAGAATCCCAGTTTCCTAAATGTAAGAAACCAATCTCCTGTAAGAAACCAATCTCAAGCTTGGGGAACTTATCAGCAGCTAAAATAAAGGTCTTCCATTGGAAAATTTTCCCTGACACCCACGACGTGTTCTAGTTTCCAATGATTTACCTAGCATCATTCAGAATCGCAAATGTATTTGCGGTAACGTTACCCCGCCCCCTCCTCCTGATTTGTTATTATGCTACGGTGACGGAAATCCGAAATTGTGGGCCTTTCATTGGGCAAAAATTTCAAGTGCGGACCTTGTTTGTGTACTTCCGCTCTTTGGATACCAGCGCACAAAATGTTTTGAAATGAATTGATCAAATCAAAATTCTGGACATCGATTGAAAAATAGACCTTAGAAGATGACATCTCAGTCCACAACATCTAAAGACAGCATAGATGCAACCAGGTAAGAATTTTCAACTTGTTGATAAACTTGGAATAGTTAAATTAGAAAGTAAAAACGCCACATCTTGTTTCTTGCCACCTTCATTGCTTCAATGATCTTGGTCTGAATCCGAGATACGGCTACTACAACTGCAGTGCATGTGTAAACAAGATGCTGTTATTATCTACCTGATAGTAAGCGAAAATAAGTTTCATTTGTAGAATTGCAAAATAAAATCACTGAGAAATTTGCATAAGATTTCTGCAAAGCTACATTGTATACTATGTACTACCAGTAGTATATACTGTAAACTGTACATGTACCTGAAAACTGAAAATGCATTGGTCTGTTTCTTTTGTTTCTTTTTTTATATATTTATATTATTGTCTTCAATTTTATGATGTTTGTCTCCTTAATGTTTAGGGATGATGGTAAATGGCTGAGTGCATTCTATGACCCAGTGGCATCTCTGTATACGTTTTCCCAATGCATCACACTGTCAGATATTAATGCTGATGGAGACAACAAGCTTATTATTGCAGACCTGGGGACAGGTTCCTATCAGATGAAATTGAAAGTCTACAAAGGTAAATGTGTGCTATAATAAAAGCTAGTCCATGATATTTTTTCTTTATAATACTCTTTCTAAACTTGAAGAAAAATAACACAAAAGGTAATTGTACTTTATTTTAATTTCTTATAAGTATGTTGAATAATAGCAGTTTAAATTTTACAGAATGTAAAAGATGTTTTAACTTATGGAGGGCAAAAAATGCAATGGCCTAAAACTGAATTATTTCAACATTTTAGTTATTTGTGTTTAGTATTTTAGTAATACCAGTGTGTCATGTACTTTAAAAATGAAAATTTGATGAAATAGCATTTTAACACATGATTCCATTTAAGGTACCAACCTTGTATCAGAGAATACATTGATTGATCTCCCAACAGGTGTGGCAACATTTTACATGGATCAGAATGAACCCAGAACACCTGGTAAGTTAGGTCATGTTGTAAACAGTATCAAAATATAAATGAAAAGATGCTAAATAGTTCAACAGTTGCTATAATGCAGAACTGTATTTACTTCTCTGAATGCCTCAGACAGTTTTTATAGGGTACAGGGCAAATTCAGAAGTGAGACAAGTGGGTTAAAAATGTTTACTGAATTAGTTAATTTTTTATCATTTTTATTCCCTTTGATATTTTTTTGAAGTAAGAAATGTTTAAAAAGTTTTTATTTCCATTTTATTTATAAGTCATTACATTTTCTAGGTCATCTTAAATTACTGTAGATCTTACTATAAATTGGATATTTAAAATCTTCATGTTATATTCCATAGCTGTTGCTGTTGCCTCTGGCCCCTATATGTATGTGTACAAAAACCTTAGGCCATACTTCAAGTTCACTCTACCATCTCTTGAAATCAACCCACTGGAGCAAGATGTTTGGAACCAAGTGAGAGATGTAAGTGACAAAGTATTATCAGCTTTAAACATTATGTTTATATATCAAAAATATTACAAGAAGTAATGAATCAATGCAATACTTATCTCAGTCTTGTCATATTTCAGCACAGGATACATCTGGAAAAGAAAAACTTGATTGTTGACTAAGGATTAGGGGGGGGGTCCACCCTTCTGAACAGTCTTTCACATCTTTGACTATTGTACACACATTTGTTGCCTGGCAGTGATATAAACTGTGTTGCTTTAGGAATAATTTTCTTTGATTTTTTATTGTATCTAGGAAAGGATTGATGTAGGAGTATTAAGAGAAATGTTGGAAGGAATGAGGTGAGGAGAGTGATTCATCTTTGAATGTTTTTCTTAGATCTTGAAAATATTTCTCAGTCATTTAAAATGGAAATTTGATTCGTAGTATGAAAAAGTAGTAACACATTGGATATTTTTTATTTAGGGTCAATGCTTCTATAGTTTAATTTAATAAAAAATTGTCCTTCACAATATTAAATCTATTTGGTGAAACAGTAAGGAATCAATAAATATTATTCATATGATTTTCAACTTTAGGGCAGAGGGCACAAGCCTGACAGTACGTTCTCTTAGATTTATCCAGCTGCAGGCAGAAGATTTGGAAGCCTTTGCCAACCAGTATAAACACACACCTCTGAAAAAACAGGTACATTTTGTAAAAAAAAATAGTGTATAACTATTGATAAAACCAAAGAGAAATACAAAAATCTTCCAGTTTTTCAAACGGCTCTTCATAACACATATAGATATAAAACAATTATATTGGCTTAATAAAACAATGACCATATGCTGATATATATGGGTTAATGGCTTTTCTGTTTCTCTTCAGACTGTGATAACCTCTCTAGGCACTATGAAGAAGTCTCTGGCAGAGGAGGATGCCATCAGTTGTCTAGTGCTGGGAACAGAGAGTAAACAGGTGTATATACTGGACCCTGAGGCCTTCACTGTGCTCTCTACAGTGAGTATCCATGTTACTGCCATGTGCTGTACAGGGTAATGCATCATCCATGACTTCTGTATTGTACTGTACTGTATTTGAATCTACTGTATTTACAAAACCCTGCATTTGCCAAAAGGCATTATATAGGTTAGTGGTCAATGATAACGCATTATACCACTCAAATTAATTATGATAAAAACAAAATATGTAAATCTCCCAACAAATGAATTGTTTTTAAAGATAAAGATTATTTGGCAGAAATGTCACAATTTAGTTCCCATGGCTACTTGCTTTTTGTGTATAATCCACAAGCTGATGGATCAAATTCAAGGAATTTCTCATTTTCAGATGAATCTCCCTTCAGTACCAGTGTTCCTGAATGTTTCTGGGTTGTACGATGTGGAGTTTAGAATTATAGTTGCCTGCCGCAATGGAAATATCTACATGCTTAAAAGGTGAGCTTGTTATACCTAAATTTTAGAAGTTTTTATGACTGATGAATAATTTTTGGTAATGTCTTATTTTAGTGATTGAATGATATTTAAGAGAAAATTGATTATGAAATAGATTTGTTTTTTACTGTATCTTCATCTGCATGTGCTAACAGCTGTCCCTGTATATTAAGTGATCAGAGCTTATCTTTCACAACAGCAGCAAAGCTTGGTCTTTTGACTGACAATCATTGATGTTGTTCTTTTTGTAGGGGAACAAAAAATGCACGGAGTTGTATAGAGCTAAACTCCCAGCCTGTGGGATTAGAACGTATGGGAAAGAACATAGTGGTTGGGTGCATGGATGAAACATTACAGTGCTATACAACCAAAGTAAGCATGCTATAATGTCTCTAATAAATATATACACTGACCATAACCATCAATGCCCCGTGTAGTACGTTGACATTTTTATCAGCACTGTGGGTTATGTTCAGAATAAATCATGCAAAGTGAATTTTGTTGTTTGGTGTGCTGCAGATTAAAATTAAAAGACAGCATCTGTAATTTATGTACCATTACATGATACATAAATTATCCACATGGAGCATTTATATTTTTGTTCAGTGAATGTACACATATACTCTCTAGGTTGCATTTTAATCCACAAGTGCAAAGGAAATATTATCTATTGAAAATTAATTAAATAGACAATAGACATTAACAGTAATATCAATATGTAGGATTTTATTTCTTAGTACCAGTACTTAGAACCTATCAGAATGTTTTAGGACTGCTTATTGTTGGTTTAAAATCAATACTGTTCTTTCATGTAGGAACACCAATCGACTTTAGGACACTGACATACTGATATTTTTCCCTTTTTTTTTTCTATAGGGCAAAAAGCTATGGACAATCAAACTTCCAGCTAGCATCACTAGCATGGAGAATGTTGACCACAAATCTAAGGGATTTAAAGCAGTCATGGTGGCCCTGAGTAATTGTGAAGTGCACATCTACAAGGACAAGTACTTAGTGAACATCATCAAGACTGAAGACATAGTGACTGGGATGAAGTTTGGAAGATTTGGCCGAGAGGATGCATCTCTGATCATGACAACTAAAGGTGATTTGACCATATGAGGTTTGATTGTTTCATGACATTGTCCTGTTTTTATTTATTTATTTATTTGTTTTATTTTTTTTTACAAGAAAAGCAGCAAACCTGTACTTGTTTGAAGAGAGAGATTTTGTAACTAATATTTTGTTAAACATTTAATGAGGAATTAGATATAGCTGAAAATTGTTTGTGGACTTAATAATTTTGTATTATGATTGAATTATACCATTTTTTGGTACTATTGCATGCAGACTTTCAAAGTACTTTTCTCATTCCAGGAGGTGGATTGATAGTGAAAATTTTGAAAAGAACAGCTGTATTTGAGGAAAAAGATGCAACAGCTGGGCCACCTGTGTCACAGAATATTAAACTTAATGTGCCCAAGAAGACAAAGCTGTTTGTGGACCAGACGATGAGGGAAAGGGAGCATTGTGTTAGTAAGTATCACATGCTCATGTTCCTAGTTCAAGGAGGTTGAACTCCCAGGAAAGAGGTACTGTCACACAGTGCACTTGAAATATTATGTGAAAAGAGGAATTACATATCTTGGTGAGCCTTTTGATGCACACTAAAATCAGGGCATAAGTAAGCCCAGCACCTGTGCAATATTACTTGGGCATATTTTGGAGGAAGAAAGCCTAGATACAGAAAATAGTTACTGGGTTTACATATTATTTATTTTAAGTGTAATCTAGGTAAAGGGATAAAACACCAGAATTATCAATGTACTCAACATACATCTGCCTTGGGAGTTCAATCCTCTTTCTGTTGATATCCTAGATCCATTGGCTAAGTAATGTTGATCTGTTTGATGAATTTAAAATGATTATTCTATTCTGAAATCCCACTTATCTGAATTAAAGTACTGTTCATAAGGGAGTCAAAATATCACTGAAGGTCCAGTTTAGTAGTTAATGTGTTTTGTGTTTTTGTGTATATTATTTTGATAAAATAATTAAGGTGTAATACTGTTTCCAGGCATGCACAGAATGTTCCAGCATGACTTGTACAGACTGCGCCTGGATGCTGCCCGCAGTTATGTCAAGGCTCTGGAAACAAGTATGAATCCTGTATCAACAAACACCACAGAACCCCTAAAGTTGTCTGCACAGGTGGGTTGTCAGTGATGATTCTCTGGTTGCCTTGTACTGTGGTTAAAATAACCTTTCTGGTCATTACTTATTTTAATGATATCAAAATTGGTTGCTGAAGAGATGTATTTGTTACAGAATTAAAGTGACATCAGCCAAGTTTGATGTACAGAATGTGTATACAACAAATGAACACACCACATTGTATTTTAGGAATGATGCATGCTTAGGCAGTTTGTAGTTGCATCTTGTGTGGGGACAAAATGCTATTTGGTAAATGTTATAGGCCATGCTGGTCTCATCCTGGTTATTTTAGTTAAAATTAATAATAGAATAAAAACAATTGCAAAGGTTTTGATTTCCAAAATAGTACACTTCCTTTTTTCCAGGTGCAGGGAATAGGTCCCACCTTTAAACTGACTGTAAACTTACAGAACACGTCCATAAGTACAGCCTCCTTTAATCTCCTCATAACATTCCAGTTTGATGACAGGCTCTATAATATTCACAAGACATATATTCCAGTAAGTATGGCTAACTTATTTATTTTTTTTGCTTCAGTTGATATGTTGAACACTGTTCAGTGTATTATTTTTTCCTGTTGAGTATATCCCGTCTTGTGAATATTTAATCACATCTAAAAGACACAAATTGATTTTAAACCTTTGGTGTAATCACCGACTTTACAGTCTTAAAAGCCTGACACAAAATTGTTTTTTTTCTTCAGGTGCCAATGCTTGTTCCTGGGTTGAGCTATGCTTTTGAAACCTTTGTGGACTGTCTCAGTGATAAAGGAATTTCTGACACCATCAAGGTAGGATCACTGTACAAGGATCATCAATATTCAATCAATCAATTTTATGACTTATTACAGAAATACTTAACAGTTACTAATGGTCACTTATGTGGCAATTTTGTCAATCAAAGTTTGAACTTATCCAGTTTTGATGCAGTGTATGAGTAAACTTTTTCAGGTAATAAATCAGTAGTATTTTTTATGCAGGTATTTGTGCTGAGGCAGGGGCGCAGTGTTCCCATCATCACAGCAATGATCAGTATGCCAGTCAGTGAGACCATGGTGGTGGTGTGAGCAAGGCTTGATGGAGGGATGGATATTTACAACTGTACTCTATCCCAATTCAATAAGCATAAAGGGTCAGATAGAAACAACAGTCAATCTCAGCCCATTTACTCTTTCAAGTATTTTTGGTATTTTTCTGATACTCCTCTTGTTAGAGTTGAGTAAGGAAGTTTCTGGTTGGTCTCCAAAAACCCCCTAAAGATGTAGTTGTTGTTGTTGATTGTGTTCAAATAAGGCCACAAGAAATCACATCCATGTGTTTTGTAGACACAATGTGTTGTGTAGACCCCAAAGATACTTTTGAACCAATTTGGCAATACTTATAAGGACTTTTTTAAAAAGTTTTGCTTATTTGTGTTGGATCGAGTCTGCCACACTTATCAAGTTATGTACATATTTTTTTTACCGGTTTGATTTTCATGTCGGATTTATTCATGTGGTAAAAATCATAATTCAAAATCATTCTCTTAGACGACAAAAAAATAATGATACTGTAAATTTACTCAAGTACAATAAACAGGATAATGAGAAATAAAAATCTCTACTTTTCATTTCAGAAAAAAAGTTGTATAACATACTCTCTTAAATGTTACCCACAGCTAAGATGTGATGTGACACTTCAGAACAAGAAGGCAGACACTAAACATATCTATGAAAATGATTGTTTAATATTTCTATTCTATACACACTATATCACCTGAGCACAAGGACAGGATATACTGCCACGCTTCAATCTATGGTATTTATGTACACTTTAGTCCTCAAATGAACAAAATTAAATGACACAATTGGATTATGTTAAATTTTTAAGCATAAGAAAAGTTAAATTTTACATATCCACTACAACATGTGAAGAGAAACAATGCTAGACTCAATTTTCTAAGCCAATGGTTCTGTAAGCAAGGTGGAATGGACAAAATTTTGTAAAACAGTATAAAACTTTTCTAAATACCACTACACTCTAAATGGATGGCTGGTTTAAGAGCGAGACTTTTCATCCTAGTTTCCCCCAGTTGCTTGTCCTCCAAATTTATGGATAATGCAACAGGTAGATGGAAGTTCAAGGCAATCTGTCATACTCCTGATGATAATGATTTTGAAACAATAGGATTGTTGCTGAGATGTGATTTTTATGCAGGCTGATGACAAGGGATATTTTCAGTTATGGTGAAAAATAAAAAAAACTTGCTTCTATGTACAATTATTTTCATCACCTTCCTGATTCATGTTCAATACAAACTGGTATCCAAATGATTCAACTTTTGTTCAATAGAAAAAATGTAACAATAGTCTTCCCATTTCTCAACATTTATATCAGTCCTCTTCTCTTTTTATAGTCCTGTAAATTAAGGGATCTTCTTGGCCCGCCATCAGTACCACCTTGTGACTGACGTGGTGTAACAATGACGGGAGCTGAAATGTCAAATGAAGTTGTGATCACATTTAATTCTTTCAAATTATCACAAACAAAATGATATACACTGAATGAATGCAGACATTATCCAGAAACAGCAACTGTGATAGTGAAAACATGGACAGGATCAAGTTATCAAAATAATACATGGACGTTTAAATTATCTGAAAAAAAAATTCAATAAAGCTGTTTCTGTACTTAACATACATATTACCACACAAAACTGCCTGGTTAAACTGAAGAAAACTCAAAATATTGTTTGACACTTAACCTTACTGGTAAAACAAAACAAATGTGTCAGACTGTGACAGAGAAACATTTCAAACAGTCACAGAAGATCAGAAGATCTAAAAAAAAAGGAAAAAAAAAAAAAAACTAGGAAAGAAAAGGAGAATTTTTCACTGAGTGTTTCACAGAACAACAATTTCACAGATAATCCTGTTTAATTAGATGTTATTTCCATGTGAGAGAAAAATCAGCAGCTCTCAAGTATCCAAACCAGTATGAGTGTGCTGCAATGGGTGTACTTACAAACTGTGGGTACATCGAGATCAATTTCGATGTTAAAATCATGCACAGCAAACAAATCATTGGACTGTCTCCTGTCTGGAGGGGGTGCCATGGGGGTGCTCTTTGTGCCAGAGTCCACGACATCCTGAAAATATACAGCACACTTGAATATAAGTTATTCTAAATGATCCAGATATAAGGTTTACTAACAGTGTTCACTAATGTGGACATGTAGTTGTAAATATAGGTAGGTTTTAATCCCTGAAAAATGAAAGTCTTAACTAGGTATAAATGTCTGATTAAAATTGAATTTTTGGTCAAGTGCTTAAAATTGGCTTTGAATACACTTATTGTAAATAAAGTGCAAGCAAACACAACAACAACAATTCACTTACACTGGTATGCAAGTATTAAATCAGTTTTATCTTACATGCTTCCAAGGCAAATACTGAGCTGCACCATGAAGAAAAGAACTGTTGCTTTTAAGCTCATATGCAGGCTTACATGGTTAAGTGGTAAGGAGAATAATAATGTTCAAGTAAATCAAAAGGATTGCCTTTCACCCACCTGTGTTTCCATGTCAATGGACTCTGCCCCAGGTTCTTCCTGTTGTAGTGTTAGAAAAATGTGTAAATAAAAACAGCCTGTATCACAACAAAATTGAAAAAGAACACCATTCTTGTCAGTGAAAATAGTGTTAGTGTGCACAAAAATATGTTAATACTTAAAAGAAAAACCAACTCTTGTGCTTTCAAATTCAAAGTGTATCTGGATTTTAAACCTCTTATTCCTCAATTCAAAACATAATACACAAATCATTTAATAAAATGCCAAACCATAACAAAGCAGCTTTTAATTCAACAGCTCCCACTTGTCAGATCAACAAAAAGGTAAGTTAGGCAATTGAATGAGAACTGTCAATACCAAATCCAACCAATCAAATTACATATCCAGATGTCAGCTCACTGTACCACTGCCAAATCCTACCTCTGCATCTTTCTTTACTTCTGTCATCTTCTTAACTGCAGCTTCTAGTTTTTTTCTCGTCTCTTCATCAATTTCTTGATCTCTAGTCTGAAGTTTATAAAATTCCAGATAAATATTTTAATGTTAGCATTAAGTTGTGCAATGCATAAAACATAAAACACTTTGCTTTTAATAGTAAGATATTCATAATAAGTAACAAGAGTTATAAATTAAATAAGCTTGATCACTCTATTGTGGTGGTGGAAAATATCATATATTTTTACTTTCTAGTTGATATCTCAGTTTCATTTATATAAGAAGAAACCTCAAGATGTTTTCTCTAATTTTCAAGGAACATAATCTATGACTTTTTCTCTTTCAAAACCAGTCTAAATACCTTTGTGACAAGTGTGGGTCGACACTGCCTCCTGGTGAAGGGGTCTGCCTTGGCATTTTTCATCTCCGCTACCTCACGTTTACAAGCCTCTTCAGATGCCACTATGTTCTGCTGCCTATTCCTCTGGTTAATCCAGCTATATAGAAGAAGGCAAGAATGTATTTTTATATTGCAAAATATTTCTACTCTCTAATCCAACATTGTCAAACAGCTTGCACGTAAAGCAAAACATTCTTTTCATTTGCAATTTCGTGATGTGTATCTCATACAAACAAATTTAGCTTTTCATATTCCAATACTCATAATAACAATCAAGCTGAAAAATTGCCAACAAAACCCTTCTTCAAGCAGATCTTTTTTCATGAACATTTATTTGGTACAAGCATATTTACCCTATTCAGCTGTTTTACCTGACAGAACTGATATTGCTAGTTCTCCTCCTATCCAGCTCCGTGGCCCTCTCCTCTAGTTCTTCTAACTGCTGTTTGACCTGCCTCATGGTCTCTTGATCACCATCTAGTTCGGCAGTGTCCTGGTGATACACATGTATGTTAATTACTTATTATCCTAATTGTTTATTCATTATGACTATCGAAATATAAAAGCTTCAAAAATTAATTAATTTTCATCAAAACATCACATTTTAAAAGCAAAGTATTCTGACATTTCACTTTGATGCAAGCAAGGTGATACATATGACAAATCTATAAATGAAAAGCTCTTTATTGTACTGAGAAGAAATTTCTTTTTTCTTTAAAGCGACATGTATTTTGAGTAACTTTACCTTCATTTTTATAAGCTGAGTTTTCTTCATTGCATAATTGTGAGGGTTTTTTCTAAATCTCTGTTTTTCTTGGACAATCTTAAGAAAAAAAAACAATAAATATCACTTAATATTATTCTGTTAACTTAAGTATCTAATATTGCACTGAACCATTTCAAAACATATAATAATTATAATCATTATTTAAAAAAAGTAAATAGAAAAGGGCACAATATATCCATGGTTTAAGGGGTAATGTATGTCACCTCTTCAATGTCATCCTCCTTGAGGTTGTAATTTAATGCTTCCCTTATTTCTTTTGATTTACGATTCACTTCATCCACTGTAGGTAATTGTAAACCAGCCAGCATCATGGTCTCTTTCCATTTGAAGAACTCTGTGTCTGTCCACTCTTGATTGGAAATAAACTCTAGCCTGTAAACTCTCTCTGCCTCGCCATGCCTTAGGGACAAAGCAAAGTGTCATATTAGTGAAGAAATGAAAAATCTTGAGAAAGGCATTAACTTTTTTTTTAAAGTGTCATATAACTGAAGAAATATCCTGAGAAAGATATTAACTTAAAAAAGGAAGAAGACAAAAGCTAGATACATAAAAAACAGGATCAACAAAGCAAATACCTAAGTTTCAGTCCTTTGTTTGTTCTTGTGGTACCTAAGGCATATATTTTGGCAGTTTCCACAGCTTCTATAATCTCAGCAACCTGCAATAAGGTAAAGCTCCTATTTAGAAACTGCAGTGCAGCTTGCTCAACAATCTTTTTCAAAAGAAAAAAAATGAATGGTGTCTTCTTTTGAGGACTGAATCAATCTCACATCTGGGACTACGCCCTTGTGCAGATAGCCTTTTACCTCTCACGCCAACCCATCAACTCACTGCCACTCTACCTAACCCAACATGGAATTTTTGTAATTATTAGACTTCTCTTTTTCTCTTTGCTTCAGGACTTACCCTATACACTGCTCTGCCATCATGGTTGCCAATTCCAACACGTACATAACACCCTTTGACCACTTTGTTGAAGAAAGGCATGTGGCACCATCTAATAGATAAATAGTGGGTTTACATTAAAAGTGATAAACTGATACAGTCATCATCTTATCTGGATTTGTTATTAAACATTTTCTAAGAAAAGTGTTCATATATATAATCTTAATATTTTAAGAAGTTCATTAATGTATTTTTATGAGCAGAATTAAATGATCCCACTTACTTCTCCATTTTAAACCTGGATAGTTTTATTTTTATCAAATCTTCCTTGTTAGCAATGAACTGTGGTTTCTTAGATTTTTTTGTTGCTTCACTGTCTGATCTACAAAATAAAAAGAACAATGTTTGCTATTTGTAAATAATAGTAAAAGTACAGAATACTGATGGAGATATAATTACTGCAGAAAACCAGAACTGTAACCTTTGAATTATCTAAATTTGCTTTCAAAACCAAAAATAATCATGCCATACTCAAAAATTAAAGATTTTAAAGAAAAACTTACTCCTCTCCCTCTGAGTCTGATTTAAATGAAGATCTGGAACTGGCATCTGAATCTGTCAGGGAAGATGAGGAGGAGGATGATGATTTTCTCTTGTGTTCAGTCTCTTCTTTGTCCTTGTCTCTGTCTTCATCGTCGTCATCATCATCATCATCAGAGTAAATATCATCCACATTGACCCGCTGTTTTTTGGCCTGCTGTTGCTGAAGTTCAGCTAAGTGGCAAATGAGGAAAATTGGCAATGAAAAAGATCCACTATCATAAACAAGTTTAGTATTAAGATTATCATTTTCACATTTAAAATCATCCAGGCTTTCAGGACGTGAAATACTTAGAATCAGTTTCCATGCTTCAATACAACTATCTTGATTTATCAATTAATTCTTACTCAAAGAGCAAATTGTTTGCTCTCTTTTTGCATTATCTTTCTTACTGACTGCACTAGAAAACAAACAATCAAATATATGTAACATCAGTCGTGAAGTTATAGAACACACCTCTTTTCTTTTCCTTTTCTTCTCTTCTTGCCTTGAGGTCATTTAACGCTGACATTTTCTTACTGTCCTTTTTATCTTCTATTGCCTTCTTTCTTTCCAAGCTCTTCTGAGTAGTAGACTTGCCCAGAACTGCATCTGAAGATGCTTTTTTCTCTTTTTTACGTTCTTCTTTCTCTTTTTTCCTTAATTTCTTTTCAATTTCCCACCTATAAAAACAGTGAAGATAAGACAATGTAAAACAAAAGTTTAAAAAAAAATTCAGCATTTGACTAACATTATATTTAACATTCATTCATGGTCATTTCTTCCTGGGTAGAATGCAACAATAATACTTTAAAATGTGAGGTAAATAAATAATTTTTGAAAATATACGATATCCAATGCATTGCTGCTATGGACATATTGAAAATGTACAATAATCCACCACTAAAAGTAATTCTGCAGTATATTTATATCTTCTTATTTATTGTTGTCTCAAAAAATATTGACTAAGGACAAAATGAAATCTTACCTGGTCTTCATCACTTCTCGCTTTTCTATCCTGTGAAACAGTTCTTGTTCTCTTTCTATTTCTGTCATCTGTTCCAGTCTTTTTCTGTCCTCTTCATCTCCCATTAAGTTTTCATCCAAGCCATCATCAAACTGCTCTGAGCCACTACTGGACCCACTGTCTGAATCTGACACTTCTCCTGGAATATAAATCCTTTTCATATTTGGCATTCTTGCTGTAGACTGGCTATTTTGCATTTCAAAGTATGTATTCATATATTTGTGCTGAGGCAGGACTGTAGTGTACCCATCTTCACAGCAATTAAATAGCTAAACTAACATATTTGAATAAAGCTAATAATGGACGCTTCATTGCCTTATAACTTTTAATTTTCTTTGTTGATGGCTAGAGTCTGAGACATATCCCTTTTAAAGTAAATATTTGATACCCGTGTTCAAAAGTTCTATTTTTATCTGAATAGAAAATACATGGAATGTAACCATTAAAGTATTAAAAAGGCACATTTATACGGAAATTTTTCAGTATAAGCCTGAATGCTATCGTCAGTGAGTGCCACTGAACTGTTAATATACAAGAAAAAAATCAGCAAGTTTTTATCTGCAATCAATCAGTTTCTGGCACTGCTTCTCATGTGACTTATACTTACTTTTGAGTGCAAATTTTGTTGACTAAAAGCAATATGGAATAAAAATCTTGCTGAGAAGAGCACCTCTATGGGGTTTGTCCTAGGTCTCCCTTTTTTACTCACCCTCTTCAGGTTCTGAGTTTTGTTTGGGACCAGCATCATCTTCACTGTCTGATGACACTGCAGACTTTTTCCTATTCTTCTTAAGTGTTTTGGATTTCTTCCTCTTCTTGTTTTTGGTACCAGATGTCCACTGAAGATAACAATGAATTAGTGAGATAACCTTATAAGCAGGGAATTTATCTGAGATGTTGCAATTAATCTCATTATAATTTTTTCAGTACACAAGCTTCTTTTTATTACACTTATTAGCTTCTTTTTTTATTACACTTATTATACAATAATCAATCCCCACTAACATCTTGTTTTCAAAAAGTTCACATTCTATTCTGATAGGTAATACATTAATTAATTAAGAGTCTTTTGCCCAATACAACAAAATAATAAATAGAAAGAGTGTCTATCACATCAGTAAAGTTTCATGGAAGATCTACATACTTCATCATCATCATCAGATGTTTCTGAATCAGAATCAGTGACTGTTTTCTTTGCTGATATCTCTGCAGATGTGACAGTTTCATTGTCATTCTTTTTTCTCTTTGATAGTGCCTTCCAGTCCTATGTAAAGAATGTAAAACAATGTACTAAGTAATAAACTATAGTATATATGCTATTTTTAATGAATATGACGTTAAAAGCAACGTTCTGCTTAAAATATCTGTTATCAAATGTTGAACACATTTCTTACTAGCGTTTGCTTTTTAGTTTATCTAATGTTTGACATTAATCATTATATAAGCATCATAAGTAATTATATAATAAAAAGTCTTAAAACATATGAATAAATACTACTAGTTTCGATATATGACAATCTGGTGTACGTATTTCGTCCATTTAGGACTGTGGGAAAAATTGGATCTTGTAACAAACTTGAGCCGTGGCCCAGGAGAGAACCAGCCAGTCAGTCAGTCTTAGATAGGGCAATTAAATACTGCCAGATATGAAATTAACCAACCTCTTCCGAATCAGCCGGACTATCGCTGGCGTCACTGTCAGAGTCGATCAAGGCCCGACTCTGGGCCTTTCTTTTGACCATTTCAAATTATCCCAAATCTTGTTGTTCACCGTGCGTTATTTTCGTGCTCTCTTTTCTGTCTGTGTGTCGCCACTTCCGGTATTATGAAGTCAATGCTTGACAGTGCAATAAACTTTAGATTTTCAAATATTACACCTGTTACAAATCACTCAATGTACTTTAATAACTTTATTTATTTATTTTTTATTTATTCAAATATTGATTTTGATTTTTTGAATTACATTTTACATAAAAATATGAACATATTTCCGTCTCAGCCCGACGCTAATATTTAGAGAAACTTGTCATCGTCATCCTGATACGATATGTGAAATTTATAACCTTTAACCCAGTTTCATCACCGTAAAATATATCTGCACCGAGTTATGACGACAAGGAAACCGCGACGAACTAAAACATCGATTAAATATTGTGCGGAAAAGACAGCTTGCAACAAAGAAGACAGTAAGGCGACTTACAAATGCGAGGACTGCAACTCCGTCCAATGTAGTGAATGTGAAAAATATATACACAAAACACCTCGCAAGGAGTTCCACACTAGACAGATACTAGAAGCACCTAAATCCGAACTACTTTGTGAGATAGATCGGTGTTCTGAGAATAATTTTGCTGACATCAGGTGCAAAGATTGCTCAAAGTCATACTGTTATGACTGTTTTGAGGGAACTCATAAAACGCCAAGCAAGAGAAAACACCAAAAGTTGGCTTTCCGTGACTATTTAGATGTAAAAAACAATCCTCCGCCTACGACACCAGAAAGTGACCAGTGTGCAGTTAGTGGTTTTTCTGATAACAGTGACAGTCTTAACTATGAAAGTTTGAATGCTTCTTTAAACCACACCGAGGAGCCGTTGGATTCTGGAGACTTTTTCTCAGTTCAGCCACAAATAGCTCCTGGCAGTGCTGTAGAATGTGATATGACAAAGCCTGCTAACCAGATTGGCAGTACCCCAGTTTCAGAACCATTTTGTGATGACGAGGACTCCTTAAAATTCATGGTGCCCCAGGACCATTATTTTGGTGAAAAATTAATGGATAAAAACAATTTCAAACTGACTGATAAAAACCATGAGCCCCCACGTTTAGAAAAGGTTAGGCCAGATAACAATAGTCTGTCTGATGAAATATCTGATGCTTTAGGTAGTATTCCAGCAATGAGTGACTGTCAACTAGACCTACAAGATGGACTTCAAGAGGTGCCCCTTACAGGGCCTGCTTCAGGGCAGTATGCAGGATACCAGGGATTTAAATTAGTGGATGAACATGAGGAATTACTGGTTAGTATATGAAATAGTCCTCAAAACTAATAGATTTATCTTATTTGCTAATTTTTATTTGCAAAAATCCAAATATTTTGATAGATGGATATAGATGGATAGATCTAGATAGATAGATAGATGTGCTTGATAAAGAGGGAATATTTATGTCAGCAAAATTTGCTTGCAATAGAAGACAAAATCTTTTATTAATGTTTCTCTTATTCAATGCCCAAGCTGTAAATTTTATCATTTTTTTGTTTATTTTCTCCCAATGTAGGTACATGATGTAGCTGATTTTGAGAAGAAGTTACATGATCCAACTGGCCCAGAAGAGATCGGCAAAGTAAAAGTGGTGTCAATATTTGGAAATACAGGAGATGGAAAATCACACACCCTCAATGAAACTTTCTTTGGCGGAGCACCAGTCTTTAAAACATCAAATGATGTAGAGTCTTGCACTGTGGGAGTATGGGCTGCCTATGATCCAGGCACTGAAGCAATTATAGTGGACACCGAAGGACTACTGGGTGTCACATCAAACCAGCACCAAAGGACGAGGTTAATGTTGAAGATTTTAGCTGTGTCAGATGTAGTCATCTATAGGACAAGGGCAGAGAGACTTCATAGTGACATGTATGGTTTTATAGGAGATGCCTTTAAAGCCTACTGGAAGCACTTTTTGCCAGAACTTGAACGGTGTGCTCAACAGAACAAGACACCAGTGGAAAATATGGGACCCACAATGATCATCTTTCATGAGACGCAAAAGACCAAGACCTTAGATGAAGGTTTGTTTATGATAGCTTTTGTGTTTTATATTGTTTAGTTGATAATCATTATTGATAGTACTTCAGTGGTGCACTTGTTTCCTGTAACAGTAAATTTTATTGTTTGAATTATATCCTTTCTTGTGGTTGAAATGCACCCTTTCGGTTATGTTGTTTTGTGAATACACTGTGATAACCTGCATTTTTATATCTAAATATTTGCAATTCTTTTAAAAATGATATGTTGAATGTTTACTACTTGATCACATGCTAAGAACTTATCATGATATGATGATGTAATTAACATCCCTCCTTAGTTTGACCATATTATTTAAAGAACAAGGGCAGAACCAGGCTCTTAGTAAATAACACCAAATTTTTGAGTTGGGCAGTGATTTTCTAATTGTGAACATTGTTTTAGTGATGAGCTCCAGTCCAGAGGATCTTCTACAAGAAAAGTTTACAGAGCTGGGGTATAAGAGAAAAATTCCTTTGAAATATGTAGGGACTAAGACAAAACAGGGACAAAACACAGACTTCAAGCCCTTGTTTGGAGTGGTCAAGAAATGCCTGGAGGACATCACAGTCAGGACTCCAAGGTTGCCAGGAGTCATCTTGTCTTCACTGAAGGTACAGTTATTTACTGTTAAGATAGAAGTATAGATGATGAAATTAACTTGAAATTAACCTGACTTTATTTTGAGATGACAGCATGCCATTGAAATTGTAGATAAGAGTGTGAAATATTTTGGTATTTTCTTCAACAGCCATGTGTGTTCGAAATGGAAACAGATTTTCAGGGATGTATTACATGCTTAGTCTCCTTCCATTCTTTTCGTAATTTCAGGCCTTAAATGAGAAATTCAGTGGTGATTTAGATAAGGTAGTTCCAAGCACATTTCCAGATCAATATTTTACATGTGGGGTGATGTGTGTTTCTTGCAAGTAAGTAGTTTGAGATTTTTATTGAATGGTAGAAAACATTTTGGATTTTTATTTACCCATTTTTAACCAATCCACTGATGCTAATAATAAAACTTTCATTTACAGAGAACAAACTGATTTGTTAAATTTATGATAAATCAATATTGAAGTGCCAAAATGAACAGTTGTTATCCCTTTAATCATTTGATTTATTAACAATCACCTAACAGCAGCCTCAATTTACTCGCTAATGAATAAAAGTGCTTTGACTTAAAAAAACATATTGATTTTGATAGTTTTCTACTGATTTAAGCAAGTATATGTAGCCATTTAGACTGTTCCAACAAATACAAAGTGTTATAGATTAATATTAATGAAGAATAAGATTAACAGAAGTAATTCTTATATGTATTTAGACTATAGAAATTCCATAAATTGATCACAATTCCAGTTCTCGCTGTGAATTGAGTATGAACCATACTAATGTGGCCCACTGTAGTAAGGCACACTGCATATATCAACACCAGTATGAGAACAAGGTGTATTTGTGTAAGGTAAGGCTCATTGCAATATTGGTAGGGTTATAATGATAATAAATATCTAGATTGGAATTTGTTCCTTTTAGATTTAGATTTTAAATCCAATTAAACACGAGTTTTTTTGAGAATGTGAGAAATGTGTTTAGTATGTATAACATGTTATGTTCTACTGTACTTTGAATGAATAAGAATTGGAATAATAAGTGAAAAATTCCACAAACTGAAAGTTGGCAAAAAGTTTCCCATTACCAGAATATAGAAATTACAGTCATTATAACTAAAGGCTTTAAACAACCAGTAGCAAGGGATAATTTTTATTTTCATTTAATGATTTTTGAAAATTTCATTTAAGAAATGCTGGAGAGAAGGAAAGGCAGACTGTGTTGTTGTTCCCAAAATGTCGGAGCAGAATGACAGTGCATGGTTTAGCCTTGCCAAGTATGCCTGGGCAGGGTAAGATGGCTTATGTTACATGGTTGTTTAAAAATAGTTGAATATTACAAAGTCCTATTGAAGGATGGAAGAAAAAAAGAACACTCCAAAAATAAGTGGAGATCCAGAAATTTTAATTTAAGCAGAATATTTGAATTATTATGTCAACAATTTTGGGCATGAATAAATATTTTTTACAAAATGTTTTATCATGATGAATAACAAGAAAAAAAAACCTATGATGTAGTAATTATAGTGGTTTGTTTGTTACATTTCAGGTATGTACTTGAATGTCCCCGCCATGGTGTAATCTTCAGGAGTAGGCAGCACTGGTATGGTAACAAAGACCCGGAGGCAGAAGCTGTGCAGACAGAAGTGCGCCATGTATGGGGAGATGAGGTAATTTGTAATTGTGTGTGTGTGTGTGTGTGTGTGTGTGTGTGTGTGTGTGTGTGTGTGTGTGTGTGTGTGTGTGTGTGTGTGTGTGTGTGTGTGTGTGTGTGTGTGTGTGTGTGTGTGTGGTGATCGGGTTCAAATATATTTTGGAACATTTTTCTTTGCAAAATGTGATGAGTATTATAAACATTTTAAACATTTTCAGTACATTTGTTAAAAACAGTGGTGGATCTTTAGAGATTTTGGTAAACATCAGCAAAATACATCCACACCACTGGGAAATTTTACTTCATGGAAGAATCTGAAAAAATGTAGTACAACTTAAAAAAAGAGGAGAAGAAATGATTCTTTATGACAGAAATGCAATGTCCATTTTAGGGCAGCACAGTACTGATGGGCACCCACAATGCAGCCAGGCGGATCTTGGAGGGAGTCCATTATGTCACTGATACCATTAGCACCATTAGTGCCAAACCCACCAAGATGATGGCTGACTGGGTCAATGATAAACTGGCTCCTGCCTACTGGACACCTAATGCTGAGATAATAGTAAGTATTGCTTGTAAATTACCCCAGACTTGTGGGTTCAAGGCCAACCCAGTGGTCTGGTCTGCTCAGTGGGGTTGAACTCCCAAGGATTTTTGTCTCTTTTACACACAGAGCACTTAAAATGATATGTGCACCAATTAATTGTTGCAAGAGAAAGTAAGTTTAATAGATGACAAGTGGATGATGTGTTCATGAAGATCAAAAATGCTTGAAATTATGTTGATTCAATTCAAACCAAAGCTTTCAAAGATAAATCAATTTTCTTTCAAGTGAGTAAATTTACAAATATTTTTTGAAACCTTGAAAGTTTATTGAATCGCATTTGTTTTTACTTTTTAAGGACTGTCATAAGTGTGGGAAGAACTTGGAGACAGAGGAAAGCAAGCACCACTGCCGTGCCTGTGGCAAGGGGTTCTGTGATGAGTGTACCAGTAACAAGCGTCCTGTGCCTGAGAGAGGCTGGGGAGAGGTACCAGTCCGCGTCTGCAAAGCATGTCTAGACAAGAAACCAGGCAAGGATGGTGAGTTAACCATGGGGATTATGACAGTGAACACATATTTAATGTTTAAACATTTTGAAGAAACAATATGTAGGAAGAATAGTAGTTTATTTTAGTTTACTTAGAGGGAAGCTCCCCTTCTTAAAAGCTTTTGTCGAATTTTAAAATTTAGTGATTAGGATATGAACACTGTAAGTTGCCATTTTAATGCCTAGTAATTTTCCATACAGATGACTCAGGCAGTGATACAAGTGACACCCAGGTGACAGCCAGAAAAGTAATGGAAGGCGTCACCAGTACTTTTGGAGCTGTGGTAAACGTGATGGATTATCCAATAGGTGGGAATTTAAATAGTTTTATTTTCATCGGAATTTTGATTATGTTGACATGGCTACCAGGAATATCTCTTAGATGATACACAATTGGAAGTATTTTTATTAAATCAAGTTTTTTCAAGTGAAGTGAGAAATCAAGTAAGAGTGAGAGTTGCTTGACATTTTTCATGACCAAATGTTATAAACCTAGTATCATAATGACAATGACCTGTCACATCATTTGGTTTTACAAAAACCCAAATCTTATAGTAAAAGATTATGCAGTTTTTTCAAACAGTTTGATCTGGTATTTCCCCATTGCAGGAGTATTGAAGGATTCTGCTCGTCCAGCTTACTGGCTTCCAGACCGTGAAATAAAGAACTGTATCCAGTGCGAGAGAGCCTTCTCCTTGAAACTGAAGCTTCATCATTGTAGATGCTGTGGGCATGGAGTCTGTGATGATTGCTCTCCTAATACAAAACCAGTGCCGTCAAGAGGCTGGGATTACCCAGTTCGAGTGTGCAAAAAATGTGAAAAGAAGCTCAAGTCCTAATAGGTTTTCTATGTGCTTGTGTCTTTATGATGAAAGAAAGGAAGTTTCTTATTGTTGGTTCATTAGTTGCTTGATTTCTTATTCATTGGGTTTTCTTGATATAAAGTGGCTATTTAAAGTGCTGTCTTTTAACGCAGACTACAGAGTTTCTGGAATTAAGATTATGATAGTGTGATTTAAATAAAATATCATCTGCATGACAGATTTGATGAAATGAAAGGAATCAAATGACTAGGCATTTATTACAGGAACATGTATTTTATTTACTTTATTATTATTATTATGTATAAAGGCAAGACCCTGAGAAGTATTTTCAAGTCCTTTTATTTAGTCCTTAAGTAAAACAAGTTCTTTAGGTATATCCCTTTATTGCCAGAGTGCATATTTTCCTTATTTCAAGGTTTGATGACTGTTGACCCATTTTGACATGACTATGCACATCCTAGATACTCAGTTGATTGTCCCATGCTTATTTTTTCCTCGCTATGTACTTCTTCGTGTGGAAATCAACATCATGCTTGTGCTACTGCATGAAGTATTGTAGTGTTGTAGGTACACCAAAGTGTTGGGACTTTAAATTCCCACACATGAAAGCAGTCACCATTAAATAAATTTTTAAAACCTGTACTAATGGGCAAAATATTTAAAGAGGTTTAGATGCATGTTTACCGTGGTCTTTGTTACCTGTGTTGACCATAGGACCATATTTGTTAAATGATACATGGTGGGCCTTATGCTTGCTCAATTTACAGAAGTCTGATATGTAGGTCCATTTTAGATGTACAGCCAGTATTTGCTACTTCTTGTTTTCTGCTGAGTAGCCAAGCAGGCCTTTAGGCTGTTGAATTAGTCTTCTTAATCTTAACAAACTGAGGTCAATACAACCAGCTGTTGGTTGCAAGGTCCTGACCTCTCTCTTGTTTTGATCACCTTGTGCTATATAAAGTGGAGGACCCTTTGAAATAGCTGTAGTACTAAGTTCTTAGTACTACCTCGTCCTTGCTCCTGTTGGGTCAATTTGAAAACTATTTTGATTGAAAAATATTTGCGGGTATTTAGTATGTTTAGCAACAAATTAATATATATGCTAAAAGTAAATTTAACAGTAGGCATTGATTTGAAATGGCCATTTCAATATATTTAATTTATTGTTAAAATTCATAATTTTGACACATTAGTGGTCAAATTAAGAAATCTTATAACAAGTGTCTTAAAGATTCTGTTAAAAGTTAGATTGTAAGATGCATACATCAAATTCAGCAGGTGCTAGAAGTTTTTACTGATAAGATGACACTTCCATTTGTAAAAAGAAAAATCTGTAATTCTAAATCTGTACACTCTATCTAAGTTGAAAATTAATTTCCTGAGATATTTATAACATTTAGTACCACTTCTTGTTAGGTGTGTAGTAGAAAATTGTACATATCTGTTGTTGCCAAGTTGCTTTTATGAATTTTTCTGACTTTGGCAGATGGAAATAAATTTTAATAGATGGATTCAAATGCCTATAAATTGCCTGTGAACAGCTATAACCTTTCCTCAAAATATCTGTGGATCAGAGATGAAAGTTTAAGTGTAATCTGCAATATTCATCCAATGGTTGTTAACATATTTAAAGTACAAAAACAGCTACAGATGAACATTGAGGGGCTCTGTGTTGATTTGATCATTTTAATGAGGTTAAGTGGTGGTTTGAATAATTTAATTCCACACGTGGCTATATGGGTGTGCACAATAAATTGTAAGCATTGAACTTCCTGTTATATATTATATGTTGAGGAATAATTAGTAGAGTCACCATAAGAAGAAAGAACTCAAATTATTTAAACACAACAGGACGTTTATTCCTTACCCTATGTGATGCTACAAAGAGAGTTACAGTATGAAATGATCTTTGTGCTGAACATTTACTTGCTTCTTGCACAGCCTAATAATAGCTAGCTGCTACTAGAAGATTGATAGATCAAAGTGGGCTCCCAAAATGCTTTGTCTTAATGTGTCTGTAATCCAACAAATTACAACTATCAGACAAAGGATCAATTCCTAGCTTTTGTCAATAAAAAACTGATCAAAACACTGCATGGTTTGTCTTTAAATTTGTTCACAATTTAAAGATCTAACAGACCTACTGCTGAAGGTATTGTCACATATGCAGCAGTGTTATCTGCACTGAAATTGTAGTGTAATAGTAGTATCATTTCGACAATAAAGTATGAGGGGCTGCAAATGTTTTTTAATTAGACTTATAGGATAAATGTTATCAGAAAAAATAGTACCAATAAAACTGTGAAAAATAACCTCTTGTACTTTAAACTAGATCCATGCTGTGCAATATTCATTGGCGTGGCATTCAGGAAATGTTACTGTCAATATTACCGTTACATTGGTTCAGCATGTTCTGCACAATTCAGTCAACTAATCCACTGGTCCAGTCAAAAAAAGTCAATATCCAAGGATCAAGCTTTTCAAATACAGCAAACTAAGCAAAAGCTTTAAAATGTATAGCCACTTACTCAGCCAAAGTGTGTAAAAAAAACATCCAGTCAACAATATATAATATTTAGAAATAAAGACCCTTCATATATTCCCTTGGAAGTAGGGACTTTCATATTACAAGAAATCAACAGTTTCTATCATAAATTCATAAATGCAAGCTCAGCAAATGAAAAGAAAAAAAATTGAAACTGAAATAATCAGCTTTTTCTTATGCTTAATTTAGACATTGGTATTCGAATAGATGAGAAAAAAAGGTGGCTGGTTACACAACCTTGCTATAATACTGAAAGGTAAATGGTCCAAACCACTTTAAGACAAGTCAGTGTTCTTGCAAATATAAACATTTATCAAATACACAGTCTTTTTTAAATCTTAAAATAATAGCAGTCAGCATTAGCTTATCAAATGCAAAAGCATCAATATTAATCAAAAAGTGAAACCAATGTTTATCAGCCCCCCTTTGGTATCACTCCTTGTTGTTTTGCTTGAATTTTTATCAAATAATAAATTTTTAAGCACAGCAGCAACTTCATAAAATGTCCTAATAATAATGGTATCAAAAAGAAAAAAAAAGATAACAATAATGACAAATAAAAAATAAATAAAACAACATCCACTGTAGTCTTAGAGGTTTGCATTCAGCTGTGACATTTCATTAACACAAATAAATAACTTTATGTAGCTCAACCTTATAGTCCATTACACCACTGAACTCTGATTGCTGCATTTGAATGAAAATCAGTAGCTCCATGGTAAATCTTTCCATTGTATCAATGAAATATTCTAATACAGTATCTTTACACTTCAACTAAGAATTGTGTTTCTATGAAAGCTACAAATATCAAAGTTAATATATACATGAATAATGCTATAATTCAAAGGCCATTCTGCTTTGACACAGATAGCTAAATCCCCCATATCTACACATTCAGTTCATCAGAGATGTATTTATATAAAATGGTTGAAGAGCAAGTAGCAATTGTCAAATAATTAATTGCCTTATACATTTGTGATGTCTGACATTCCAATTATGTTATGACATCACACTGTACTTTAAGATGCAAACAGTCACTCTACTGTGTAGGCATTATTTTTCCTTCTTGTGCTGTAGCATATTTGCTGACACAGCAAAATGACAACAATCTAAGAGCAAAGTAAAATGTCCAAACAGCATCCAACACACATCCCTAGAGTTCATTCAATTTTACAAACCAGCAACATCATTCAACAGAAAGATCAGAAAATATGCATGTGACACATAAAAAAAACACTCTGTCAATAGACGAAGCTTGCCAGCCAAATGTTTTATCCTCTTGTGAACATTATGGGTTTGAAAATAATTAAAATCCTGATACCAATCCATATTATCTTCTGAAATTGTTTCAATTCCACCCTAAACATTGACTACATCCAAAAACCCACATTATACTGGAGAGTGAAATAAATCAAGAAATCATTCTACATTATCTTGAATATTGTTCAAGCAAAGAAAAATCAACATTATCTTGGAATATCATTGAAGTCCTGTTTATAATGTACACTTTTCCAAAAAATTACTTTGAATGTTATAACAATCCACAATATCCTTGAAGAGATCTAATCCTGAAACCAAGCTACACTGTCATGAAAGTGATACGAAGCTAATAACATTCCAAGTCATCTTTGATAATATCTAAATCCTGACATCAATCCACATTATCCTGGAAAATGAGGCGCATATAGCCAGGGTCACCTGAGAGAGGCATAGCACAGAAAGGACATGCTGCACGAAAGCCATGACAACCATGTGGAATAGGAATACTGGACCAGTACCTGGGAAGGAAGAAAAGAAGCATTGTAACTATGTGGAGAGGCTATAGGGGTAAAAAAAAGGAATTTTCAAGACATATTTACAAAAAGCAAATAAATAAATAAAGAGATAAATAAATTAATAAAAATTCCCAACAACAATTTGTCCCAGCAAGTTAAGCCCCATGTATTCAAAATAATGTACAACAAGTGTCAAATTCTAAAAAAAAGAAATTAATACACTTTTCTTTTTATCTTCTAATTGCTGTGACATACTTAACACTCTCTTCAGACGCCATGTGCCCACAGGGGCTGAAGCAGTGTGTAGGAGGAGCAGACTCCACATACAGGCTAGTCTCACTGCCTGGAAGCAGGCGCACAAATGGACCAACCTGAAAAAAAGGGTTTCAAAAATCCATTCAGTATTCTTTTTACTGTCATGGTATCACAAAATAAATAAATAAATAAATAAATAAATAAATAAATAAATAAAAATTTAAAAAATTCAGAATATACTGTAAACAACATGACATTAGAGTTTCCTTCAATTGAAGTGCCCTCTTCAGAAATATCTAAACAAAGAACAAGTTATCTATCACAAAACATACAAAAACAACCATTTCAAAAATCAGTTACAAATTGTCAATAACTTTATACTTGATACAGTAACAGTTCTGAACACAAAAATAAGTACACATTCATTCCCACTGTACCTTCAAACACATAGGACACTGACGATTGTCATCTTCCTTCTGTCCCCATTCATGCATTCCGTGCACATGCCCACAGTAGAGATAGACATGGGGCTGTTTCTCTGTGGCCATCAGTGTGCCCTTACTCTGCCTATGGGGCAAGACTAGAGTGTTCAGACCAACGGGACACTGGGGCCGACCTGCATTGATCTTTTTTATTTCTTCTTCAAGTTCTTTTGGGCTCTGTAATGAGAAATAAATGACTTCAAATGGATCATGGGTTTTAACTGATGACTTTAAGTTTCTTATCATTTTCATCTGCTTTTTTTTAAACTGGTAATATGTATTTGATTTACTTTTCATTCCAGAACACAGCATGAGTGAAATAGCATAGCTTGAGACAAAAGACCTCAATTCTTTCCTTTTTCTTGAGAAATCATCACTATGACTAACCAGAAACACTATGACTAACCAGACCAGATGCAATTATATTATTGATTCTGCCTACAAAATTGGGGATTTTGTACTATTACTTCTCTGAAAGAAAGAGAAACCCTTTAACATATTCACACTGCTCTAAGGGTTCATTCCCAATGAAACTGTTGTTCTACATAGATTGATCCAACTCCTCGGGGACTCTTGCTGAATGCAATCAGATTAACAGCCCTCTTCCTAGCATTGAGTTGAATACAGCAAAGCTAGTGATTATACGTGTACATTAGAAACAAGAGGAGGCTTGTTAAAAACTAATCAGATTGTGTTCAGCAGGAGTCCCCATTGAGTGGAATCAATCTACATTAAAGCTAGTTTCATTGAAAATGAGCCCTTAGTATAACTCACAGGTGAGGCTAGTAAGCCCAGTGCAGACCTCCACAGCAGAGTGGCACCACACAGATCTATCAGGGTTCCATCCCTAAGAACATTGTCTTCTTCTTCAATCTGAAAATACAATTCATGAGTTTATTTGAACTCTTTTACAAAAACCTTCATTTGACATGTAAGGAAACATATGCTTGCATCTACAACACTGCTTTGTAATCCAACTCAATTTTTGTACAAAGATTGTCATTTTCTTTGCCTTTCTCAAACTTGCATTAAATAAGTCACAAATGCAAATTTGGAAAATGACAGATAGTTCATCTAGTACCTAACACTAATCTTCCATTGGTTTAATTGAATCGTTTAGCCCTCAGACCTACCACACAACTCTTCCCAGGTGTAGACCTGGACTCCCTGAGTGCATAGATGCCACCCCCTACAGACACCTCTCTCCACACCCCTGGCTTGGCATCCACTGTGAACCCACCCACTGGGTGCATGATGAGGATCCCATTGGTGGTCAGCCCGTCTATCTCTCCATCTGTGTGCCATTTGGTAGCTTTTTCCTGGAAAGTAAAGGGGTGGGGAGGGGGATTAGAAATGAAAATGAACTTGTACCTTGTTGTGATAAAGGCTAACTGATTTTCCTCATGGGCAAATAAATCTGTTGATTTAGCTAACAAACTTCAAAATGCTGAAGTGTGATGGTGTTTATTAACCTTGAAAATATTGCGTATATTTCTGACTTAAAGTATGTGTTTGTGATTAATTTCACAACAAATATATTTTGTCTTAACATATTAACGACTTTTTTTTCAAATTCTCTCTTGACTGACAGTATCTGATATGTTTATATGACTGCCCACTTCTACTTCAATACTTACCCCAAGGAATATATTTCTATGAGAATCAAACCCAGCAGCAAATATTCTTGCAGTATAAGGAGGGTTCCTCTCCACAAGAATCCTACACGCAAACCTTGATATGGTGCTTTGAGACACTGTGTAATTATCAACCCTCTGATCTCCAGGCACAGTATCCATGACAACAAAGTCAATGGGGCCTTCAGAAGACCTGCCAATCTGCAATGATATAAATGACATTTCAGCTTTTATCATATTTCAAAACACCAATCTGTATGACATCATGTTTATCTAGGAAATATGGGTCTCACTATTACTCTTACATGGTGGTCATCTTTAGGTCAAGCATAGGGGGCTATAGTAAAAGAGTCATAGTCAACTCAGACACCAAGACTGCCATATGTAGGACATAAAGACAACTAAGATCACCTTTAAACAATGAACTACATTTCCCATTAACTGATAAGTTATCTTAAACTGTATCTTAACAATTGTTTGATGTTAATTGGTTATTTGTTAATTTGTTGGAATCTTAAAGAATTTCTTGGAAGGTGTTCTGGTACAATTTTCAAATATTCCTTGTCTTGAGGAAAGTCAGGAAGTAATACATACTTACTAACTGTGGTACATATAACATGTACTTGAAATAAGATTAACTAAATTTCCCAAGTGAAATACGAAAAAAAAAGTAAGCTTCTAGAGCTTTCACTAATTTCCCCTAGAGAACAAACTTAAGGAAATTAACTGTTTTGTAATTAGTATACTTTTCACAAAAAGAAAAATGAAATTTGAAGCACTTTCCTCAATAAGATGGTACATTATGCATTATCAACAATATCACTTCAAACACATTTGGAACAATTTGCTTTTCAAACAACATATATTCTTAAATGTGGTGATGAAGATAATGCATTTGAACTGACCCACTGGGTATTATTATTGGAACTTTCTCCCCAATTACATGTTAGTTCTGAAACAGGGCCCTGGAGATGGAAGCTAATCACAGCATAGGTATGAATTTATTGACACAGTGGACCTATGGACTTTTAATTTTTTTCAACAGACTAGAAGTTATCTACTTTGGCCATAAGAAATATAAAGGACAAAACAACCTATTACTTATTACCCAGTTTCACATCATTCTGGTTTAAATTCTTTGGCTAAATATTTGTATTAAAAAAATTTATGCAAAAAGAAACACACACAAACACACAATACATATGAATGCGTGCACATACACACACACACACACACACACACACACACACACACACACACACACACACACACACACACACACACACACACACACACACACACACACACACACACACACACACACACACACATCATATGCAAGCATCTTACCTGAAACATGTCAGTATCTTCATTGTGTACATACTCTATTACTATGGCCTGATTTCTGGACAGGGTGAAAGACACAGAATGCTGCTTGGAATCTTGAACAACCTGGAAAAGAAAATAACATTCAATGTCTATAGTTGAACACCTGTGTATAGCTTGTGAGGCCATTTTTGAATCCTTATATGCCTTCAATTAAATAGATCATTTCATTTCAAAATACCACTATGTGTTAATTTCTTAACAAATGTGAAAGATAAGAAGCTTTAATACAGATAAAAATAATAATCTTTTTGTAGTGAATAAATACTTAAGTCTGCAAAATGCAAAACTTTTCTTGAATTTGCTAGACAGTTAAAAACAATGTATCTCCCATATTGCTTCTTTGGCTGATAAAAAACACATTATAGAAACTCAATGAGGCCTGATAATAAAACTATCAGTTTTATTATTTTCTTCTCAGATAATTCAAACATCTTTTTGAGATACTTCATGCCTCATAAAACTTGCACAAATCAATTTTTCTGCAGTGAGAATGCTACATAGGTTAACATTCCAAGTGCTATCTTAAATTCTCAGTTTCCCTGGTAAAAATACCAGTCAAACATCATAAAATCCCCACATCCCCACGCAAATGGGACATTTTCCCAGAAACACCTGTATTAATGGAGCTCAACAAACTATTTATAACCTTTCAAAATATGATACAGGAAGATTATTATTATTATTTTTTTTTTTTGATCTGTTTGAAAATTACACTATTTCTTGAGGCAAATGGGAGCGATCCTGAAAAATCTGTGGTCAGGCTGTCCAAAACGATTTATGTTTGGACATAAATAATATACCTAATGAAATGGTGTAATCATTAAAGGTGGATAGAGTATAGCATGTATTTGTAAGCAACAGCATGAATCTGGTTGAGTGCACATCACATTCGTTGCTTGGAGACATGACTAATGGGTATAGTATATCTCCCATGAAAAAATCAGCAATGAAACATGTAACATTAACACAGATATTTCTTTGTGTAATTCAGTACATCGCTGCCTGAAGCAGTCAATAAAATAACTGCTTGTTTCTGTTCATTGATTGCAAGGATGGAACAGAAAGTATTTGCAAACCAAATTCTCTCACATAAAGCCATGAAATCAAGGCAGTAGCAGTGCGTATAAAAATCCATCTTGTTTATGTTCTGGAAAAACATTTCTACCAATGTTACAAAAGATACTTATTCTCTTCTAACTTTTTGGACATAGCTTTAATTTATTTAACTCACAGACTTAAAACTTTTACATGTATCTTTTATGACAAAGCTCAACATACAACACAAATCATATTACTGTGCATTCCTTATCACATTTATTTCACTGGATGGATATCACCAGAAGTGCAAGTCTCCCACATAAAATGCTGACACTGCACAGATTCATCATCTGGAGGGAAATCACCTGGATCTTCATGCCTAGTGTAATGAGAGGTTAGGATGATAGATGGCTATTGTTTGTGTTTTGACTGCCTGACCCTGGAGGGAACATACCCAATGGGGTCATTCACATCACACTGTCAAACACATGGGAAGCTACTGAAGCTGGATTTGTCTCTGACGCCAACTATTCAGACTGAAAAGGGGCCTTACTGCATGTGGTATGAGCGGACCTTAGTACTAGTAGAGAAAAACAAATAGGTTCTCTCAATGATGGGTTCTATCTGTAATGAGATGATGGGCTCTATTTGTAATAAATTGACGGGTTTTCTCTGTAATGTGTAATAAATTGATGGGTTTCATGACGGGTTCTCTATGCAATAAAGTGATGGGTTCTCCCTGAAATGAAATGAAAGGTGAATCCTATCTCTGAAATGAAATGATGGGTTTTCTCTGAAATGAGATAATGGGTTCTCTGTAATAGGCTCACTGTAATCTGCTCATCTGATGACAGCAGTTGGTCTATTTCCAGTTTTAGTCATGGTATCTGAACATGGCTTTACTTCAGTTCTCTACTAGAACCCTATCTGCTTCTGTCCTGACAAGTGAAATAAATTTCAAATCTAGAAAATCAAATATTCTTATATCATGGATACAGTGTACAATGCTACAACTGAGCATCCTGGGCAGCACATCACCAGTACAGGAATATTTGGTAGAAAAGCAGTACCTTCATGTCTTTAAGGGTGCATTCCCAGAGATTTAGATCGATCCAGAGATTTAGATTTAGATTGACCTAACTCCCTGGGGGTTCACACTAAATTGCAGTCAGCCGAGCGTGCACCATAGTTAATTACCCCCTTACAGCTTTTGGTAGGCGGGACAGACGCTTAAGCCGGCTAAGCTGACAGTAATCTAGTGAGACTCCCCACAGGGATAGATCAATCTAAAATCTATGGGAATGGGGTCTAAGTCAGTATATTCACTTTAAAAAGCATGCATCAAAAATAAATAAATAAATGAATAATGCATGGTACATAATTTGCAAATTTTATGTTTTGGGTCATTGATCTGGGGACAATATTCTAAAATATGGTGTTCCCTTATGTATCTGAGAAATTGCTTCTGTTCCACGTCAGCACACTGTGCAGAACCTATAACCCAAATAATAGGCAACTATAGACCCTTGCAAAAGACCATACAATGGCTGACAAACAGGTAAACTAATTTGCTTAAAGCTAATAGCATGAAGACTTCTAGCCAATCAATCACCACTGATATCAGCAAACAGCATGCCTTAAACCTGCTCAGTTATGTATCAAGAACTAAACACAACACTAATTAATGTTAATTGCCCCCAAAATCTCATCCAAGCATCACATTTACATTCCTTCTACAGGATAATCCACCTCTATGTGGTTAATTAGCATAATTCCCTAACAGTATATAAGTTGTTACTGGTCACTATCTTCTAATGGCTTATTGAAACTCCTTTAATTTATTCCTATTAGTAGTTTTCATCATTCATAAAGTGCACTAGTGCGTATCTAATGAAAGAGCAGATGACATTATGAAATTTATATTCCTTTTAAATATTTACATACAAATAAATAAAGAAATGAATACCCAGTGATTTTGTTTTTGGGTGGGTGAGAAAGAACTAGAAACTACTGCTTCAACTGTAAATATATTCATTAATTGGGTACCCATCCCAGACTTTTTCTTTCTCCTCCCCCCCCCCCCATTAAACTGTGACTTTTATAAATATAGCAAACTGATGGATTATCCAAGCAAATGAGTGTTAAAGGTACTCATTCATCTAGCAAGATGTCACATGTACCTGTAAATACCAAAACATGTAATAATATCCAAAGCCTAGTTATGCTGCAGCAAGCTAACCCCCTGAATACAAAACACATCACATACCCTTAGGGGTAATGCCTGAAATAATGATCCAAAATTCAAAAAGTCACACACCGCAGAAGCAAACAGTGACATATATAACTGGGTTAACATAGTGTCAAACTATGAAGAAAATGGATTTTAACGATTATAATTTAGACTTATAATTCTGTCGACATACTTCCTAATTGAAATTAGGTCAATTTGATTGAATAAGTATAAGAGCAGAGCTAAGTATATGGGACTCCTCTACCAAGTTACCTACACTCCAGTAGTACAAAATGTATAGCATGACCAGGTCATCTTGATAAATACTATAATCACAGATTTTTATTATGCCTAGATATAACAGTCTCCATCACAATGCACTGAAAACCATGCATGTCTAAACAGTATAATTTGCATAGAATATCTAATTTCCTTGTTGTAGGGGAGCCAGTGTAGACTCATGACGTACAGTTATTTCTTTATGCTTCCAACAAAGACAAAGACTGATTTCAAAGCTGGACAAAAACAAAAATTGTGGACTAATATATATCACATGCAAAATATTGTTCAGCAGATATGAGGAGGAACTCTTTCTATTTTTGCCATAAGGATGTCATAGCATGTGTAATGATAATGACAATTATCTTTGACACAGTCAGCAGTCAAGGCACAATTCGTGAGTATTATGAAACATTCTCTTCCAATATGCTGCTTCTTAAGCTTTCATTCATTTTAAATCAAATCTTATCTGCCTTAAAAATATTTTTGAAAACACCTATTCTAACAGCAAGGTGACCATATATATGCATGGGGCCTCAAGTATGGTCAGTATTTTATCAAAGGGATATTTCACATGTGACTAGACAATACAATCTTTATAACAGTGGAAATTATCCGAAATCGTCAAATAATAAGGATGTCTGTACTGCATGATGCCATACGAGACTAAAAAAACTTGAGAGAATCGATGCACAGTGGGGCTCCCCTTTGAACAACAAGGGTGAAACTCTTCTGCTTCAGGAATATCCTCTTAGAAAGAAATACAAAAGTACCATGGAAAACATGGTGAATATGAATTCTGTTGTGCAAAGGCCTGTTATTCTGCAGAAGTTAAAACATTCAACAATCAGAAAATATACGGATAACTTCTATAAGCTCTCATTTATTGTGACAGCACTCTTGCAAGACTGTCATTATTTCTGACCCAACTCTCCTCCGAATCCAATTATTTCAACCTCAGATGTGAGACTTTAGTCCAACTCTGATACTTCAATATTCCACACTATTCATATTTCAGCTGCTTTATTTGACTGTTCTGCTGATCCAGATGGGTGTGTTGCTGGTGCTCAATGTGTGAATGTCCCATGGGCCGTATTTATAGATAACATTTCTCGTCGATGTTTCTGCGCGCCAGGGACATATCCCTCATCCATGGGTACTTGTGCACCAAGTAAGTATGGTGGTCAAATTATCTGTGAAATATCAAAGTACATGTGTCTTGCCTTCACTATGGGTCAGCTGTATTCCTCTTTTTCGAATTATGCAAAAATATACCATATAATAGCTTTTGAATGCTGATATGTCTAAGTAATTCCACGAGTATGAATAGTACCTTTTTCGGAGATCACTGCTTTTAGGCACCATTTTAAAATAATTTTGTCATTTTGCTAATTAAAATGTTGATACACACTACAAAAGGGAAACACTTTAAAATATTTATAGTTGCTATATGAGAAGATAGGAAGNTCTTTCATGTACGTCTGCCATTTTTAGATCACCGGCTTTGTAAAGCCTGGCTTAATTCGTTGAGAATGCGCTCTAAGTATAAGAGCAGAGCTAAGCATATGGGACTCCTCTACCAAGTTATCCTGACTCCAGTAGTACAAAATGTATAGCATGACCAGGTCATCTTGATAAATACTATAATCACAGATTTTTATTATGCCTAGATATAACAGTCTCCATCACAATGCACTGAAAACCATGCATGTCTAAACAGTATAATTTACATAGAATATCTAATTTCCTTGTTGTAGGGGAGCCAGTGTCCATAGATTCATGAAGTACAGTTATTTCTTTATGCTTCCAACAAAGACAAAGACTGATTTCAAAGCTGGACAAAAACAAAAATTGTGGACTAATATATATCACATGCAAACTATTGTCCAGCAGATATGAGGAGGAACTCTTTCTATTTTTGCCATAAGGATGTCATAGCATGTGTAATGATAATGACAATTATCTTTGACACAGTCAGCAGTCAAGGCACAATTCGTGAGTATTATGAAACATTCTCTTACAATATGCTACCTCTTAAGCTTTTCCTTCATTTTAAATTAAATCTTATCTGCCTTTAAAATATTTTTGAAAACACCTATTCTAACAGCAAGGTGACCATTGATATGCATGGGGCCTCAAAGTATGGTCAGTATTATATCAATGGGATACTTCACATATGACTAGACAATACAGTCTTTATAACAGTGGAAATTATCTGAAATGGTCAAATAATAAGGATGTCTGTACTGCATGATGCCATACGAGACTAAAAAAACTTGAGAGAAATTGATGCACAGTGGGTCTCCCCTATGAACAACAAGGGTGAAACTCCTATGCTTCAGGAATATCCTCTTTGAAAGAAATACAAAAGTACCATGCAAAATATGGTGAATATGAATTCTGTTGTGCAAAGGCCTGTTATTCTGCAGAAGTTAAAACATTCAACAATCAGAAAATATACGGATAACTTCTATAAGCTCTCATTTATTGTGACATCACTCTTGCAAGACTGTCATTATTTCTGACCCACTCTCCTCCAAATTCCATGACTTCACCTTTAGATGTGAGACTTTGGTCCAACTCTGATACTTCAATTGTTACTTATACAACATATTCTTGATAAAAATATTCAACACTATTCATATTTCAGCTGCTTTATTTGACTGTTCTGCTGATCCAGATGGGTGTGTTGCTGGTGCTCAATGTGTGAATGTCCCATGGGCTATATTTATAGATAACATTTCTCGTCGATGTTTCTGCGCGCCAGGGACATATCCCTCATCCATGGGTACTTGTGCACCAAGTAAGTATGGTGGTCAAATTATCTGTGAAATATCAAAGTACATGTGTCTTGCCTTCACTATGGGTCAGCTGTATTCCTCTTTTTCGAATTATGCAAAAATATACCATATAATAGCTTTTGAATGCTGATATGTCTAAGTAATTCCACGAGTATGAATAGTAACTTTTTCAGAGATCACTGCTTTTAGGCACCATTTTAAAATAATTTTGTCATCTTGCTACTTTAATACTTAAAATGTTGATGCACACTACAAAAGGGAAACACTAAAATATTAGTACCCTCCCTTCCATTTCTCTATATCTATAAAAAATAAGTTCATCTGATGCAACACATCTACTGTGCTCTTCTACATCTGTTATTAATCTTTTATTAAATATTTTTGACAAAGTTGGAGGAGCTCCGTGTCTAGACAACACAGACTGCCTAGTTAGATCAGTGGACTGCACAGGAGTGATCAACCTTCTCCTAAGTCAGGGCAATGTTGACAGGGGCATTGTTTCACTAATCGCAAAGGTAAGCTACCTAGAACTCATGCATCCTCTCAAATTCATGTGCTACACCAATAGAAAATGTGGGACCTTTCATAATAAGCATTTTTTTTGGTTAAATTTAATTGAAAAAGTCACAACATGATAATAGACTAGTATTTAATTTGACCACACTTTTACCCTTTTCTTAGTTTCATATAAAATTAATGCTTTCATAACTTGGGGTTAAAATCATAATAAATCAATCAATATGAAGATTCAATAGCAATATAACACTTAACAAAGACATTCAACCCTATGCTTCGACTCTTCCTTATTTAAGAGAAATCTTCAAAAATATAATGCTGTCTTAAATGTGCTGTAAATGTAAGTTAGTCCTATGTACTTGTTACATAGAAACCAATGCTTATGGTAATCTAGGTCCAGTCAGACTGAAGAGAGAACAAATAGTCACAATAATTTATTATCTATTCTACCAATAAATTTATAGAATGGCAAATGGTATCAGATTTATAAATGCTTAGGATTTTACTGCCATCTGTTGCAGGTTTCTGCTTTACTGTGCCCCCAGGTCACTAAACCCCAGTTCATAGAAATGAACCAGAGTCAATTTCTTTCCAATTATCTCTTATACCAGTGTAGCAATAGGCTCTGTGTCACGCCACCAGCAGCAGGTAATATTTGTTTTATTAGGGGAAGAATGGTTTAAACCCTCAGATCCTGAACATGACAGGATGTGTGGNATCTAGCCTACCAATAAATTTATAGAATGGCAAATGATATCAGGTTTATAAATGCTTAGGATTTTACTGCCATCTTTTGCAGGTTTCTGCTTTACTGTGCCCACAGGTCACTAAACCCCAGTTCATAGAAATGAACCAGAGTCAATTTCTTTCCAATTATCTCTTATACCAGTGTAACAATGGACTCTGTGTCACGCCACCAGCAGCAGGTAATATTTGTTTTATTAGGGGAAGAATGGTTTAAACCCTCGGATCCTGAACATGACAGGATGTGTGGACCCCCCCCCCCCCCCCCCCCCAAACACACACACACACACACAACTAAAGATCTGATTAAGTTCGGTCTAAATGGTTTGAGACTGTAAAAGCAGTTTCCTCATATCATGTTATACATTGCAATGTTTTCTTTTTTTCAAATAATTGTTATACATATACTGTATACATTTATACCTTACCAAATTGTTCTTAAATCATAGGTGCAACAACCCTGTAAATATATTAACTATGTTTGACTTATGATTTTTTCTTTTATTTCAGATGCCAAATTTATAGCCTCCATCCTATTTTTCCTATTTGACAATCAGATTGTCTTAAGCATATAGTCATACAACAGCCTTGATATCTGAGACATCTTTCTTAAAATCCTGTGTTATTTCTTCTAAGACGGTATAGTGGACTTACACCCTATTTCCATAGATTTTTAGATCGATCTATCCCTGTGGGGAGTCTCACTAGATTACTGTCGGCTTGGCCAGCTTAAGCGTCTGTCCCGCCTACTAAAAGCTGTAAGAAGGTAATTAACTATGGTGCCCGCTCAGCTGACTGCAATTTAGCGTGAACCCCCAGGGAGTTAGGTTGTTCTAAAACTTAATCTTTAGATAGATCTAAATCTCTGGGAAAGCACCCTTAAAGTAGTGCATTAATTTGTGACATAAGGTGCATTCAGAATGAAAACTATCATACTAAGTAGAACAATCCACCTCTTTGGGGACTCTTGCTGAACACACTCAGATTAACTGAAAAACATGCCTCCTTGAGCAGCTAGGGGGTGATTAACTTTCATGTGTGCTCTGATTCTGAATGTCTTTTCACTTTGTTTTGAGTGCGACCAAATACACAAGAAAGTTTGACTGATCTATCTAGTAGGATAGTTTCATTGTAAATGCAAATATAAACTCAGATGAGTAAAACTCACTGTCAGAAAAGGTGTTTGTGTAAAGTGGAGGATATATGTGCAAAACTCATTCAAGAGAATTTGTGTGGTATATGTTTTAAAATATAGCTAATTTTCTCAGACAATTTGACAATTTTTGTCACCCTCCGTCTTTTTTTCCAATTTGTTATTACTTTATTCCATCTATAAGTAATAGTTGGGTTTACGCTGTAAGTAAATGTCCTAGTGGGCTGACAGTGCATTGGACTAAATCAAGATCAACCTGAGTAACAGTGACAGAGAACTGAACTTATATCTTAAAGAAGAGAAGTGTTATTGTTATACAATTGATTAGCATTACACAACTAGAAAAGCACTCAGAGAGTGCCAATTCCGTCAAGGCAGCTCAAGTCTCTTTATTATCTATTAAGTAGTTAAACAATTATGTAGCTTATTTCCCATTATAATTTATTATTAGACAATTTATTAATTAACAAATTAATTAATAGTTAATTAATATAAATTTCGAATTGTTACTGATATTTAAATATGCAGTCCCGTAAAAACCCCTGGTAGAAAAATCTTGCGAATTGTTTTGTCAACAACATAGAAGATACAAATACTAAAAACAAGAACAGCAAATTTTGTTTAAGTAGAAAAAAAAAGCAACAGCTTTCACACTTTATTTATTATCATTTTTTTTTTTTTTTGGTTCTGTATTAATTAAGAGTATTTTTCATTTGTATAACCAGTGACCAACAGAAATTGATGATTAACATTTTGCGGTTAACAGCATTTTGAAAGTGCTCATTAGTATAAATTTCATTTGACACCTCCATGCTGGTGTAAATGAATTCATCAAAAATCTGAAATAAAAGCTTTAAACTTCCTGTAAATAAATGAATCCAACACACAATTATTTCTGTTTTTTTTTTAATCCATAAACTAACAGCCAATTAAATGTTGAAATATTGCACCCCTAAGTTGGCCTAACTCCAACCAATCCCCCCTTCATTCCCCCTGCCAGCCAACAATTCAAAAAAGTATTAACTTTCCTTAAATGAGTTGTGACACTGACGTATGCCTTCATATCACTCATGTGACTGCAGTCCCATTAAAACAACCCCCACCCACCAAAAAAGGACTCACACCTCAATTAAGTATACATTATTAAAGTATTTATCACAGTCCATTGCAGTGCTATATGCTTTGTACAGAGGTACTTAGCCTCCGTATAATGTCTTAATGTTGTCATCAGAAAGCTTCCCAGGAGACTATTCATTTAACATTACATCCTGATGCATTTACATGTAAAGGGAAGCCATTCAGGTTTGACAAACCAAAGATAAAATCCACTCATTATTAGTCACTTGTACTTCCTGTGTTATTAGAGCAGACCACTTCCTGGCCAAGATTCATGCTTGACCACTACCAGACATCACTTAAGACCCCATTCCCATACCTAAATCGATCTAGCAGGATCGACTTATCTTCGAGGGGATTCTCGCTAAATTGCATTCAGATTAAGCAGCTTAGATGTCTGGCACGCCTATTGAAGCTGCTAAACAATAGTTGATTACCCCCTAACAGCTTCAGTAAGCGTGTCAGACATAAGAGCTGCTTAAGCTGAATGCAATTTAGTGGACCCCCTCGGAGATGAGTCGATCCTGTTAGATCGATCTAGGTATGGAAATGGGGTCTTACTTCCACTGGCTCAACTCTCATGAAATATGTTTTCTGCACAGGGAGGAGATTTCAGACCTTCCTATATATTGTAACCTTATCAACTGAGTTCTTTCCTTTTGTCCGGTCATTGCAGCTACTCTACCAGTGTAGTCAGGACAAAAAAGTCAGGACTAAGAACAAGCATATAGCTCTCTGTCTAGATATCTTCATACATTCTAATCTTAATTATCTTCTGAACAGGAAAAAATCACTTTAATTCATATCAGTTTTAACAGTGAGGGGATACTAGTCAACCAGTCATGATCAGAACAGAGACTGCCCTGCTGACCAAATAATGCTATGGATTTTTGTTTTCAGCCAGGTGTGCTGATGCCTTTCTGACTGCAAGGACATTAATAAAAAATAATCTGTTGTATGTGAACATATCTATCAGTACATCCTTGATGAAAATTGTCCCATTTCATACATTAAAATTAGGAAGTATTCTATACATTAACCGAAACTTATTAGATAATATAACATCTAAGACAAGAGATATTTTAAATGAAAATATTAGACAAAATGATTTCAATAAAATCATATCTCATCTGCTTGGGTAGTTTTGTTGATAGTTGGTAAGAAGGTGAGATACCATGAAAGGACACCTGGATACAGACTTGGTCATATAACAAAGAACTTAATTTTAAGGCGATCTCCATTTTTCCAGGAAATTGTACCCAATCCCACAGGGTTATTTCCAAGATCAAAAATATGTCCAGCATACCACACTCCCGGAGCCCGCCTTAATCTCTTCTAGATTTACAGGTGAAAAGAGGTTCACATAGGTACACTCCACTTCAAAGGGATTGTATCTCAACACATAATCTAATCTCGGAACAGGTTCTCTAGTTTTTTTCTCTCCCAAGTGAAGCATAGAAATGCATTCTATATAATTATGGACACCTAAGAACAATGAAATGATGCCATTCCCAGAAGTACTAGATAGAGAGTTCACTATGATAATTACCCCAGAGAGAAGTGACATTTCTTTGTCCGACTAATAATATCAGAGAGTGAGGGCAAGGATAGTTCAATGGGGCATCAGATAATGATGAATATAAAAGTGTGCACTTTAGCCAATAAGACTTAAATGTGTTACGCATGAAAGCAAACAGTTTTCTTATTGGATTGGTTATCTGATGAGCTGAAAAAGAGTTATTTAAAAGCTATCACTGTCATTTAGCCGTTGCATAACACAGCGCACAGCGAAAAAATAGTCAAAATAAATTAATAATTTAAAACATAAATATTCAAAACAATACAAAAAATATGCTTGTGAGTGGCTTATTTTAAATATTTTAAAACAATTAATTAGTAATTATGTGTACCTCCCCCCCACCAAAAAAAATTTTTTTTTTCAAGATATTATGCACTGCTTATATAAAATCCTAAGAGAAGCTTACGTGTGATGCCTGTGGGTTTTTTACAATGTGTTTTCTAGAGGGCTTGACACCATTTGCCTCTTGGCGCTTCCACAAAGTAAACTTGCTCCTTCTTCGCCCCTTGTCCCCTTGGGTAAGAACCCCATTGTATCTGTAATGGAAATACAGCAATAATTCATAGTAAAACTTGTAAGATACAAGTGAACTATTCATGCATTAGCAGGTTGTCAATACCATTGTCTCAGGATGCAATACAATTGCATTATTTATTCAGTAAGGAAAGCATAAACAGTCGATGAAAATATTGTTATTTCAGATTAACAGAATCAAACAAAGTATGCACTACTATTATTTGCATTTCCTCTCTCATATGGTATCGTGAGGAATTAAAAACAAATACACTGTGTAGTTGGTCAATATCATTACTGAGTTCATAACTTTCATTTAACTATTCATGATTCACATTATCAACATTTTGTTTTAAATCATTCATAATGCAGTGGATACCAAAACATAACCAATGATCCCATAAAATTCTGTGTTCAACCGGCATGTCATATTTGCTTTGATATCAGGCAATACTGTAATGTGTAAAATCAATAATAAAAAACACATCTTCATGTGAACAGACACATTCCAAAACTCTTCCTCCCACGAGATCAATCAATAAAGTTGTGATCAGATGATGGATATGGTAAAAGACCAAGCAAAACATTCACTTTGAACAGGTCCAGAGTACAGAAACACAACAAGAGCAGTTCTTGTCAGTTAATCTCTAGTTCTTTGAGTCATGGCAAATAAACACACAAAAAATGAAGGGTGTCCCATGCAATCAGACTTTCAGGTAACCTGTCATGCTGTTGGGCATTACACTTTCATACATCTGATGAAATTTTGGTAAATTGCACATTGTGGTCACACATTTAACTAAAGAGAGACAAAGAATACCACTGGTATCTGTGGGGTTTCATTATAACCATAATCAAGCCCAAAGAGTTCCGATGAACATAAAAGATATGCACCAGCACATACAACATGACCTATTAAAAATATTACTATGGCATGCAATACTATTAGCTGGATACCTCAAATACAATGTGTCTCCCTCTAAAACCAAACTCAGGCCTACCCAACTACCAGACTCAGCACCGAATGATACCAAATTCACTCGTAGCTCGGACCACACTACCCGTTTCCAAAGTGTACGTCAGTAGGCATTTTACGGTATCATACCCCAGAACAAATTTTGAGATGAGATGCATTACTGTTCAACTCGGCTCAGAATTATCGCTATCACATCGCATACTAGGCAAAAGCGGTGTCGTGTCTGATACTTCGAAGCGCGTACTGACGCACACCTTGAAAACAGATAGTGTGGTCCAAGCGTCCGGTGACTTCAGGATCATTTGGTGAAGAGTCTGGCAGTTGGGTAGGCCTGAAACTAAAAACATTACTAGTACCTTGAAACCTAATTTGCAAATCTGAACCAGTAATCTCCAAAGGGGAATGAGGGGCAAATAAGGATAAGGGGGAGAGGGGGTTAAATGTCAAAAATCATATTATTTTGTCCACTCCCTCATCCTGCTGTCATAAAAATTTGATACAAACTCTCCCCCATCTATACTTAAAGTCTGCTCTTGCACATATCATTTACTTCTATGAGGTTATTTTCATCAAGGACTAGTAAATAAAGATGAAAGCAGTGATTACCAGTCTCATTAACAAGGTAAATGACAATAAAATTTGAATAGATAGGGATTTAAATATTAACTATCCTTAAAAAAGCTATTACTGACAGCTATGTGAATATAAATATCTTTTTAGTCCGACTTCTGATAATAAGACAGTTAAAACAAAATTTGGAGAGACAATAAAATTTTCTTTTAATCATTTTTTCCCACATATACCATCTTTCCTGGATAAAAGCAGAGATTAAATACAAAGACGAAGCATGAATTAGATTGAAAAATTATTCATCATCAATTTGATGAAAATTGAATGGTATTTCAATATATATATATGCTCTATTATCTTTTGAGTTTCACAAATCTGAGTACAAAAATCAGTTGCAGTAGTTGAAGTGATCTTTCTTCCATCCATCCATCCCTCCATAAAAGTTTGGTTTATAAATACATATTTACAAAGTTTGCAATTAACAAAGTATTGCATATATCAACATCAAAACAATTTTGACAAGCCAAGGTCTACATACTAGTATTGTTTTTTAAACATTTTTCCCTTTTCCATGATATTGGTTATACATGTGATTTCTTCTATTGCATCACTCATTTGCAAGGCACATCCACACCAAGCAGTACTTCCTAGGTCAACTGCACCTAATCCTTTAAGCTGAGATTTGTTCTTTAAAAAACCCACCACCATGCAATTTAACACACAGCATTTGTCAAGGGAAATATTGGATCAGACTTTTTTTCACCAGCAGATAACAAGCTAGTGCATCTTTTTTTCTTTTTGGCAGAATTAAAGCACGAGATATAGACTGACAGTATTGGCCTCACTTTCAGAACAAAATCTTCTAAGCCATCAAANAAAAAACACATCTTCATGTGAACAGACACATTCCAAAACTCTTCCTCCCACGAGATCAATCAATAAAGTTGTGATCAGATGATGGATATGGTAAAAGACCAAGCAAAACATTCACTTTGAACAGGTCCAGAGTACAGAAACACAACAAGAGCAGTTCTTGTCAGTTAATCTCTAGTTCTTTGAGTCATGGCAAATAAACACACAAAAAATGAAGGGTGTCCCATGCAATCAGACTTTCAGGTAACCTGTCATGCTGTTGGGCATTACACTTTCATACATCTGATGAAATTTTGGTAAATTGCACATTGTGGTCACACATTTAACTAAAGAGAGACAAAGAATACCACTGGTATCTGTGGGGTTTCATTATAACCATAATCAAGCCCAAAGAGTTCCGATGAACATAAAAGATATGCACCAGCACATACAACATGACCTATTAAAAATATTACTATGGCATGCAATACTATTAGCTGGATACCTCAAATACAATGTGTCTCCCTCTAAAACCAAACTCAGGCCTACCCAACTACCAGACTCAGCACCGAATGATACCAAATTCACTCGTAGCTCGGACCACACTACCCGTTTCCAAAGTGTACGTCAGTAGGCATTTTACGGTATCATACCCCAGAACAAATTTTGAGATGAGATGCATTACTGTTCAACTCGGCTCAGAATTATCGCTATCACATCGCATACTAGGCAAAAGCGGTGTCGTGTCTGATACTTCGAAGCGCGTACTGACGCACACCTTGAAAACAGATAGTGTGGTCCAAGCGTCCGGTGACTTCAGGATCATTTGGTGAAGAGTCTGGCAGTTGGGTAGGCCTGAAACTAAAAACATTACTAGTACCTTGAAACCTAATTTGCAAATCTGAACCAGTAATCTCCAAAGGGGAATGAGGGGCAAATAAGGATAAGGGGGAGAGGGGGTTAAATGTCAAAAATCATATTATTTTGTCCACTCCCTCATCCTGCTGTCATAAAAATTTGATACAAACTCTCCCCCATCTATACTTAAAGTCTGCTCTTGCACATATCATTTACTTCTATGAGGTTATTTTCATCAAGGACTAGTAAATAAAGATGAAAGCAGTGATTACCAGTCTCATTAACAAGGTAAATGACAATAAAATTTGAATAGATAGGGATTTAAATATTAACTATCCTTAAAAAAGCTATTACTGACAGCTATGTGAATATAAATATCTTTTTAGTCCGACTTCTGATAATAAGACAGTTAAAACAAAATTTGGAGAGACAATAAAATTTTCTTTTAATCATTTTTTCCCACATATACCATCTTTCCTGGATAAAAGCAGAGATTAAATACAAAGACGAAGCATGAATTAGATTGAAAAATTATTCATCATCAATTTGATGAAAATTGAATGGTATTTCAATATATATATATGCTCTATTATCTTTTGAGTTTCACAAATCTGAGTACAAAAATCAGTTGCAGTAGTTGAAGTGATCTTTCTTCCATCCATCCATCCCTCCATAAAAGTTTGGTTTATAAATACATATTTACAAAGTTTGCAATTAACAAAGTATTGCATATATCAACATCAAAACAATTTTGACAAGCCAAGGTCTACATACTAGTATTGTTTTTTAAACATTTTTCCCTTTTCCATGATATTGGTTATACATGTGATTTCTTCTATTGCATCACTCATTTGCAAGGCACATCCACACCAAGCAGTACTTCCTAGGTCAACTGCACCTAATCCTTTAAGCTGAGATTTGTTCTTTAAAAAACCCACCACCATGCAATTTAACACACAGCATTTGTCAAGGGAAATATTGGATCAGACTTTTTTTCACCAGCAGATAACAAGCTAGTGCATCTTTTTTTCTTTTTGGCAGAATTAAAGCACGAGATATAGACTGACAGTATTGGCCTCACTTTCAGAACAAAATCTTCTAAGCCATCAAATTAAAGAGATCTGATCTAGACTTCGTTCACATGCAATGTCTATTTTCTATTTTCTATTTTCTATTTTCGGTATGTCTTATGATCACGGTCTGTGCACTGAATATCCCGCGGCGTAATTACTGGCAGCGCGAGCCAGTTACTTATAGTAACTTATAGTAACTGGCTCGCGCTGCCAGTAATTACGCGGCGGGATATTCAGTGCACAGACCGTGATCATAAGACATACCGAAAATAGAAAATAGAAAATAGAAAATAGACATTGCATGTGAACGAAGCCCTAGTCACAAAGTGAGAATTTTATCTTAAGGGCCATTATGAGGAAGTCTCTTTGCTTGTTCCATTCCTAAGACACTGTTAAATTATGTAAAATATATATAAAAAATATGCACTCTGAAAGCAAAACTTATGAAAGTATATTTTTAACAGATTTTCAGTGGCACTTCATTACTAGTAAAAGTAGATCTATCGTATATTCTCCCTCTTTTAAGAAATCAGTATTGATTAAGAAACATCTACCCAGATGCATAGTTCAGGAACCAATTTATTATTAAAAGCAAAGATCCCAAAAGGAGCACATTCTATAGCCATGTTCAATATATCAGAGGAGTAAATTCTATAGAAACCAGTTGTAACTATAATTGGGACATAAATTTTTTTCAATGCAGTTAATGCATATAAAAAACACCCCTTCTTGAAAAAGAAATATTCTTCTTACTTCATAAATGAATAGAAGTGAATATAGCATTGTAAGCACATTTTGAGACACATTTTCTTTTCTCATTCCCCCCCCCCTCTCCCCCTTGCATCTGTTTCTGTTTTCAGTTCTCCAGAGAAAACACCTGTTATAACAGCTCACCTCGACCACCAGACCTAGATATCTAGTCTCCTGCTGTGTTCAGTTAAATGTCCAACAGTAATCTTGTTGTGAAAAGTACTGTTAACATACCTCGGCTTTTACCTAAGCAGACACGCAGCCCTGATGAAGCCTATAGTCTCATTTCCAAATCAAGCTGGGTCAACATAATCTCAGTATGACCCATCTCACAGTGATTATGATTAGCTCACCAGGCCAGTATATCTAATCCCACCTCTGTCCCAACCATTGCCATTGTAACTGGGTGAAGTAGTGAGCCATCAGACTGGCCACCTATGGAGATTTAATCATAATCAGAAAGTTTGCTGAAATGGGTTCAATAGAGATAAGTATATCTATCTTGACTGGAAATAACACTTAATGTATTGCCACTAAAATGTGCCCTTTCAGTTATTTTATTTCTTATCTTTTTAAATATTCCTATATAATTTTGTAAAAAAAATTTACATTAATGTCACTGTATTTCTCTTTTAGGCACTATTTCTTTCATATGTTAAAATATCATCAAACTACATGCCAATGTTAATACTGAGTACCTTCAATGACATATAATTATCATGAGATCAATTATGTTATTGTTAATTTTGAGTATCTTTAATAATATATAATAATCTTGAGAATTACTGAACAGTGACTAAATGTGGTATAACTAGCCACCATTTCCCCACTTGAGCATATTTTCCACTGTATATTTTCCACTAACAGCAAGTCTGTAGTGAATTGCTGCATTAATGTCCACCCTCCCCCTTCACACCACTTTCTAGGTAATGTTATTAGTGTTATGCAATTCTACAGGCTGCAAATGTGTTTCTGTATCCTCAGACAAACTCCTTTCTCTAGCACTATTTATTTCCATCAACCAGCTAATTTGAACAACTAAAAATATATTGCATATCTAGGGGTGAGCATTACACAACAGACTGACATACTTCTTGTATATAAGATCCCCAGGTTATACTTTCCACCTTTGTATATAAAAGAACATGATAAACATGAGCATGATTCTTTAAGCAGCTTGAGGATCTCTTTTTTCACTATTTTCACCTATATTACTGACGCTAAGTACATTAGTGCCATGTTGGTTTACCTGGCTTATTACTGCCCTTAATGCAAAAAAATTACTTTTTAAATCTTCTAGTACTTGGCCACAAAATAAGTCAATACTTTTACTTCCATTTCAAGGAATACAATTGCATGACTGTTGTTATCTGTTGTTATGGTATATGGATGATTCAGATTCAAGTTTTTTGTTCCAATGAATATACCAAAAGAGCACTTTTCTATTCACCTGCCATATAAAGCACTTGTCACAGATTTGTAATTTTATTCCTATATTACAAGATACGTGCAGCAATATGCCGTTATATGTTTATATTAGTGCCTGAGGTAAAAAAAAAAATGCATGGGAATAGTATGTAGCTAGTAATTATCCTTTTCCTAGCTGTGAGTGTTTGAGCCTGGCACCAAGTTAATACTATGCAGCACTGGCAGCAAGCTCATTGCCTGGAACAATATAAGAGGATATTTTCTAAACCCATTTCATACTCATAATATGGACTTGGAAAATAGTATTGAGTGGATGAATTATATATTTTCTGGAGATAAAAGCTTCATCATTTAATCAAGTAAAATTTGGTGGGCAAGAATGCATATTTATTAATTATATTCTTTCCTTTCTAGATTAGAAGGCATTAAAACAAGCGAGTATTTAGTGGGAAGTTCAGTGATTTGGTTAATCTGATCAATTTAAACAAACAAAACAATATATACTCAGCTCCTTTTTATAAACAATGCAACAGACACTAACAGAGGGTATTTTTATGACATGTTTATCTTTGCAGCTAAAAAGGTTTCAGATAGATTTGCATCAGTGCTAAAAAAACAGGGGAATGGATAAAACATCTAAACCAGCAGTTTTCTGCCAGAATTTTTCTAGAAGCAAGTACTCTGTTTCAGTTTTAATCATCTGAGATAGCAATCAGATCAGCGTAAAGTAGTCTGGCTTGGAGTGCCTTGACAGGTTGATCTTGAAAAGGCCAGTATTTAACAGGATATCAGCTGGTTCATATACTGTCCTCAACTAAACCAAGTGAAAAAAATTGATTGTATCCAGGCTCTTACTATTATACGGTTTCTTAAAGAATTTGATGGTAAACCTCATCAAATGGATGTAATCTATTCCCAGATGACACAACACAACTTTTCTTATTAATTTTTTTTTAATTGAAAAAAACACTGAGCTAAAAAAAATGTCCAATTTCAGATAAGAAAGTTACAGGAGTTTCAACCACCTGCTAATTTCATGGCAATCAATGTACATGTCCATACTAACTTAAATACCACAGGCAATAAGGCCTTAATGTAAACTCAATTTAGTTAGAACTACAGTTATTGGTTTCATTCTCTTAAAAGGATAATATCTATGCTTAACATTCCATTTGAACTCTATTAACCGTTGCACTCACAGCATTTTCATAGACTGATGATTTAGAGCATTCAGACAAAAGATGTGTTAAATATTGCTCTCCATATTACACATTTGCATTATAATTTTGGTTCATACACTCACCCAAAAAGTTTGGAAACATTATTATTTTGAATAATTATAAAATAAACACATGAGCTAAGGTATATATTTTAACCAAACATTGATGGATTATGCACCCACCATACATTTCTTTTTATATACACTGAACATTTTAGTTATTAAAAAACAATTTCAGGTTTCAAAACTTTTTTGGTCAAGTGTGTATTTATACCACAGCAATATGAGTTACCCAGTTGCAATCCAGCATATTTCAGCTATAAAACTTATTGGCTATATCATGTTGAGTCACGAACCCCTTCCTATTCTTCAACTTTACTGTGTGAAGGTATACTGGATATAACATTATTTTTATAATATATGAAATGCAGGTGGCTGAAGATAATTATATGATATACTTATATCATTAACTTTTTTCATTGAAAGGTTTGATGCAGGGCATAGAATCAACCAGGGAAGGTATGATGGTACCAGTAGATAAAATAATAACATCAATTCATCAGAACAATTTCTATACATCTCCCTTCAGTCATATATTTCAAAGCTTACTGAACATACTGCAAAGCAATTTCTAAAAACTAAATGACCATCCTCTTCCAAAGGAGTAATTTCTGGTTCTTTCCAACCTACCACTATCATTAATCACCACCATAATTATCACTCCCTTTGTTTACCTATAGAGACAGAGCCATTTATACATGCCAAAGGCAATCCTCTTTAACAGATTATATATATATTAGCCAAAATGTGTCTCTATCCAGGGATGGATATAGGGCATTTGACAGGTCAGGGAGTTTTGGCCCTGATATCACTATGGGCGCTTTCGGAACAGATGATCAGCACACTAACTTGTCCACGGATTAAATATGGCTATCCCCACTAATTTAGAGATGCTGATAATCTTCTCATAGTCTCCCTGCCATCCCTACAGGGGTCTAGCAATTAAAACCCGAAGCCAAGATCTAATCTGTATGGAGGCAAGAAGACCATAAAAGGATTAGGTGGCATCCCTTTTGAGTGGGGTCGGCCATATTTAGTCCACGGATCAGTTAGTCTGCAGATCATCTGTTCTGAATGCAGCCTATGACGACACACTGGATCTGATAATCCTGGTTCAAAATCTCAGGCTATGCCAAACATGCCCCAAAATAAGAAAAGTGCTCTTAAAACTTTTTTCTATAACAGCAACTCCTTTCCTCACAGAAACAGAGTCATTCACAAAGGCACCATCTAATAACTAACAGAGAAAAAAAGGTTATCTCCATCAGCTCAGTGAATTCAAAATTCAGCACATATATAGCATGGATCATCATTTGTGGCCAAATGTCAGTTCAATAACTTTTGGATTTTCTGAAATGCTTATGTCTTTTGTCATATATAATTTGTCACCTGAGGTCTGTTCCATTCCTTTTAGATCCTCTCAATGTTCATTATCAATTTTACTTACCCTAGCACCACTATCTCCCCATACTTCAGTGGGGTCACCTTTTTGGGACTTCCATGTTTTTTATCATCATCCCCAAGGCTGAGTTTTGCCTTGAGTGATGATTTGGTTTCCAGAGGAACAACCTCTGGTAATTGCTCCTTCACTGTCTGGACTAGATCTGTCTGCTTTGTGTCCCCATTATTAGCTGGCTCCTGAGGGACTTGTTGTAACTTCTGCTTGTTTGGATCTTCTAGGGCTCTGGATTAAATAAAACAAAAAATGATAACTTATTTTATTGTAGTTGAATGAACTTAACACTTAAAAGGTATATAAATATGTAGGTTTTTAATGCACAATTATGAGGTCATCTCTAAAGCAAGATGTGATTTGTCTTTTGAATCAAAAATTCCATGTGTGTGTGTGTGTGTGTGTGTGTGTGTGTGTGTGTGTGTGTGTGTGTGTTGGTGGAACAGGGGTGAGCCAAAGAGTACACCCTGCCTGTATTTTCCTTTTGCTTTCTATTGTGTAATATTATCCAATGTATAAAATTAATAAAAACAATTACCTGATGTATAAAATTAATAAAAACAATAAAACATAAAACTTATTTAAAACATGAGACGTATGTGACAAGAATGTGCAATGATAGTGTGACAATTTCACACCAATCACTTTCAGATGTTACATGTTAAGGAGTACTTAACACATATAGACATAATAAAACAACACTACTACGTTGGAAAGTTACACGTGGTCTCATGGTGAGTGGCAATTAATTCCATTATATTCACAGTTCAGCACATTAGTAAATACTAACAAACTACACTGAAAGATTTGTTTCAAAATGTCCAGACGACTAAGACAAGACACAAAGAGGACCATGAAAACAAAGATATGACAACAAGGATCGGACAAAGACGAACGACTAAGATCACGACCCACAATTTGATTACTGTTTACACATAGCAAAAAGCTTACAAACAGTAAATACTCACATCTGTTGTGTATCTGGCATCACAACTACCCAATAATGTAACTATATCTCATCCTACAAGTCTCAAAAAGGCAACATTGTGAGAAAAATCTCGAGTGAAAACAAACGAGCAACAAATGACCTAGTTCCTAACATGCAGAGTCACTCCTCGTACTTGAGTATCGTTTGCACCGGATGTGCTTTCCCATATAAAAAGTGCGATTGCGTTTTTATAGTTTGTGTATTAGTAAATAAATAAATAAATAAATAAAATTTGAGTACGCAGTTTGAATAGGAATAAAAAATTGTGTGGAGCAGACCCAGAATTAAAAAAAGGGGCCGAAAAAATGAACTTGTGATTTTGTTTAAAAATAATGGCAAAAGCAGGAATGAAAAAGAGAGGCCAAAATGCAGACTCACAGGACCTGTCACGTGTACGGTCCGTTCTGCATGAACCATCCGTCCTGACCGATTGTACACGCAGCAAGGACCAAATTATTTGAAGTTCTAGGTCCGCATTCCTAAAAATATGCCCCCCCCCCCCGCCCCTTTCACAAGAAATGGAAGAACGTCCTCACCAAATGCAAATTTTTAGAACGAAGAAAATGGGGTTTTCGGGTGGACCAAATGTTCCTGTGCTTATTTCAGTCGAACGCAGTTGGTGGTAAATACCCCATTAAATTTAGTTACTAACATGATTAGTATGTTTTGTCTTGTTCATGGAATATTAGCACAATCATGTTGAGATAGACACCGCAACCACCAGAGCAGCGCTCTCTAACACATTGTAGTAATATCAGCGCAGTGATTTTTCCCACCTTTGTATCTAACCTTTTTCAAAATCTCATTATATATTCCCACTTTTAATTGAAATGTGTTTCCTTTTTAATTATTTAAAATGCTATTCCATTTGCATTTCTTATAAATATTACATTCAAACTGGGTACAAAGTTTTTGTATCAAAATGAAGCATGGTTTACAATTGATTAATATTTTAATAATTAAATATTATTAAAATATTAATCAATTGTAATATTTTAATAATTAAATATGCCATGCTTAAATCATCTTAAGTTCAGGCATTTAACCTGTCACTAAATAAATTTTTGTTATCTAATGGTGCAAGTAATGGTTTTGTAAAATGAACTGCACTTGTTTTAAAATACAGAAATGATTTTTCAGAAATGTTTCGCATAAATCAAAACTACCAATAACTCTTTAAACTGAAAATAAGACTTGTTCTAAATCCAATTTATTGGATCATTGGATGAAACTTTACAACAATTAGACCCAAGTTTCAATGGAGATACAGATGTGCAACTAGAAGAACACATTTACTATATATGTTCCCTTCTTGTGCACTATACATATGCACTATACAATATTTTATGTAGTATACATATGTACTATATTATTTATTAGAACAGTTACACATTTACAAATAACACTTTTACAATGCTCTAAGCCATTTCCAGTCACAATGTGACAGCACATTTGGTACATACATTGTATTCTGCATTTTCTTCATCACATAATCTCACATTTGAAATTAGTTTCATGATCATCTTAAATAGTTTAAATAGTATACATGATCAGTCAGGATCGATAAAGTCCATTGTACAGTATCATTCAATTAAAGTACAGCGTTCACTTCTGCTGACTTCCAATTATTTACTATTAATACCATCTTGAAACAATGCAGTATAAAATTCTGGTTCTGGAAGTTTGGTGCGATACTTGTTGACTATTTCCCGAACTTTCATATGTCTTCTCACATGAGGAGGCTGATACCTTGAAATATGAAGTGATTAATGACAGATTTCATCCAAGTGATACATACTGTAAAAAGCAAGACTGGGTGTTAACTTTTATTCTATGACATTTTTAAATATCAGATATACTAAGATATTTTAATATATTTTAATAATTTAATAATTTTTAAAAAATTAACCACTTAATCAAACTATATTATAATATAATAATAATATCCAGTAAAAATTGACCCACTAATGCCTTTTATACATATACACATAAAGTCTTACATGACAAAAAGAGAAACAGAAAAAATTTGATAAATGAAAATGTTTTGATATTGAATTTGTTTTTCATACTAACATTTCACTGTCCAGTCTTTTCCTCTTTCCAATGTTGATAGCTGTCTGCCTGACCAGAGTTCCTAGTGACCGCCGACTGACCACCATTCCATCCACCAGAGGACCAGCTCTGTGTCTAAAATAAATGACAAAGGCTTTCTAATTAGACTCCTACTGTTACAGCACTCCCTGATAAGACTCCTACTGTTAGAGCATTCAACAGTTATTATACTTATATGAAATTCAGCAGCACATGATAATGGAGAGTTTAAGAGTCTGATGCATTGTCAATTTGCGCCATTTTTCTGCTTTTTATATGGATCCCAACTTTCATTCAACCTCACCAATGCATTATGAATTAACATTCAATTATGTGGACAAAGTTTTTTTTGCATGGGGTATGATGCAACAAACAGGAAAAATGATCTTGCACTAAAAACCTTCCATCCTTTGGGTTGACAAAATGAAAGTGAAAAGAAGTGGTTGTTTATAAAAAGAGTATCATGCTCAAAAGACAGCAAACATATCAAAAAATCCAGTTATAATTACTTTAACAATCCTTTGACATGTATCCTAAAGAGGCCACTTTTGAGTGCGTGGATGAAGATGACATGTTGATCTTTGAGGTCACTCTGCTTGTTTGGTTGCAAGGTTTCCATTCCAGTGCTGACCATGGAACAGGCTTCAACTGAAATAGGAACCAGAACAATTATAAGTAGCATACATGTACTAAAGAGAAAATTATGCATTATTCACGTCTGTGTAAACTTGTAATATGACTGGTTTGTCTTACATTTTCCAGATAACCAAAACCACAACCAAACATAGTTAATCTACATCTGCATTAAAATATAACGGGCAAAATAAATGTTGCTTAATTTCAGATGCCTGCTGCACTCTTGCTGTTGACCTGCAGAATATAAAAATTAAATCAGAGCAATACAAATATCATACAAAGATAAGCCTGTGACTAACCTGTTGGAAAATCTGCATGGTCTTCATATCTCTCCAGCCACACAACTAGAATTCTCACATCTGGTCCCCACACTGTCATTCCTCCCCTCCTGTGAGCCCTGCCAAAACCTAACAAGTCCTCTGAAATTAAGAAATTCTACATATAAAAACATTGCCGACAAAGTAGACTTTTTGAACAGAAATATGGTAATATTACACTTCAACAAAATTTTTTAATGATTTTTTATTTTTGACATTTAAAATGCACATTTCATTGAAAATTATCATTGGAAAAGCTTTAATATAGTGTAAATTTTAACATGTTACACAGTTGATTATACAATTATTCTTCATAATTTTATTACTGATTTACTCCAATTTCAATCACAACATGATCACTAGTAACACAACAAAAGTAAAAATACTGTATGCATATGTCTAGAAATAAGAGAAAGGGTGATGACAAATTGCAAGACCAGCACACGTGAAAGAAGGTTAAAATCAAGCGATTAAAAAATTCAACTAAGCCCAAATCACATGAGATTGAAATATCTAGTATAACCATGCACCTGACGAGCTTGGATATTCGGAGGCCATACTGCTGGATTTTTGGTCCACTGTCAGTCTTGGTGCATGTCTACCCTGGGCACTGACCCCTACAACACAACATACACCTGTACACCTCTGAGATTCCTCCACACAGGAGCTACTATAGAGCTGTGTCCACAATCTGACTGGGAAGGGTGGCCAACTCTACATGTTTATTTCTCTTCTATATGTTTCACTAAATCATATATTTTTCATTATTTCTAGGGAAAAATCAAAGGATTTAGATGGCCACCCTGACTGTTTGACTGGAAAAAACCTAACTGATGTTACCAGACTGCTAAAGATAGAAATCTAAGTCACAATGGGTATCCCTAAATAATGTTTTGGTCTGTTAACATCACTTGGTCCAGTCTAAAAAAGTCACATTGTGGATGGTACCTTCTACAAGCTGAGAGAATTGTTTCCCTTCCCAATTTAATGCTTTTATAACATATATCTAATTCTTTGCAATTTTTTCAATCCTCTGATTTAAAAACGTAAAAAAAAAAAAAAATCATTAACTGATCTTGTGTAGGGGCTAAAATTTACCTGGGGGCACCTGAGGTTTAGAGCTCTTGCTGTGATATAAACATCAAAGACACTGTACACAATACTGTGCACAGTAATGAAAAGCAGAAGTCCACAGAAAATCCTTATCCTTGTCACAATCAAATTACAAAGGGTGCGTTTAAGTAAGTGCAAAAGAATGAGGCACAAAAGAGTGCAGTTTAGTAATATGTGTTAAAAGTTGACTTTCATAAGATTTGTGCTTGAAATAGGCACTGGTAAAAGATGCAAATAAGTTGGTTTTCTTTCAGACTGTTAAAGAACTTGCCATGAAGATTCAATATGTTTATGTAAGACAATGTATATTGCCAACAAAAAAATCAAAGCTATAATTTAATATCTCTGAAACTCAGGGTTCCCATGATTACAGAAAAAAGATTAAAAAAATTTAAAGAGCAAGATGAAAATTTTAGTCAAAATGCGGAGATTGCCCTACTTACTTAAATTTATATTTTATAAATGGTTTATTTCTATTGACTAAAACACCAAAAAAGTGAAAAGCAAAATTGACAATAAAAGTACTGAAAACTGGCTTGTACTCACACTTGCTATTGATTAAATATATTCACCTTTTAAAAATTTAGTCAAACTTGCTCAAGCCATAATTGCAAAATGCTTATTAAATCAATTTTCCAGGTCAAGTATATTGGTCAAACTTTAAGATTATCAAGATCAATGCTTTTTTTAGTGTAAATACAAACCATAAAAAGAGAATTATTCACAATCAAATAGTTAAAACATGCAAAAAACTTGTGGAGATTGTATTTTTTTCTTCTTTTCCAAAAGAAATTTAATCTTTATACCTCCAGCCAAAAGCACATTGTCAGCTGTAGAAGAGAATAAATCAATAAATCATTATATCAATTATTTGTAATGGTAAAAAGAATATAAGAGTTCCAAAATAAGTTTTAAAATGAGTTTTACAATTCAACCAATAAGCAACTTCTTATTAAGTTTCAGATAGCCACATGAAAGTAAGTCATTAATTGGCAAATCTACAATCATCTTTGCTAGATCAAGTCAACTGCAAAGCCAAAGAAACCAAAAAGACATCCATAAGAGCTACAGTAGTTCACCTGTTTCACAATCTGTGCTGATGCCTCTCCTTACTGATTGTGTTTGATGAGACGGCACAACAAATGCAATCTCAGCAGCAGCATCTGCCCAGTACAGCACTTTCTGATGTCCATCATACACACTACCACCAGTGTCAGAGGCAGGGGTAAATACTTCACCAGACAGAGTATCACTGCTGTGATCTTGACCATTGTCCGTTATCTTCCAGCTGCTGGACACATGACCAGTCCAGCCTGTATGTTTTCTCACATTCACCGGCCACCCCAGAGATTCCAAGAATTCTATGAAATGAGGCTGCACCAGTGAACGATGGCTCTGCAGCACAAAAAACGACAAAAATGTTTATAAACATATTCCTTTTTATACAATTATAAATATATTGCCTAAAAAGACAAACCATAGTTACAATGAATTATAATTGCACTTGATTCACTATGTTTAATTTCTTTAAGTGAACACTTCCAACTGATCAACCAATTCATCAAATTTTCTTACTACATTAGATACAATGTCCTGCATCCGTTTCTGTCCAGCTTTGACATAGAAGAGATATGCTGTGTCCCAGGTCCGTGTGGAGATATCATCCAGAGCCCCCAAGCTGACACTCAGCCCAGGATCACTGGAGTCCAGCATGACCAGAGGAGGGGCCAAAGTAGGGGTACCTGGTTCCTGGATATTAAGAAATTGTTCATTTCAAAATTTTGACTCAAAAGTAGGGGTACCTAGTTCCTAGATGTTAAGAAATCATTTATTTCAAATTTTCAACTCAAATCATTTATCCCCATAGGTAACAACCAGAGACAAATGAGGCAATCTACTGGCATGAAATTAAAAAAAAAAAATAATAAAAATCAAGTTTAGTTACACTTAGAATGCCTTCTAATTGTACTTATTTAGACAAAGTGTTATATCTGTGTTTGCTGTGTATCATCATAAAACCATCATTTAAATTTTAAATAATGTTTTTTTTTCCATATGTAACAGTCGTATTAAAAAAAAAAAAATGATGCAGAATTCCTCAACACATTAAGAAACTTCAAAAATTTCAAAATGAGAGCCCTACCTTTAGAGCCTCAAGAGATAGGAAGCCATAATGAGACAAGAACATTCGAGCTGTTTGGAAATCCTGACATATGCTAGAATAAAAGGGGGGAAATGTATTAAGTATAAACATTGATGGAAAAACTTAAAGCTTCACACATAGATTTGAGTAACATTTCTTTAAAATATATCAAAGTGAGCAACCAACTCATTAAGAAGGGGTTTGTATTAAACATATTTCTTCAAAAAAATTCTTGACATGTTTTGAAATACATTTCCCATATTCATAATAGTACCTTGGTGGTTTACATATGGTCTCAGTATTTGGAAAAGGCTGGTTCTTCTTTTTATGTTCTGCCACAAACCCTACATTATTTTCTAGGGCCCTCTGGCTGGATATAAAATCCAGCATTTTCAGGTGGTCAGCATCATGTTTAGGGTCCTTTACAATAGACTCCATGCTGGGGATACTCTGGTCACTGGAAAAGGGCACCGATAATTAATCATTAATTAACATTAAAATGTGCCATGTTGATCTAGAATGTCATTTAAGAAGTGATTACGTATGTACTGTATTTAAAATTCTCGTTGTTCAATAAATGTGTTCAAATATTAAATGAAATCTAAAATCACCCAATAAGAATATGAACAGGATTTCTGAGATAGTAGGTATTTGAATACAGCATTTCTTTGAACTATGTGCAATTTTGATCACCAAGAAGAGGTAACAGGAGGGCCTTGAATGCCTGTCACAAGGAAAATATTCCAACAAGCTTTAACAAATTGCGATGTAAAACTGTATTGCATATCAGAAATATTTTCAAAAATATATCAGTAAAATACCAGCAACATGTGGAAAATGTAACATAAAAGTAAGGGACAAACAACATATCAATGTCTGTCCTGGCATTATTTTTTCATGTACAAGTATCTACTGCATAGCATAGCCATATAAAGACCACAATCTGCCACATACGTAATGTCACAGGGTGTGACCATATCAGATCAATATGGTATAGACAGTCACACAACTGATATATCTATCCTGATTTAACCTTTAACCATTTTCATGGTCAGGCTAATCATAATTAATGGAATAGAAAAGTTGTATAGTTTTTTATATATTACAAATGAATGAATTAATCGTAAAAAGAAAGAAACATGATATCGAGTCACCCTTGTGCCTATTGACCAGCTGTCATAATGAATGATATATTACTTATACTTTTAATACATAGATCAGGTTTTAACTACCAAACAGGGATTCACATCAATTACGTAACATATCATCATCAATCAAATCTAATAAGAACTACCACGTTTTACCAAGGCTATGGCCTTATAATTACATATTAATGCAAAACTGGCTTTGCTTATCAATAATGAATATACAATTAATTATAGATTGGCTATGTTTATGACTGCATTCCCAGAGATTTAGATCGATCCATCAGGATTGACCTAACTCCCTGGGGGTTCGCGCTAAATTGCTGTTAGCCGAGCACGCACAACATTTAATTACCCACTTACAGCTTTTAGTAGGCGGGACAGACATTTAAGCCAGTTAAGCTGACACCAATCTAGTGAGACTCCCCAAGGGGATAGATCGATCTAAATATCTATGGGAATGTGGTCTATAACTCAACCCATCTGTTAACAATAATGTCTCTTTTAATGTGTTTCAGTCAAGCTGCGCAATCCCAACTGACCCACTTAAAATACCTTAATTAATCTTCTACGTAATTTCCAAGATCTTCTCAAAAACTCAATATATTCAGTTTTTTTTAATGTACTAATCTGTACAAAATGTAGAAGTATTTATTTTTCAGGCACCATGATCAATTTAACTAGAACAATATAATGTTAGCATCATAACTGAAATACTTATTTCAATAACTGATAAAATTTTTATAAGAGATTTAAAGATAAGCTCACAATGCAATATTATTTTGTATTATTATTATCAGACATAAGTCTGGATTTTCAAAAAAAAAAAAAAAAAATCTGAATGTTTTTTATGACTCCAAGACTTACTGACCAGGAGTCAGAAACACTTGAAGAACCGAATTAAAAATTCACCATGGAATTCTGCTATTTTGCAGTAAAAGTTCATACCTGCTAATATTCAAAACATGTTCTACTTCAAACAAAATTGAGCAATTCATAATTTTAATTTATATTTGACATGCAATACTTTTCAACTTAATAATGCCCTATCTCTCTCCATCTTTCAAAATTTGACCTTTTCACTGAAGGTTGTACATAAACCAATTAAAAAATTCTACAGATTCCCATGCATTAACCCAGGGGTAATTACCACTTTGTATGTGGCTTTAATTGTCAGAAGTTGGTTGTGTTGTCCTTGCAGCTAATAGACTCTATACATAAAAAATCAATGCAACTCTCCACCAGATGTCAGAAGTTCATATGTAACAGATTGCTCACTGTGTCAAGCCACTCCTATCCTGTATATGCCACAGTTTGTTAGAACATAGTAGCTTGGCTACATCAACTTTTGACTATATTAAACAGAACTTTAACAGTATTTTTCTAAGAGAGAAAATATCATTCTGTATAACATCATGCTGGATCTGACTATCTCATGCAGTTAATGGGAACAAAAGGTAGCAGTTTTGTTCTGTTGCTGGTGATCATAATTTGAAACTTATAGTTATTCTTAGAACACACTGCATGTGACTGTGATGCACAATGGAGCCTGGATTCTATCCAGTTCAGGGACATGAAAATGGAAATATTGTGATTACTGCACAGAAAACAAACAAAGCATTGGATGAAGATCCCAAGTCACTCGCTGCAAGGGCAGAAACAAAGACTGATGAAGGGGCCGTAGCCTGGTTTGCTAATCCTGAAAATATAGGCTTAATTGTGGGCCTGTTAGTGGCCGCAGTGGTCCTGGTCATCCAAGGAGTACTGGTCTACAAATTCTATAAGAGGCGCAAACAGGACAGAATGGACCAGATGAAGCAGAGAATGACTGACCCAACATCTGACCAAGACTCTTACTTTACAAATGCTACAATATTTTCCAAGGGGAGTCAAGAAATGAGTGAAAATCTTCCCATTCAGTTTTCGTCCACTTTGCTGTTCCTCGAGAAAGCCACTCTGGGAGTGGACACTATAAAACGCCTGCAGAGCAAGGAGCCAAACGTGAATAAAATCTCAGTAATTACTATGGAGAACCCCACTTGTAACCAGGCAACCAGTACAGACCCACAGGAGGAAGAAATTGCTCTCTACCACAATGAAGTTGATGAACAGACATCCTTCTGACACTCACAAACTTGTTTAACTGAGTTAATTAATTCATAGCGATCCATGTCAGAATTTCAACCCTTAACCTCCAAAAACTCAGATGTATTTTCTTTAAAAACTTTAATGTTATCTAGTATAAAATGGCAAGTATATATGCACCATGCAGCTTAGTTTTTTGACACAAGAAAAAAGTTCTAATAGAACTGGCAGAAAAAATTTGACAATATTGAAAAATTAATGCTATGTGTTAATATCCAGTGTATCAAGTGTTTTTCCAAATGGTATCTTACCATAATATATTTAATAAGCAGTATACACCCACTGGTATCAAGTAATTGAAAATACACAGAGAAAAGCATGCAAACTGTCTTAGACATATACATGGGAGCAGACGGTGTATTCATGTATCAACATTCTTTCTGGACAATAATATTCCACACATTAACTAACATTTTTTTGAGTTCTTCAATGTGAACCTTAGAAGCTCTCTTAAAGTATACCATAAGAATGTGTTTACTAATCATTGCTAAGATATAGGTGATCTAAACACAAAAATTCTGAGTGACTAACAGGATAACTGAGAATTAAAAAATTCACAGCAATTGACTGCATGAACCAGACTGATTCTAAACAATTTTTTGCATCTGCTGCAAACTAGTGGTATATCATGTTAAGCAAAACAAAACAACCATGTGATTAATATTGTGACATTTGCTTGTTACATCTTTTGTGAACCTTTGACACATACATGCATACAATCTGGGTTAAGGTTATCCTAGAAATGTTCAGCATATTTGTTAAAAAATTTACACTGCAACAGGTCTCCAGTCAGCTGTTATTTGTTGTTGTTTTTTCACAAAAAATCCCTACCAGAGGAAAGGGCACACAACTGTTAAATCTATTAACACATTTAACTACAATAACAAGGAAAGCTTAGAACAAGGCATTAAATTTTGACCAAAGTCAAGACGTAATTTTTGATTTTTTGATAAACATGTAAATACATTAAATTTTCTTGTCTTTTTTTTCCATTTTGCCTTAACACTTTGCAAACAGAATAGTTGCAATTATTATTATTATTATGTTTTTCGAATTTGTCATTAAAAATAATAATTATTTTATACTAACACTAAGCATCCAGGTATGTCATCCACACTCTCTGGGAAGTACCGAGGAGTGACAGTGGGGTGGGGACACGTCTGCTCAACAGGCTGAGGATACTTGGGGTCCGACAGTAAAGATCTGGATGTAAACTGAAAATATCCATATAGTCAATATTAATGCATGTAAAATGGAATTTCATATATATTTTATGATATTAAAGGTACACAATGAGCATTAGACTTATATAGATTTTTCTTACATAAAGGTATTGTATGTCTTTGATGCTCTATTTAACAAAATTCATCTTTCAATGCACTTATCATTTGCAATTACACTCAAAAATAGACATAATGCATTTGTGGCTAGTGGCATTCTAAATCAAAGCATAGAACATTTAGTGTCAACTGTTTCACCATCATTGTTGCTGTATATTACCTTCTGAGATCGTGGTGCATGGCGCAACTGCATGGCCCACGCATGGCGACCAAATGGTCCCCTGATCAGGGCTGTCACTGTAGGCAGAGGATCTGGTGAACACAAAAACAGAATATCATCCATGATGGCATAAATCACATGCTTTTCATGATTATGAATAACGGTATGTGCACTGAATCAAATACATAACAAATACCAGTAATCTGATAGTAAATTACAGCACAGATTCTCCAGGAACACATGAAAAAGGCTCTGATAAACACACACACATACCTTGCTCATTCCCCAATGGCTGCTCTAGTAATCCAACAATGATGGAATTTTCAAGTACAAAATATTTAAAGGTTGTGGTGTCTTCTGGCAGCCCACCACCTCTGCAATACTTGAGCAAGGCATCTTCATCCAGCAGAGAACACAAGGCCTCTGGGCCACAGGGGAGAGGGTAGGCACCCTGAAGATAGATGTAGATATCTCCCAGTAGTCAACATGACACTTAAAGTCACAGTCCAATACTCCCTTGCACTCCCTTTAGTGACAGACTCTATATCCTGCATGCTCTATTAACATTTTATGAGTAAAACTATGGCAATGAAAGCCATATTTTTGAACTGAGGAGAGGAGAGTCATGGCTGTTATTATACCTTTTTTATGAAATATTGTACTTACAAAATTCAAATAACTATAACTAAAATCAATCATCAGATTATCGCAGAACTATGCCTATAATTTATCAGTACTAAAAAGATATTTACCACAAGTCCAATGATTGTATTAAGTACGGACTCTGCTGCTGTTTGCACCCTAGCCGAGGCAGGCATGGGGGTCTTCTCGTGTTTTAATTTTGGAGGGTCACTGGCACGGTTCTGTAAAAAATAACACAAAATAACGCAAAATTTTCTCAACACATTTAAAATTAAAAAAAGAAATGGTATTATATAAGTAAAACTAATCCCAACAGTAATTAGGCTTGTTGAAGTAAATGAATACAATTATATGCAAACATTTCCTTTTGGACCAAAAATTACACAATGTCCTTAGATAAGAAAATATATCAAATGCAATTAAGCTACATGTGGCCAAGATATTTTTCTACTTTCAGAAAATGACTTTTGGCAGAATATGACATCACCATTTACAATCTAGGGGAACATTTAGTATTTAAAAAAAATGAACAGTGGTATATGTTACAAATATTGGTTAGACGCTGAACTGCAAGACCAAATACATTTATCATGCAGTAATTCACAGTCAAATGATTAAAATCTTTATTTATAAATTTTAGTTGAGTTAAAAGTTAATGAAAAAATGTCCCAATAGGCACAGTAGGTTTCTCCCAGCTCCACACTAAGCAGGTTTCACACCTGTTGACATGGGATTGTGCTAACTATCAAATAAACATTTTAAAAAGGTGGTTAAAAGCACTTTTTCTCACACCATGGGTGTTACATTTGTTTTTCTGATCTGCAGCTACATCTATTTTGTTTTTATCAACCTCTGAAAAACACAGTACAATGTTAAGGCTATTCATCAATTTGAAACATGCATGCAATTAAAAAAACAGTTGATGTAAAAAAAGAGAAGTATGTTCACCAAAATGCCATTTACGGCAATCCCATTTTCAGTGAAGTAAATTGAAAAAAAATAATAATAAAATGTTATTGGCAAATGTTCTAGAAAAAAAATGAAACGTGTGCTTGTCCATAAAAAATGCAAAATCCCTGATAAAAAACATCCTTTTAAATAGATATTGACTTTATGCACACACGAAATAATTTTAAAAACAGATATACCACTACATGACAGCCTTGTTTAAGAAGGGATAAATCTTTGGTTAGAATAAATAAACTATGCCTTCTCCACAATGCTAAACATTCTACCTAATTTTAAAATTGTTTGCCTTGTCCTTATCATAAGATTGAGGAACTGTAAGACACTTACATGTATTTTTTTTACAAGGATTGAGATAACTTCCTAAGAAATAGACATGTCAGCAGAAAAAAAAAAAACAATAATAAGCAAAGCATAAACATGAGCTGAGCAATATAAGGGGTATCAATGATGAAACAAAGACATGTGCAAGATAGCTATGGGTCACTATCATCAAATTGCTCATACTGAAAAAACTATAAACTCTCACAGAACTGCTTATGCTACAAAAGCAATATGTCTACTTGATAAAGCTCAAATGAAATTATCAAACAATCATAATTCTTAAAATGTTTTAAGCTTACAAGTTGCCAAAACTTTCAATTCAGTTCAAATACCAAAATCCTAGCCCTGATACCCTATTTTAGTAACAGTCTGATTCATCATTCCCATCAACTAAATCTATAAACTACATAACAAACTGTATTTCAATTTCCCTGTAGAAAATGTTAGTAGTAACTATGTCCCTCTAATTTGAAAGAACTATCTATCTGTATCATGTCTGATAAACTTTAAACCAAATATTGTACAATGACAATCTGGACCACTTGGTCAGTTAATAATTAAGTCTTTGAAGAATATATAAATATCAATAACCCCTTTTCAAAAGCAAACTATGTAAACTGTAACAAGATATTCGAAAAAAAACCACTTCTTTCTTAACTAAAAACTTTGGTAGTTACGATGTTTTACAAAATTAACGCACCTTCATCTGGCTAGTAGGTAAGTGAAAATATAGTCATCATAAATTAGTAAAAAGGTAAGCTTAATACCACAAGAACCCAAAGATACCAGTAGAGTATGAGTCTGGCAAAAATGAAGGGATTTCTTTTTATCTTTCTGAAGGGGGAAATGGTGCATCCTTCAAAGACTTCAATGAGCCTTGGTGCAGTCACTAGGAATATCTATCTAATGTACTAAATGCTTCAATAAAAGCTGTAGACTTCCTTACGTGGAAGTTAGTAGCTGTTGCAGAGGCGGACCCAGAATCTGAATATAGGAGGACCAATTAAGTAAGAATAGAGTATTCATTTTGCCATATCTATGCATGTCTTTAGAGACACTAAAAAGGGGCACTGGGTAACTGGATCCACCTTTGCTGATGCCATAGTCTTCTATTTATTAACCAGAAAGGCAAAGGAAGCAGTCTCCAAAAGATGACATGTTACAGTTACCTGAGGAGTACCAAAATGTACACCTTTTGTTGGTTCATCAGCTCTAGGCTACAAGTGGAGAATAAGTATTAATGTATCAAAATGAAAATTATTCAACTGTTGGAGCACTGTTATGAGAGGCATATTCAGAAAAAAAATATATTCAAAAAAGTTCAGCTAAATTCCTGTCAACAAGACACTAGAGAACATCAAAATGTTCATCACTTTTCTGAAAAATAAGTTCTAAGCTATTCAAATACTAAAAGGTGTATACATCATATCAACTGAAGATAAAGAGTAAGCACTGTGAGTTTCACTCTATCTACTTTATCAGCTAAACTACTGAGGTAATTGAAGATAAATATGTTTATTATTCCAAACACATGGACTTCGATTCAAACTATTCTCCAAAATTTAATAGATTTCTCACATTTCATTTCATACCTATTGAGGCAGGTTATCTCAATGCACTTCTACAAAATTTTTATTTGTATCAACAGCTGAACATCCCCCAATTAAAAATACCATTTATGAAGACATTAGACTAGTTTATATTCATCTAAGATGCCCCTACCTGTGACTTGCTCCCTGACAGGCCTAATTCCACTACTTCAAGCACATAATGTAAACACTCTTTATCCAACATCAAGTAATGATGTTCTATCAGCCATAGGGATAAACACTGGAAGGCGGCAACAATCATTGAATGCAGGTCCCTAGAGTGCGCCGGTGCAGGCCTGCTGCACTGGTACACGATGAAGTCACAGATCCACTTAACAGTGCGTTTACACATCAATATGTTAGGGGTGTGCAGGCGAATTTTGGCAAGACCTGCCAGAACTTCCATGGCAGCTAGGGCAATGTTGAGGTCCATCTTCCATGATGCCATGAGTCGATTGCACACAAGGGAGGCTGCATGTCCAAACAGGTCATATGCAGTATCTGGATTACGAAAAAGATATAAAATCATAGCATGGCAAGGAGTGTTCTTCAGAACATCTAAACAAGCTGAAAAATTTGATTAAAATAATTCATTGAGCAATTCAGCAAGAACTATTAAAATGTCATTTCCTTCAATCATCTAATCAAAGTGAGGAGGCAAGCCACTCTTTTGCCTCTCTACAAAGTTAACTTCTAATATTTATCCGCTTTTTTTACCATAATCTTTCGGTGGTTGTTGAGGAGCTTTAACTGTCTCTCCCTCTTCTCCACCACCACTAGCAGGTTCCTCAGAGGGGGGTGCATCTTCTCCACTCTCTCCTATTGTTCCATATAGTGTGCCCAGCAAGTCCTGGGTCTTTTGTACTGTCACCTGCTCTGCCTCCTCATACATAGACAAGTCCTGTACTGACAACATTAGACCTCCTGAAAAAGACAAAAGTGTAAAAGCTTTGAATACCTTATGCACATACCTGATGACATGAAAAACAGTACCATTTGAATGTTATCAAAAGTTGGAGCAAATCACTTATATCTGCCTAAGTGTATGTAATTTTCTCCTACTCAAGAATTATTGCTTAACCCATCCCTGCCTTAGGATCCCACACTTTATATTATTTTTAATTATTTAACTTAGTACTACATGTTAATGCCTGGCCAGACACTTAGACCATCAAGGTTTTTGTGACTTTTCAAAAAAAAAAATCTTAAAAACAGGTACTTTTATTTGAAGGTTTATCATTTCTCAGGTCTGAATTGGGAAAGAAAAGTAGCTTTGCTGGATAATTACACATGAAAATACGACTTGTGGGATATTTTCAAACATCATACCATACCTTAAATTAGAAATTTTTACCTAAAAGCTGCTTTAAGTTACTGTACCCCCTTGTACTCACCTAGCAACATCAAGGTGTTTGATGGGTCAGTCTCAATGGTCAAAGCCCTCAGTAAAGTCTCTATGAGCTTTACTCTCAGTGACCAGAATGTAGTTTTACTGTCTGACATTGGGAGGTCATGCAGCGCTGAATTCAGAATAATAAGGTTTTGATGAAAAAATAAGTTATCAATAGCATCATTTTAATGTTTTTGGGTCCCAACTATTAAAAATCTATTTGCTTGCAATTATGAAACATATTGTTAGTCACACACCATAGTAACATATTAATTCTAATTCCTAAATTTGTTAAAGTAAATGTCCTAAAAATTCAAAAGAGAATTCCCACAAACACTCACTTATTTAATAACATTTTACTTCTATTGCAGTTTATCACACATTACCCAGCTTGGTAATCTGAAAGTTTAGCTTTTTAATTAAATTTCAACTTTCCACTTCCATTCACCTTTGATCTCCAGTTTCCTAAAATGGAGTGGTAAACACAACATTGACAGCAACAGGTGGATGGAGGCCTTTCTTAGCTCTACACTGGATATCTGATCATGGCACCTGATGGCAAAATTTTCAAAAAAAACTTAATCCAAGTTAAAGTACAAGTGCACAACACTGCAACTATGAAGAACAGATTAATTCTAACAAATGAATTAACTGTTAAATGATTATCTTATTGACAGGGGAAATATTTGAGTATTTTTCTCCATCTTATCACTGAATTAACTATGACTAGGTCTACAAGTCTTGAACAAAACAGGATCCCCAGGGAGATAAAATTTGGAATCCTTTACATGTCAGTTAAAAAAAGATGAAGCATAATTGTCTCTGACAAAATAAACATTTTCATTCATGCTGTGAGAGAAATGAAACCAATCTTTATGAAATCTGCCCATTTTGACTCAAAATTTTGATTTACCTCATATTTTTTCAGGCTATTTGGCTAAGAATTAATTCATGCTAGTATGACCCCCAACCTTTTCCTTTCTTCATACCTGAAGGGCATGATAAGATCTCTTAGCACTAACACAACTGCCTGCAGTATTCTTGGCACCAGTACCAGGACACCAACCAGATCCAGACGTAACACATCCGTGGAATTAAACAGAATATTAGACAGAACTTGGCCACTCATGTTCTGAAATAAAAGTAAAGCCAGTCTTGAATATCCCTGCAAGTGTATACAGATCATGGTAAGTATGTCCTCCACAATTTTCATATAAAAACACAGGTCAACATTAAAAACATTTCTCACTGAAAATGCTGTTCAACTAAAAAAAGGATTTGTTGTAAAACACAGACAGTGTATTGTTAGGGTTTTTCCACAGTTTTTCCCCCATAAAATTTCCTGTGCTTTTATTCCTTCTAATTTTGAAGAGATCAGACAAGGTTCAACTGCTCCTCTGACTACTTTATCTTGGATAAGAAAGAGGAAACTATGATATAGTGAAAAAATATAGCGAAATGGCCTCAAGCATGCAAAAGGACACCAAAACCATGTGTAAGTACCTTATCTGTGGCCAATCCATAGTGTAATGCTGTGTAAAATCTTGCCAAATACACCTGCTGAATATCCTCACCAGTTTTCTTAGCACAGAAGATTTTGCAAAGAGCACCACAGGCCTCTGCGCGGCCTATCTCATTTGTAACAGTGAACTCCTGCGGGGACTCGTGTTCAGGTGTGGGACTCGTGTGCTGGTTCTCTGCTTCTAAGAAACTGGTTCGCCGAGATGGAGGCCCTTGAAAACATAACACAAATATAGCCATGCATAAATAAGAATTTTTATGTAGCTACAGGTAAGGCACCTTACCAAGGATTTTGTGGCACGCTCTAGTTTCAAAATGGAAAGTCAAATTTTTGCACCTTTTCAAATATCACTGCATAAAAATGTCCACTCCACTCATACCTACCATTTTGTAGAATGCATCATTTCAATAATACTTTTCTATACAGCATTTCAAATACATGTTGTTTTATTTACCACTCTTTCCCAATGATTTTACTCCCACCAAAGCTCCATCAAACAACCACGCCCCAAATAAATGCAGCAGACTGTTGCATTTAGGTCTAGCTGGAGCGTACGGTGACCTGGAATCTAAGCTCAGCTGGAAAGGAACTGCTTGGTCAGATGGAATGAAAGTTGCTGGGGGCTGAGTCTTGCTCCCCATGGCTTTTTGTATTGCACCTGAGGAAAGGGGGGAAAAAAGAAAAGAAAAAAATTATTCTTTTGATTCTGGCGATATATGTGAAAGTTTTTTAATTTCCATAAATATATTTTTTTTCATAAATTACTTGGTACATTCTTAACAAATGAAATTTCTGTCTTTAAATCAATGCCCAATAATATCAATTTACACTTTTGCATTATTTCCAGAAGTACCTTTGACACTATATTGCCCACTGCTCATAGAAAACCCTCTGTTTTTCCTCTGACTAGGTGGTGTAGAAGAGCCAGGAACAGGTGTCACATAAGTTTGGCGTATTCCTGCAAGCATTATATTGGTCTCATCTTGACTCCAGGGAGGTGCAATTCCTAGATTTGGAAAAAATCATTAAAATATATTGTTTGTCAATAAAGATAATCTTCATTCAATTTTGTTCTGGATAAAGTGAATGAAATATAATAACTAGCATTAAACTGGCTTTGGTGAAATATAAATGACAGTTCAATACTGCACGTTGTTCTACTCTATTACAGCATGATATCTTCCATTTTATTCAATCAACTATCTTACAACTTGCTTCCACTAAATGGACATCAGGGATGGATCCTGCTAATACTCACCCATAAAGGCATCCACCAAGACAGCAATACCCTTCATGGCCCTGAAGAAGATTTGGGGCAAAACTTTGAGGCAGTCATGGTGGGAGGGGTCAATCACATCCTCACTTGCCAGGGCCATGTGCAGAAATTTGGGGGTCTGGCTGATCACCTGGATGTTACTGAGTTCCACAGGGTTGGATAAAATATGGAGGAATCTGAACCAAGCCTGGGTAATGGTGTCTGGACTTGTTGTGGGTGGTATGAGTTGCCTGTCCTCTTCAGCTAGATATAAAAGAGCAAAAGGGAAAAGATGACTTGATTTTTTTTATTGTGGTGCACCTCTTGCAGCAAGATATGATAATAAAATGCATACCTGTTAAGTATTTTTGTATGTTTAATTACTGACAATAGTTCAAAAAGTTTTAATACTGATGAGCTTGCTTGTTCTAGGCCAAAATCTCAATTTCACCATCCACACAGCCTTTTCTACATGAAGCAACACATTAATTGAACAATAATCCTGCCTTTAAGTTTATAATGTTGATTATTTCAACATACATATATGAAATTCTGGGAAATCTGGTCCAAACATTCCAGGTATCAGATGTGAAGTCAGCAGTGAATTGATGCGGTGCCACTGCACCACCAGCACCTCATGGTGGCGCCAGTTCAGACACATATCTCTAAACGTCTTCCACAGTGATGGGGAGGGAAAACACTTGAGGCAAGACTGTAGCCAGATTTCAAACAGTACGCTCAATACTCTTTCACATAACTGGTCTCCTATATCATCTGAATCATTTGAATAGATTTGTATATATATATATTTATGTATGTATGGGCAGGTTCTTTAAGCATTTAAATAGCATACAAATATAAAAATCAACTTTTTTGATTTATTTAATTATATTTTTTCAATCATTTGTAAAAAAAAAAATTGCCTTATACCAACAAAACCATGTTATCCCAAAAATATCAAATACTGACTAAACATTTCAAGTAGCAAAATTATGTATTCATTAGCAAATAAAATATGTAGTTCTAGCTTTTGCAAGTGAGATATGAATTACAATTCTATGTACCCTTCCTGATAGGTGGTGCTAGAAGAGTATCATTGATTGCCAGGAGGAGTCTTAATATGGCCTCCCAAGTTTCTCTTGTCAAGATGGTGGATTCTTGGACAATCATCTGTAGGTGACGTAATATACGGTGGCAAAGAACAGTCTGTCTCTTCACCGAGTCAAATACTAGAACATTGATCAACACAATTATAATGTGCCTGTGGTGAAGTTGAAAATAAATACATATCATGATTAAGCCTAAAATAATAGATTTTAATCTTAAAATAGCTTATAGAAAAACACCTGTCACAGCTTTTATTTGATCATGTATGTTTCAATATTCTAATTACATTAAATATTACACATGACATCATGATTTGCTGTATCCGCAAAGTTAACCTAATTAATAACAGTACAAGTTCCAAACCAGGTTTAAAACAATGACCTGAATTGACTATTTTTTTTTACCTGCTGCAGGTCTTGGAACAAACAAGTTATACAGGTGTTTGAACATGATCTGGCAGTAATGGTTTGGTTGTTCCCTGACTGGGACTGGTACACAGTTCTTAGGAGTGGTTAATGCTGATAGCCATTCACAGTAGACATTCACACAGTCACGGATGGTTTCATGGTTGTCACTGAAGTTTAGGGTCATGCCAAAGCAGATCACCTACAATATTTGATGGTTTTTCTTTGTTAAACGTGTATCTGTGTAATATATCATAATCACATCAGTTAATCTCTATATGATGCAATTTGATTCCCATATCCAGTATATAATTACAATAAAGGTATCATTATCCCTGTAGTAGAGACATCTTGTAACATGCTGCTGGAATCTATTAAGTAAATAAATAGTTAGGTCAATATACTATAGAACTCAATATTATACAAAGAGGGTGCATATGCTTCTTTTATAAAATATTTGTCTCTACTTTTAACCATAATTCTTACATTACTCATGTACATGTATTCTATTACTTATCTCTCAAATTAAAACATGTCATTTCTATCAACAAGAAATCATTAATTCCCATCACATGTAAATTATACCTCCATCGTCCATTTCACTTCCTTATCTGAATTCAGAGAGCTTTGTTCCCCTTGGGTCACTCCTAGACTAAGACTGCTTGCCAGATGTTTGACCACTGCTCCCGCCACATCTTTACCAACAACAGCAGGGAAATGCTGCAGAACACTGGTATTCCCAGTATCAATCTGGATACTGGTTTGAAGAGAGGCCCACTCAGAATACATCTTGCTTGTGCTTATGGCCGTGGGGATTTAATGGATAGACGGCATACTGCAATTCTCTGGAATGAAGTTAAATGATTCGAATCAAATCATTAAAAGTTAATTTACCTTATCAAAAAATTGATAATAATGCACAATGTGCTAAGCCATTTAGATGAATGGGTGATAAAAAACAACATTCTCTTATTCAAAATGACTTGGTTTTGTAAAGAATGCACATTGTTTGGACCACAAGCTATAAAGAAGGACATCCACACCCACTACACTTGTATCACATCCGTACATGGGACCCATTCACAAGCTTGTGTATTACTGCATGCACACTTGTGTATTATTTCCAAACCACAAATAAAGCACTGTGAACTTTATCAACCTTAATACACCTTTGTATTCAATTATACTATTATTCGTCTATAACTAATTTTCAAAGAAAAGGTATTAAACCTAGTAATGTATATTTTGCACATTGAAATTACTGAGGCATTGACATAAGACGGTACATGTAGAGTCTAGACAGCTCACTCTTACTCACATGCCATATTCGTTAATCAAAACTCCGGGATACAGTTGGTTGTCCTGTTTTCTGGTGATTGCAAAAGCTATATTACCTAAAATTAAGTACACTTGCCACGCTTTTTACTGCAACCTATTAAAATATGAAGATGTTGAAAAATGATCGTCCTCCCGGAAGTAAATAAAAGCAAGGTATTGTGGGCCACTAAACATGGCGACCGCCTAGTTGGCACTTTCCGAGAATATTACAATTTTATTGAATTTCTTACTGAAAAGATAATCAAGATAATTTCAAACGAAATGAAAGCCAAGAGCAGTGTAATTGTTTTCAGGTAATTAAAAGGAATCGTCAAAATGTCGTGGCTTGGCGGCGGTATCTCCCAACTTACTGGACAGATTTCTAACTTCACACGAGAAGTGTTGAGTGAGGGTACTGAAGAAGTTAGCGGTAAGTTTAAGATGCGAAAGTAAAACCCTAATTACATGCATAAAGTCAAAAGAGTTGACAAAAGAAAATTTCTTCTTCTTGAGAACTGAAGTGTTAAACTCCATCCACATTGCTTCAGTCAAGTATTGTAACCGTATCTTGGATTTGGGATATACTGTATGATATGATAACAATCTGAATAAATCCTGGCCCTCTTGAGTCTTGTATTCGCCCTACTGCCACTCTGTTATAGTATTTGATAATAGTTCAGTCTTTCGTCTTGGTGTATGATCTCTGCTTATGAATCAAGTAGTAAGTTTTGAAGTAAGTTGTTTTGAGGAAAGCCCCGTGAAGGGATCTCTTTATATGAGATTGAACATTCCACAGTAATAACATTGTTAACAACATATAAAAAATACAATAAATTGTATTTACCACCACAACACCAGTTAATCATAATATCCGGATATCGTGAGATAGTGCACTATCATTGATTGCTACCCTCCATAGTAATCTCTTTATAGATTAATTACTAGTATTTAATATACTAAAACATACTCTTAAAAAAACAGTCAGTTAAACTTTGAATGTCAGAACAGATTCAGTAATCATTGGTTAGTTGTAGAAAGCTGGCATTTACCCCTAAAAAATCCATTTATGTCACTGAAGAGTTGTCATCCCGTTAAGAACACAAATTCACTACTGCTCATTAGCACAAAAGTTGGTGCATTACCATCCCTATTTACAGTCTTTGATATGTACTTTATGTGCTAAAGCATGAAAGGTATAGGTGCACATACATGTAACTGTTAAATTACAACCAGCTTGCACATCCAGTGCAATGCAGGAATTCTCAACTTTAATGTCACCTCTCACCTCCTAAATGCGGACGCTGCTTAAAAACCAACCAGTCTTGCCATCATCGCCAGTACTGTGAGGAAGGTAAAGAAGTACACACCTACTGAACAAGGGGTTGACATTGGATGCTGTAGCTGGCTGTCATTCTACCTGTTGTTGAGGGTGAAAAGAAGATTAAAAGACAACAAGAAGAAAATAAATAAATAATAAATTTAACGGAAAAAAATAGTTCAAAAACTGTTTAAAATAGAAACAAATTGAAAAATGCTTCTGGTGAGATTGCTGTCAGGAGTCGCTGAGCCGAGGGCCTGTAAGTCAGTGCTGCTACTGTCAGGAGTCGCTGAGCCGACAGCCTGTAAATCAGTGCCACTGCTGTCAGGAGTCGCTGAGCCGAGGGCCTGTAAATCGTTGCTGCTGCTGTCAGGAGTCACTGAGCCAAGGGCCGGTAAATCAGTGCCGTTGCAGTCAGGAGTTGCTGAGCCGCTAAAACACAGAGCAGTCGATGCTACTGTGAAATATGTAGACAGGGCATTAGACACTGCCCAGCTTATATATGTGCTGTAGTTTAGGACTGCTCCTTTTCGGGAGAGTTCAGAAAAAGTAGGAAGGTTGGGTGAACTCTCGCTGACACTACCTTTATTTACACCTTTATCTTTCATGTATTTACACATATCATACATAATAACTAAAACATGCTAACTCATGAATTTTCATGATGTAAGCCTCATTACCATCAGTGCTAGTAAGGCTTGCATATAACATGTCAGTCAAGATGGCAGCAAACTGCAAGCTATTTAAAGTTATTTTTGAAAAAAGCAAATATTAGTTAATGAATAATTTAATAAAATTTTCCTAATTTAACTGATCTTTAGCTCATTGTAAATGTCTTCTTTTTAAATAGTTCAACAGACTTCAAGTTTCATTTTGACATCCCAACATGCCTAATGCAAGGAGATTTAATTCATTATGAAATTGACTTGGGTTCTTTTCACATTAGGGCCTTCGCGCAAGCAAGTAAACCACTGTCCATGAAACCCCAATAGAACCCCTTTTTTAAATTTTTTTTAATTTTTGCATTAACAGCACTGCTTAGGGCGACATTTGCCTCTCTATTGTTCTTAGTGAAAACTGATGACATAAACAATATGGTTGAAGTACTAGTAGCAATGATTGTTATGCTGTTCAAAATATTAGATTCTCTCAAAAAAAAAAAAATTCCATAAGAAAAATACAACATAAGTAATAGCCAAGGGGTGAGTAACTTTCGAGTCGAGTTCAGTTGCACTCAAAACGAAGTAAAAAATCTTAAAAAGCTTAGCCCGCACACCAAAGTTACTCACCCAAGGAGGGATGTCATTCAATCTGAGTGCATTTAGAGAGAAACAGGAAAAGATGGTAAGTATACCCAAGACCACAGAAGAAATCCCTTCCAACATACCCATTCTTAAAATCATGGTCTCTGAAATATATTGAACCCACTTTGCTTTATGTTGCAAAAGTACATATGCTCTGGGCTTTGGCATTTAGAACTTTAGCAGAAGTGTTTTTTTTTTTTTTTTGTTTTGTTTTGTTTTGTTTTGTTTTTTTGCTCAATATCCTGATTTTTGTATGCAGAATGTATGTTTTGTGTATGATGGATTATGTCGGTACCCACGTGTTCTACATGTATATATCAAGACAAAAGGTCAACAAGCACAATCTTATAAAAATTCATCTTCAGATTTATCTTTGTTTCATTAGTACTACTTGTATTTCCTGTATGTTAGAAAAATAGAAAAATTTATTTAAATATCTGAGCTTAATGGTACATGTTGGTAGGTCATAGAATTCACTATGGAAAGACACTAACATTTTCTGATATCAAAAAACAAAATTAACATCAGAAAATGTTAACAGCCAATATGCCCTTTGTCCATTGTAATATAACATTTGAAAGCAATGATGAAGGTAGTGTTTTCTGAATTTTGTTATTACTTGTCTTGATTTCAATTTGAGATTTCTTTATCCTCATGCATGTTTGTTGAAGCAAACTTTTTTAAATATTTTTTTTAAATTTATTATTATTTTATTTTATTTTATTTTTAAATAACTGAGTATCATTGACTAAAAGAACAGCTAACACAATGGTGATAAGTTGTTGATTGTAGTGACACCTGGTGGCATTCTTGGGCATCAAAGCAAAGTAATTTTACTATTTTAGGCCAACCTTCCATCTTTCTACTTCACTGAACATAAGGAAAAGTGATTTGCTTTACTTCAGAAACCTACTGAGAAATTACGCTATACCACCATCAATGAGGTGTACAAAATTTACGTAAACTCTCAGTGACCTGAGTTGATGACAAATGATTGGTATGGGTAGCTTGTTACTTGTGTCATTCAGACATCATTGAAAAACTTAACGGAATATGCCTCTTAACTTTTTTCATGCATCTGATGTAAGAAAGTAAAACTGTCTTTTGACTTTCTTGATTTTTTAGGGATTATATAAAATATAAGATGTGTACTGGAATTTATTCTTTTAAATTATAAGATAATTTTCAGTCTTCATTTTGACTTTTTTTTATATGGTTTAAAATACAATGAGAATTTGCAAGCTACGTTTTCAGGATTTTCAGTTTTTACAACTTTCACCCATGTATTTTCACATTTGTGCCATGAAATAGCAGTTGAAGTTGTTCCTTTGGCATTGGTAATCACAATCCTGTGACTTGAGATCACAAATAGCAATTTTGTGGTCTGAATTATACCTGTTTTAAATAAACATGATATATTATCTAGAAAAGGTATAATGGTATTTAGATTAATTACTAAAAATTATTTTTACTAGTGGGCATCCTGCTTAGTTTAGTAATTACTTTCTCTGAAATTTAGTAGTGAAGCACTTCTGCGTAGAAGCCATCTTTTCACACGAGGACTGTCACATTCTAAAACAGGCATATTTGTTTGTATTAACAGTGAGTAAAATTTACACAGGCTGTAGCATTCTCTACGCCCAAATAATGCATAAGCAGCTGGCAAGCTTTTCAAATATTTATTTTTCAACATAGAAAGCGTTTTCAATCTCATTGTATCACTTCTGCATTAACCAGTTGTTACTTGTATGTCCTATCTTTCGAACATGTTCATATTATTTCCTGAACAACATATACAGAATTCAACTTGGTATTGCTATACTAGTATATATATAATCACCATGTACCAATGGGAAGATTGGCTTATGTATGCGGGTTCAATCTGGATGTTGTTGACTATGCACAGGCCTGCATAATTAGTGGACACTTCTGCTGCCTTAAGGGAATAGGGGCTGTAGTCATCCTTATTAAGTGCCTTCCACAAGACACGTGTGCATGGCACATGCCTGCATCAGTTTCGTTCGTCTCCTAAGGCCTCGTCATGCCACATGTGCAGTTCAACTCTAGATGTTGCTAGTAGTAAGAATCCTTGTGTAATTTGTCATTTCAGATCATGTATCAGAATTGAAAGTGACCAAGGATAAGATCCAGGAGTTGGATTTGGTGGTCTCCTCTCAGAAATCAGAGGTAGGTTACATGCTTCTAAAAATTAATACTTCATTTTGTGAATTTTTAAACAATACTTGGTTTTTATCGGAAAGATATTAACATAAACCTCCATGTTTTTCTTATCTTTTTTAAAATTTTGGACATACTATCTGTCGTCCAACACCTTTCAGTTGGAAACGATCAGGTAAAATAAATTGAAAGAAAAAAATTAATTGATAGATAAAATACAGATTCAAGTGTTCTTCTTTATATTGTGTATATACTTTGTAATGTAAATGCTTATTATGACAGGTAGCATAAAGGGCCATAAATGCTAATTCGATCCATTTCAATACTAGGTTATATTAATATTTCATGTGTGTAAATATATATCTATATGATTTTTGTCTTAGCAATTTTTCTGAATCCTAAATCAAAAATTCTGAATTTTGTTAAATGCTGTTAAATTAAATACTAGGTATATATTGAAAGAGAAACATTCAAATGACTGGTTGATCTCCATCTTGCCATCTGTAGCTATATTTACTTGATTTCAGGACATATATGTGAATTTGAACTTTGCAGTGTGCCATGTCATCTGTAATGAAATATTCAGAACAAAGATTAAACTTGAGATTTTAGTACCATACCTGTGACGTCAATTCACTGAGTGCTGGCAAAACCGAAGTAACCACAGCTGTTCAGATCCAATTCATCTGTAGACAATATAGAAAAGTGATTGGATATTAATATATGGCATTTTGTTTTGAAAAGATGTTGCTTAGAACAGAATAAGCATGACAGATTTTACAGATCATTTAAATCTGTAATATTCCCACTCACTTTCAAAATATTTGAATGAGAACCAAACAAAAAAAATATTTTTTCCCTGTCACATCTGTGCAAATGAAACAGCTTGACAGCACACAAAACCAACATTCTAATCAGGGATCGCCTCAAATATGGACATTGCACCTTTGAGTTCACAAAACATGACAAAAAGATTTATTCTGATAAAACTTTTTGAATGACATATCTCTTTTTGCTTGAAGGAAATCTCTTGGCCTCTACCTCATACTGAAATGAGCATTATTTTAAATCGTCCATCTAACATGAGGAAGTGCGTTTGGTCATCATTATTTAAAATCATCCATCTAACTTGAGACAATGTGTCTGGTCATACTGCCATGAATTATGTATGGTATTGACATGGAAAGCTTTGTTGACTCTCCAGCAGAGCTACAGAAACAACTTGTTGCATGTTCATACCATAGGGGTGTTATGTTGCCTCAGTAGTTATTCTGGTAATTAATAGTCACAGGGTTTAGTTATAGAACCATCATAGATTAAACTCATTACTGGCAATACTTTGGGTCCCTTGCCGTCTGATCTTAAGTTAGCTTACAAAATGGTTATAGATACAATCTATATCTTCACTACTGAACTTTTTTTTTAGATTGAGCGTTTGAAGCAACTGAACCATGAGCTTGAAGAAAAGGCAGAGTCATCTGAACTACAGATCAATACTATATCCAAGGAATACAGGAATCTGTTGGAGGAAAAAGAAGTAGGACTGTGTGTTTGTGTGTGCATGTAGACTGAGAGAAAGATGATAGTTGAGAAGAGATTGCTAGTGAAGAAGGGAGAGAGAAAAGCTGAAGCAGTAACTGCTGTTGTTCTGGATTACCAATGGGTCTTATTTGAAGTGATCAAGAATTCTGTTAAGTAAAAACATGTACATTAATCTGTAAAGTTATGAGTGTTCAATGCAGATATTGACCCAATTTTTCTACTGAATATATCATGATGCTATGTCGTAGGTTTCTTCCCACATCTTTAGTTGTGAAATTTTGGTTTCAAGTCAACCATTTTTAATCACTTGTATGACTTCTCATATACCAAAAATATTAGAACTTATTTAGTCACTGCCAAATATAAAAAATTATAATCATTAAGTGATTGCACACACATACACATGCATGCACCACTCCCCTCCTATAAATTGAAATAAAAAAATCTGTCCATTAAGCATGGAAAAGAATGATACACACACAAACCCACTCATGCACACACAGCAATCCAATAAAAAGTTAGTTTTCCATATTAAATGTATGTATGTATGTATGTATAAATGTATCATGCATATTATCTTTCTTCATACCCACTTGTCTATTGCAGCTGTGTGGGAATGATTTCTTACATATTTAATGACAGTGTATATCATAGAACTATATAAGGTTGTTTTTCACCCACCAGCATTAGTAAGAGATAAGAAAATTTATACCTTATTGCACAAAGGTTTTATTTTTACAAATTTGAGCAAATTGAAGATAACACTAGAATGGGAAAATATTTTTTAAAATGTGCATAATATCTTTTTCCAAACAAGGGTGAAGTTAAAGCTCTCAAGCAGAAGCAAAATGAGTTGCTCGAAATCCAGAAAAAAATGGCTGCATCGGCTGCTGCCTGGGGCTCTACAGCTTTTAGTCACAGCACTTCCACCTCTCAGTTGACGTCTCCCTACGTGCAGCAGTCACAGCAGACGGGTAAGTAGTGGGCACCTGCTAATAAGGTAAAAATACATTGATTCAATTATTGGGAAGAGGAAAAGTGAATGAAATATTATTCGAGTTGGAACAAATTTCAAATTATATAAATAGTGGTAGATTACATGTATGTGTGTTGATAAGTATTTATTCATGTACACGTCCTGAAAATTGAATTAGTGTTTTAAGAATCTTTCTGATCAATGGTTTCAGTTAAGGAATTGTTCTTTGTTGATTCTTTACTGAGCTTTTCATGTATTTTTAATATTATTTTTTAATAGTTAAGTTTGTAAATTTTCTCTTTTTGTAAACTCTTTCTATAGCTTACAAAGATGCATAATTTATATGTCAGCTAAACACATGGTTCTCAGCATATATCATTTGCCATTCCTAAATGTTTGTTTGATAAAGGCATTGAAATATGCAGGAAATGTAAATGAACATTTTTGCTCTCCCAACTGCAGTTTAAGTTTATTTTGATCTCTTCATTTGATGCCTGGCATTTGTCTTTGGTATTGGTCAAGGACATTAAATTAATCCTTAACTGAAAACATTTTATTGGGAATGCTCCTGCTAATTTTGCTCTTTGATTTGCAACAAATATCAGTTTCAAATATCAATGTTAATTAAGAATTAGCAAGAGTTGATATGAACTGAACGGAACCTCTGCAGGTATGATTACTGCTAAAAAATAAAATGAGATAAGGTATTCAAGAAAAATAAAATGACACACACACGCATGCACACACGCACGCACTCACACACACACACATTGGTTTGTACAGTCATTTGGATAATATGGCAATCATAATAATTCTAAAGCTGTATAAGTGACCAAATGTACATCCACATGTACAGTTGCAAAAATGATTGTGTTTGAGTCTTCTCTGCAGCAATCTGGCTATCTCGGCTTTCAGCACAATTAAGTGTCACTAAATTGTTAGTGAGATGTTATATTTATAAAAGACGTTCAACAAATGTTACACTCTTTTTGGTGATAGTGCCAGTATCATACTATCATAAGGAACCGTAAGACGAACCAGTTCACAAATATTGAAATATGGTAACTTTATATATTATTGAAACATACCTGTGCAGAAACAGAAAGAAGTGAGATCAGCAAAATGAAATTCCCAGTTCAAATACATGCATTCCTAATCAATGTGTAGTTCACATTGATAAAAATTTCCATTGTTTAGAATACAGATTTAACCTGGCAAACATTTTATGATTGAAAATGATAGGATCTGGAAATATTTGTGTGGAGGTCTTTTATTATTGAATTTAGTATCTTAGAATGTAAACTTTAGATCCGTATGTTGTGATGTCAAATCTTCTTTTGACACTTATACTAAAAATTGTTTTAAACTAAATTTTTGAATGTATATCTTACTGCACATGTAAAACCCTTTAAGAACTAGCAAACAGATTCTTATATTCACCATATTGAAAACTATATCAAGTTGATAACCTGGACTAGATCTTCTGGAAGTGGAATTTCACTAGAGATATGCTATCAGGAAGATTTCACCTTTGGCTTTTACCTGGCCTCATGGGGTGTTTGACAAATGTATTCTTTTCCATACAGATACATCCTAGGGTTCAATTAAGATTGCTTTTATCCTATCTTGCATTGACAAGTGCATATTTTTTCCCTATTTTCCACCAACAATTGGTATTGTTGTGTTGCTACAATTTAAATTGGCTATTTTGGAAAAAATGTAGTGTGACCTAGTATTTCAGAGGTACAAAAAGCACTGTACTTCTAAGCAATATCCTTTTTAGGCAGCTTTCGCACCATGTCGAATTATGTGTAAATTTGATTTTTTTCCATTTCATAGTTGTTGCAAATTCATAATCAGAATTCCATGAAACTATATAAATGTAAATGAAGGATCGACTGTAATACTACTATTGACATGATACTGAACATTTCCCTTTCTCTTTTCTGTCACAATTTTCATATTTTTCTTTTTATTAATGGACATTTACAGTGGACATTGAAATATTCCAACTAGAATTTGGCAAATATATTTTAATATTGACATTTAACATAGATATACTGAATTACATGCTGTGCAGTCAAGCAGGGCATAGATTTATTCCTCTTTTTCTTCTCTTGACTTCTTGATATTCGTGCTGCAGGTTCTGTTAGGTGCAAACTCACATAAGTATTTTGTTGCAGTATTTATTTATTTTTCTTTTTTTTTTAACCAGTTTATTTATTTTGACACACATTCAGGTACATGTGACCCTCTGCATTGAGTCTTAAATTACTTTTTTGTTTAGTCTCTTGTCTGTTTGCTTGCTTTGCTGTTTAGTTATTTTGTATTGTACACTGGTCAGTAGCATTCAGTAGAAAGTTGTCATTTACCACTGACTGTGATTTAAACCCTTCTTTTGCAATGTTCATGGATGATATGTTGGCTTTTGACTTTTGACTGCTGAGGATAAGATGCATCCTTTAAATTTTGGTTTGTATTTCCTTTTAGTTTTGTGTGGGTTTCAGTCACATATCCTGTAGCACGCAATATTCTTTAAATTAGATGTTTAAAATAATTTTTAAATCTGGTTTTATTAAATTCCTCAATTATGTTCCATGAATAAATGCTGTCATGACATTTTGCATTATATAGTCAATGGCTGATTCTCGTCTCCAAAATACTTGTTCTCTGTCCTCCAGCACAGTTCCTTGAAATCATATGCCATGACTTATATTTCTGTGGATTCCAAAAGAGGATACACATTTATTACTTGTTTTGGTGCACGATTATTAATAAAGATGTGGACTTCATTCTCCGATGTCTTAATTAGATTCTTGGAATTTATACACATATTGGAATTTATACACATTTAATGTATAGTGAACATCAAATTCTTTTTCTTGGTTGACCATGAGTGATCCATTATATCTTTTCGATGCTAGAATTCAAGAAGTTAAAATCAGGCGATGACCTTAATTCAACTGTTCATGGTCATGTGATCTCATTGCATGAGTCATGGAGATTTGAATCGGCAGAAGCTGAGAGTTTTTAGGGTTTGGTCACAAGGCAAAGCAGCACTTCCAGTTCATGTTATGGTTCGTGCTATCTCTACTGATTTCTGTAGACCAAAAGGGTGTTTCCACAAAAATTAGATTAATTTTTAGTCCAGTCTTTTTCTGATGCAAGGTATCAAAAAATGAGTGCTGCAGACCCATTGGTGCTTGTTCTGGAAATGTCAGCTTTGTATTGACACAGCATGATAAATATTAAACAAATATTTGCTGCTAGAATGGTAATCTGGTAACAGAGGCCTTAGCTTTAAGCACTCCAAATCTAATTGACATTTTTTACAGACGTGAGTTTGCAGTGACAGGCAGTGCACGTCACCTAAGCCCAGATTTCCCGCTCTCTCCCTGACAACACTATATACCTTAGTGCCTAAGTGGCTGAGTGGGTAGTTTACAAAGATATGTGGAATGGGAGAAGAATTTAAAAAAAATTATTATAATTAACGGTCAGTTTTGATACATTGTGAGGTGAAATCACTTGGTGTCTGTGTCTTAGAATGTGGATGATTTTTCAAATGTATTTGAAATGTTTTTGCGCATTGGTAATAGATGGATAACTACATTATCTTTAGTGGCAGGTTCTTGTCCACAGGAAAATTGCCCTTTGAAAATTACCATTAAGCAGTAAAAAATTAGTTCTTTTGTCAAAAGCTTGAGGAATAAATTATATTTTACCAGCTAATATTTGGTCTGCTTAGACTCATGCTTCATATGGAGATATGGATGAGATATTTAAGAAGTGATGGAAATCCCACTGTAAGCCGACAGAATATTTGTTATCACTTTAATTCTCAAGCTATTGACCAAAGAACTTTCACATTTCTATTGAAATTAACTTTTCAGCACTATTTAGCAAAAGGAAAACTAAGTATGTAAGCACCCAATCTCAAAAGTTGACTTTTTTTCTGTAAATGAAAGCCCTTAAACCACCCATATACCAGTAAGATCATGCAGGGTCAGTTGTTTTAAGCTTTACCAGATCTTTGTTCATGATGTAACAAACTCCAGTTAAAATTTGGTCTCACAAACTTTTGGGGGAATTTTTTTGATAATGACAAAAGATTGTGATGAATGTTATTCTGGATGGCTCAATCTTTTGGATAGGAATCTCAGAGGGGGAAGAAGGGGTTTGGTAATGAATTGAAGCAGCACTTCCAGTTGGTTTTGCAGGTTTCTTTATTAAATTTAAACCCTTCTTTTGCAATGTTAGTTCATGGATGATATGTTGACCATCAGTGGGTTTGTTTATAACTACTAACAGTATTTTGATGTTATATATTTTTATGTATTTATTTTTATATTTTCATGTATGGTTTTTTGCAGGTCTTGATCTTGATCACCATGATGGCATGGACTTTGGTGATGTGATCTCTTCACAGCATGAGATCAACCAGTTGTCCCAGCAAGTGCACAGTCTCCAGGCTGAGGTGGACCACTGGAGGCAGGTGGCTGCCTCTTTGGTTAGTACAATAGTATTGTAGTGGCCAGGTACACTGAAGGGAAAGGGTGAGCAATACATGGGGGTGAGCTTGGTCACACAAAATGCACTGTTTGATAGGCAATTAGAAGGGAGAAGGCATTGAGTAAAACACTGCCACAGCAGACGGATCTAAGCAGTTGAAAGCAGGAAACATTTTTTTTTTTAGGGATATGTAGCTAAGGGAATTGGAAATGGAAATGAAAGGATATTGGTAAAAAGGTAACATTGTTTTAGAAAAATACAACAGCCAGGCCAAGGTTAAAGCTTACTTAGTTTTAATTTAAAATGTTGGGTTAACCTGTTCTTATGTTTCTTAAAAATTTTTGATTGAGCTGAGTAAATTCTTTATTTTTTCCTTCATTCTTTTTTGTTAAAACAAAAATAAAGCCCTGTAACCACATAAAACAAGTTGCAGAGAAATAATTAGTTATCAAAGAAAAAAGCAAAGTAAGTGAAGGACAGGAGGGGGGCGTATACCAACCCCTAGTTGATTTGTTATCAGGGGCGGTTTCTTTTGTATCAAGGCTAGCTTAGCTAGTAGCATTTTGAGCAAGTTAGAAAAATTTCACCAGTTAGAAAAAAGGCATACCTGAAACAAGATGATGTAATAAAGCTCTTAGTTCTGTGCAGGTATTGGGGAGGAGATGGATCAGCAATAAAGTATCCATTAAATTATGTTATTTAGTAGCTTAGTGCAAATTGATGTAAAAATAAACTATGTTAATTTTTTTTTTTCTAATGGGAGATTGAAAAATAAATAGTACGTAAAAATCCTGCCTGTTTTTGCCATATTCTGTTGATTTGCACCAGAAAAGGACCAATTTGAAAATAAAGAAATGTAAATAGATTTTATTGTCATTATTTTGTACCAGAGTAAATCAAGGAGAAATTGAACATCAGTTATTATGTAGTTAATGTTGATTTTCTTCATAGATAACATCATAGATTTCATAGCATTTGAAAGATAATGTGGATGTATGTGATATCATACAGACTGCAACATATCGTAACTGCACATTAAGTCACCGGCAAACGTGCCGCACATTAATCAAACCGAATGATTTGAATAAATCAATGTTTAAGCTGCAAAACGTGTAGTTGAGTCTGCTAATCAGATGGAAGCAAATTTTCACCCAGGTATTTCCATGGCTGCTCTGTTTGTTTTACTGTTGTAAACTGACAAATGAAAACTGATAAGAAGGCTTGGTGTTGCAGGACTTTTTAATTGAAATTTTCAGGGAGGCTTGCACGGCGAACAGGAAGGTGGACAGAACCAAGGCGAAATTCACAAACTCAAGCAGGAAGTCCAGGTATTAAAAAAACTAAGAAAATGTCAAGTGTGCGAAATATCTTCAAGGGTTGATAAACCAGTTGATCAAAAAATATGAAGTATTAGCAAACATTAAAGCATGTATTTGTTAAACTAACTTTTATGTGGCTAAGACTTGGTTCACAGTATTTTGTTTAGATCTCAAACAGCTTTTTCTAGATCTTGCTAGTTTTTTAAAATAATTATTGCACATTTTATCTATTTGATTTAACATGTACAGAAACTGGCTCATTTAGTTTAGCCTGGTTTTTAGACAGCCTGAGCATAACCTGTCATATCTTTGCCCTTTATATTAATCCTTTTATCAGATCTGTCTACCATTGGCATTCTTTTTATTTTTCACATTGTTCTACATTTGTCTGTGGAAAAAAAACATAAAAACTATTGTCATGTACCTTTAACATTTACACAGACATCTTTTCCAGGTTGTGAAAATAAAGAAGCATCACTTAGTAGAATACTTTATGAAATGTGATAAGATTTGTTGAATGCATAATAAATAACCAGCTGTTAGTTTATTTTTAACTTAAAGCATTGTGGTTTTTATCCTCCCTGTCAATTTTTTTCTTCACCAAAAAATTTTAGAATTGGGGCTTTTCTGTCTTTTGTGTATCTGTTCTGTTATTGCTATTATTTAGTTTATATTATTATCACCAGCATTTAATAGTTCTTTGCATCATATATACTCAACATCAAAAATTGAGAGAGCAGTTTGATATATATATGTATTCATAAATTTGAAATGAAATTATCAAGTTAAACAGTAGCATATGTATAAGGGTTGTCAAATGCCAGCTATGCTAAGATATACGTGGCACTCATATCATATGTCAACTTTATTAACATGGATAAGACTTGAAAGAGTTCAGGTTGGAAAAGTTACAGTTGATAACATGAAGAATTCCTTCTTGGGCCTATAGGCTGGGAGGGGGGGGTCCAAGAATCTCCCTTTTGAAAATGTCCACTCTGAATTTGAATTTGATCTAGGTCACATGGCCTTTTTCATTTTGGGTCAGCTAAGGGGATATAAAGGTCCACATTAAAAAAAGGAAAGAAAAAAAGAAATGAAAATACGCTCTTCCCTCAATTTGAAATTGCTGGCTACAGGCCTAGCTGTGTCATGCATGCCATCTTGAACCACTTTTTGTCTTGTTGATGAATTTCTATGTTGCTTTGCAATATTTTATATGTAGAAATCACAGAAGTGATACATATTTTTTTCGACTGAAAGAAATGTATACATCAGGTTCTGCTTATGAATCAAATTTTCAAAACACCAGATGAAATTTATGGAAAAAAATCTGTGTGTTACTGCAAATGCATTCCTGTTCACATTCAAAGGGGATATGTAATTGTCAATCTTACTAAAAAATTGTATTTATACATAAAAAAAATTAAAGTTCTGAAAAACCTTTATCTTTTATTAATGAAGTACTGAAATGTCATGTGGTGATTAAACATCTTTAAAACTTGTTAACTCAGAAATTTGCTGCAATTTATGTTATCTGTATGTACAGTTGGTACCTTGGAAATCTAATGGAATAAACTGAAGTTCTTTGTCAAACACCAAATCCGAAAAAGATAAGGAAAGTAATGTTTTTCATTACTCAAACACAGTTGACATGATTTACATCTTATGTAAATTGCATATTTATTAGTTTGCTGTAGGGCGCAAAACCCTGTTTGCAGTTAAAAATTTGATAAGGAGTCCACTTCCATGGCTCTGCTAATCTCCACTTCATATTCAGTGGAGTCACAGAAAGGAAGTTTACAGAAACAGTTTCTCAGATAAGCTATGTATATATCACATTGTTGTAGTAGCGCCCAGCTACAGTTTGTCAGCCCTGTGATATATGGACTTTGAACACGTAGGCAAACTTGGTACAAAACATGCCTGAGAGCCAGAGCAACTGTGACATCTGTGCCGTGTTGGCACAGTGATATACAATACAGCCCCATTTGGTGTCATTTCTTTGTCCTCCACAGTTTGTCCTCTTTAGGCTTAGCCTACCTTTCTTCTGTTATTGTAGGCTTGGTGAAATATGTCTAAAATATATTTCAGACAAGATGAAGACAAAATTTGCAGGTCATTCGTAATTTATAGATTAAGGCTTTTAAGATTCTTGGCTTATGTTTTATAAGTTGAAATGTAATGGGTATCTAAAAATTAAATTTTATTGTACTTGACAACATAATGTTAATCTGATTTAAGATGATGTAAATGTCTTTTTATGTCTTTTAAAAATTAATTTAAAAAGACATATGAAGATGTTTAAATTAAAGGGTACACATTCAAATTATTAGATTATAATGAAAGTTTCTATTTGTTGTATTCTTTTCTTTGAATTCCTTTTCTTCGAAAAAAGATAACACTTAGAATATAACTTTTTCCTTGAATCAAGACCTTGGATCAATAATTTGAATGAAGCTTACTCATGCTTCTAAGTCAAATAAGGAAACAATCTTCGTCATACTTATTACTTTTTATTTAATCCATAAATATATTGAAAAACTCATTTGTGCTTTCTTAAGGAGCTTCGCCATCAGTTGCATCAGGCCATAGATGATCACCAGCATGAACTGACCACACTGCAAGATGTCCACTCTGAGAAACTGACCGCGCTGAAACGTCAGCAACGACAAGAAACTAAACAGTTGCAGGAAGAGATTGCAGACCTGCAGCAACAGTTAGGTGAGAATCAGTATTTTGTGGTTTTTTAAAAAGCTGATTCAATTTATTTATGTTTGTCCTCATTCATACATTTTAGTTTTTACCAAAACAGCTTTCTGATTTTTTTTCTTAGTAAGATTAGTATTAATTTAAGGGACATTGATAAGTAATATCATCATAAGAATTTTATCATCTTTATCTCTGTGTTTCAATTATCTATATGGGTTTACTTTGGAAAACAAACCCCTCTAGATTCATCATTTTAAAAAAGGTGTGTGTGTTGATAAATATCTCAGACATTTTGGCATCTTTTCTTTTATCTCCAAAATTGAATGAATACATTCTTATTATATTTTTTATTGTACTAGAAGAAACATGATAAATTGAAAGTGTTTATGATACAAATTGGCATCAACTTGAAGTAATAACTCTGTTTTTCTGCAATAACTCTGTTTTTCTGCCAGCAGTTTACCTAAGCACCAAGGAATTTGTCTTCTAATGGATTGTTTGAATAAAATGGGTTCAACTGATAGTTTTGAAAGACAAATATTTTTAAGATGTATACTTTATGAAAGGAGTTTTTCGCATGAAATTCTGGGGTCATTGAAACATCAATTCACAAAATCCTTGGGTCTTAAATCCTTTAACGGAATAACTTCTTTTTAAAATATTTATGTCAGCTTCCAAGAAACTTACCAAATAAAACATGAGTTCCAGTTTGTCATCTTTAAATAATAATATACAGATGCTTAAAATATGTTGCATATTGATTAATTCAACCAGTAAAGTGAAAACCCTTTTATAAACTGTCTGGACACAAGCACTCAATTCATTCCCACCCAAACACACAAGTTATCCTAAGTACACACACTGGTGGAGGTTGGAGTGATCAGGCAACAAAATAAAGTAAACTTCATTATTGACCCGTGGGTCACAATGTTAGCTTGTATTGTGGAGGCAGGGTTATAGGCAAGAAAAAAACCTGGAAGTGTTGAAGGGATGCAGTACAATTAGACCTGTAGCCAGGGAGGAGATAACCAACGGTGCTTTTTGCAGGGAAAAAGTTCCTTCTGGGTAAAGTTTGAACTACATACATGTAGGCTTCATGGTAAGGGCCTCTTTTTCAAAAAAAATTTTAAATTGCTGACTATGGACCTGGCTATCTTGGAACCCGTGGTCAGGAAATGCCAACCCCAATGTTTTAAATTTGGGGTCACAAGTTAAATTCTCTGAGGAAGCCCAAAGAATTTCAGCTAAGCATAAAATTGAAGGAGATTTTATGGAATTGGGAGCAGAGTGTGGTCAGAAATAATGGCAGAGTAGTAAGTGCAGAGCAGCCATGATTCAAAAAAGCTGATACAACTATCAACAGATATTTTTGTGGCTGTTTTTTCTAAGGTCCTGTTGAATTACCAACTGTTGCTCAGCAGTACGAATTCACAATCTTTTGTTTGTCACTTATGTATTGCTTTCTAAGACAGCATTCCTGGTGCATAGAGTTTCACCCTTATTTTTGAAAAATTTACCCCAACTCATGCAAGTTCTTGCACATTTTCTAATCTCATATACCATTGCTTCTTCATTTCAAGCTATGTTAGATGTTTGCCAGTGTGAAATTATAAACATTATGGAATCAAATTGGAAAAAATGTACTTCTCACTAAATTAGATGGCAATTATATAGGTCATATGTAAAACACTGCACATATATCAGGATTGGAAGGAAAGGGATGGGTGTAAAATTGGGTGTGTACATTTTATGTCATTTTATAGTATGATCATAGTTTCATTTCCTGGCTCTCAGAAATCAAGCGAAAGTGGCTTTATTGGACACTGACATATGTGTTGATATCTAAGAAGTAAGCATTAACAAATTGTTCATGAATACAAGACTAACTGTAAATTGAAAGGAGATTATCAACTTGAATTTTTTTGTTGATACTCGAAGTCTTTATAGTTGTATGTATAAAAGAAAATCAATGTAAATTGGTATAACCTAAAGTCCCATTGATTTTTATTTCATAATCAATGGGACAAACTTAGCATGTGAAAAGCAGTGTGGATTGGCAAGAGAACATGAGTATCTTATGTCGTAATTCAAACAGAAAGATAAACCCTAAATGGAAAGTAGGACTCTTAGTTCATGCCTGTTATGTACTTTGGGTTGTTAAAATAAAATGAACCTGTATGTGAAAGCATTATGGATGATGATGCAGTTAGGTTTTCTTAGGAGTCCTCATTTAGCACTACTGCTGTGTTTGGGATTGCTTTGTTATGGGAAGGAGGTGCTAAAACTTCTCTGTCATTTTGTCTACCTGTGTACACTTAAAAACCTCTGGGAGGCCTAAAGGAGCGACAGAGTCAACAAAAAAGACAAACAGTGTGCATGTAGTTTATAGAAATGGGGCTGTGGCCAAGGCAGTTTATCAAGCATTAAAAGGTAAAACAGTTAATCATGGGAGCACTGTTTGAAATGGTGACATGTGACTTTGGGGCTCTTCTCATGGTTTAAGCAATCAATGGGGCAAAATGGGAAGAATTTGAAGTCACTTTTGAGAATTTGTATTAACAATGCATTTGATATAAGGCTTTCTCTGAAGAAAATGTCTTTGTTTGGCCAGAACACCTCACTATTAGATGTATAGTTTAATGGCAATTGGCAAACAATGTTGCTATCAAATGTAAACACATCCCACTATATATAGTTGCACAATAACTCCACCAAGCTGCTTCAATCTCCTGTATTAAACCAGTGAAATATTGTTAGGTTCTGTTTGCCTTATTTAAACTTTAGGCTTGGCTAGGGCGATGAAAGAATTAAGCCCATTTGGGAAGCTTAAAAGTGTGTGCTTGTGCTTAGATATCAGTGTTTGCTCAATAACATGTCCGCTAGATAAGGACTAATCTCTAAGAGACTGGATATGATATCACGCCTTGATTGGTCTAGACATTGTACACACACATTGCCACGTCAGTCACTCTCTCAACGGCTCTCTCCGCGTCACCACAGTCCACAGTTGGAGACACAGCCAGGACTGGGGACACGTTTGAAAAGCACGCTGCCACTTGAACAGGTCAGTCAGAGATGACTGGAGGATTATCTTTGGTTGGTCCACAGCCTTGACCATTAATCAGAGGTTGACCACTGTGATCAGGGCAAATGGCCATCTGAGTTGAATGTCAAATTTTCCAGTTGATAAGGGATGGAATGATCATTTAAGAGTCGTTGAGATGTAGGATGGAGTCACAGATGGTAAGATTTTGGATCTTTGGTGATGACTTTTCCTTATAATTTTATAAGCTGGGGCATTTTTTGAAAATGGCCATCTTTGCTTAACTTCATTCAGTATTGATATGAGTAATTTCAAGTTATTAAAAAAATGTGTACAGTATGTTGATCACTTTGGGCTAGAGTTTGTATGTCATTAAGATTGTGGACGTAAATGCAAAGAATAATAGAAGCAAATGGCATATGTTAAAAACTTCCCCAAATATCTTTGTGTAGTCATTTCTTTAAGGTCATTACTTTCCCAAGTAAAAAAAAAAGAGAAATTCAATAAAAATAGTTTTTACACAAGTGTGTTAATCAATAGCAGCACATTTAAGTTAAGAATGATAGATCCTTATTGATTGGACAATGTACTGGGAGTCTACTTATAAAACTTCATGTACCTTATGAGGTTACTTTTGAAAACATTGATGTACTGCAATTTATTTTTATCAGTTTTTTATTAGATAAGAACCCACAATAATTTAAGTAAAGAAAGCCAAGGTGATGTTAATGAAAACAATTTTTCTAAAGAATATATGGAAAAATCTCAATATCTACATACAATGATGCCATATTTTCTGTATAATTGTATATGTAAATTAAGTTTAGATTTTAGCACCTGTGTGTTTAGCTGTGTTTACTTAAAACCTGCACACAAAGATAATGTTTACATTATAATGTTTTTGGAGACTTAAAAATCTGCTGTTATGGCTGATTTCGCCAGGTGGATCCACTTCTGATTCAATATTTTATTACTGTTTATCTATTATATATTCAGTTTTTTTCTGTCACGCCATAGATTTCTTCCAATAGTTTTAATATACTTGATATCAGTATGCCTCTCCTAGACAGGAAGTGGTCTTATCAGTGCTGTAAGGAGGACACTTTCTTCTTATTCCTGTAGTAATGTAAGCAGTGGCAGGTTTCATCATTTCCACTCTGAGTGTTATGACAGCATAGATAAGGGTTATATTGAGATGTTTGACCTGTATAGAATTATGCTTGTTGGTTTTTTCACTCCAAATGTTTGAATGAAGCTTGATTTTTTATTTTATTTTTTGTCATCCCTTTTTCAGTAGAGAAAAAGAAGACAAGTGAATAATAATAAAGCAGAGGGCAGGAATTAAAATTTATTATTCACATCAAGCAAATAATATGGTTGCAGACATCATGAAAATTTATTCTAACTGTTAATGTCCTTACAATTTTCAGAGGAGAAATAGAATGGAATTGTTTGAATAAAAAAACATTGCGCCATTCAACAACCATTGTAAAATTCCATACTAGGTAACACAAGTATTTGTATTACAATCCACCCATGTCAGAATATACAAGGGATAATGGAGAGTACTGTCTGGATGTTTGAGTGCTGAATACGCCAACCTAACATTTCGCAACCCCTGTGGAAGGATTATCGCACATTCTAGTGTGTGTTTGCACGTAAACACTATTGATCGAAAGTTCTAAAATCAACTTGGTTGCATCACTGTTTAATCTACTTCAGAGTTAAGATTTGTTACCCGGTGATTTATAACTCATCGCAAATCCATATGAGATACCAGTATGAGGACATATTGAGTGTAGTATCTTAAGATAGTAACATTCATGCAACAGATTGGTCCTTACTTATACTTACATATAGATATTATCAATTACATGGCACCTACACACTCCTAGTTGTAGATTTTATCAGTCACGACCTCTCTACATAAAGCTCTAGTAATTAACATATTAGTACACTCCTTATGAAGGAATAAGACAGCATCTATGTTCAATAAGGAAGAAGTTTTTGGTTAAACTCCATTTCATCCATCCATTCATTCATTCATTATGCTTTACATCTGTGTTCTGTGAGGAAGGATAGAGTCTATAGTATACTGGTATCAATAGATTTATACAAGCTGGGTATTTTGTTGTGGGTGACATTCATATTTTTTTATTGTACATGTGAGATGAACAGTATATGAGCAGAGACTTGTTGTTTATAGCTCCAGTGTCTGTAGTTTTATATTTTGACACCGCGATTATGTATGTGATGATCCTGATGACAGGCCAGGACAGATAATGTTTTATATGATATTAGAAATCTATATCCAAATACATGATAACGACATTAACCTGCATGAGAGGCAGCACTTGTTCCTCGTGACTGGGTATTTTTATATAATATTATCAATGTTGGTTTTTCAGATCAAAGTTTTAGCAATTCTGGAGAAGACTACCAAAATGAAGTCCAAGGCAAGTTGTCTGAGTACAAGAGTCAGTTGTCTGCTGCACTACAGGAGAAGGAAATGGCAGAACAGGAACTTGAGAAGTCGAGAACTGGAGAGAAGGAAAAGACCAGAAAACTGCAGGCACTCACAAAGCAAATGGAGGGATTACAGAAACAAAAACAAGAGGTAACACTGAAAAAGAAGTCTACTTTTTTCAGTGAAATTATTTATTGAACTTATGTTCATTGATTCATTGATATCTTAAAGTCCCATGACTTGTCTGTGTTTATGAAATGTGGATTTAATCATTCAGTTGCATTTTAACTATGCTTATCATTTGTAAAAGGAAAACAGTCCTTTCCCAACTTAAATTAGGTTGTTCAATCATTATTTTTATTTCCAATGTTCTTGATTGATATATATATAACATTTTTATCTCTTTTTCATAGCTGACAGAGCACATTGAAAGTTTAAGCAAAGCAGAGAAGCAACTACAACAGGAATTATCTACAGCTACAGAAGAGAACAAACGGCTCAAGAATGACCTAGCACAACAGGTAGGTGTTTCTCTCTTCTCTTTCTCAAATTATCTCCATTTAATGAATTGAAAAAAGAAATGCACTAATTAAATTTTGCACCAATAACTCAGGTTCTCAGTTTGCACTTGCAGATGCCTGCAGATAAAACATTAAAGGCTTTTTGTGAGTCTTTTTTTTTCTTGAGGCTATGATTTTGAATGACTGACAGGAGTTTGTAGGTTGGGCACGTAATCTGTATGACTGAGGGATAACTAGAAATTATGGTGTGGAATATTATTTTGGGCACTTTCTAAGAAAGGCACTATCTGAAATGACCACTTTCTAAACTTTGTTACCATTCCCACTTTTATCACTCTTTTATAGTGCATGCACAATCTAACTTATAGTTGCAAGAATAAACATTATTATTATCCATCATTACAACCAAATGCTTTTTCATTCAGCAGACATTTGGGTCCAGTCCTGAAGTTGATGAGGGTCAAGTTCAAGCAAATCAGGATGACCAGAGGTTGCAGGAGGAAAATGGTGAGCTAAAGGCTCAAGTCCAACAGCTGCAGAAAGAACTGGAAACTGTCCGTGGTGAGCAAGAGCGTTATCAAACCGCAATGGAAGATCTGCGCTTAGAACTGCTAGAGAAGAACTGTAAGAATACTGACTAATTAAACATTTTCTTTCTCACAGAAAAGATTAAAGAGGAATGGAAAGTTTTCATCTTACCTGTATTTCTGAGAAACTATAAATTACAATTCACAAAGAAATTATTAAAATTTTGGTTATCCATTATATATATATATATATCAAATGTATCTTTCAAGCATCAGGCTGTTTTTCATCATATTTTTCTTTCTTTTTGTAATTTATTTTATTTATAACATGTATGTCATTTAATGTCTTTGCCAGACTTGTAGCTTATGAAGATACTTTGTCTTTTCTGTCACAGCTCTTAGAAGAACAGACTCCGAGGAGACATTGGAGCAAACAACAGATAATTCAGCCAATATTACTGGATCATTTGGTGTAGAGTAAGTTGAATAATAAGTATTATGTCTGTGATGGCATATTTGGTAACTAAAATCAATTTCCTTTCTTTAAATATCAAAAAGTACTTTGTGTACAATTCAGTTGAAATATTAGAGGTAATGATCCATTATAGGATAAGAGGATGCTTTATAACAGGAAGATTCTGTGAAATGTATACTGGCTAAATGTTACAAGATGCCATTTCCTTGATTGTGACTGGATGTGACGTAAAAAAACTCAGCCACCACAATGTGCAGTCAACTACAGGAGTGGTTCTAATTCAGGGCTCAAAATTTTTTCCTCCAAAATGTAATAAATCTGTTATATATCCACTCAAGTTTTGACTAAGGATTTTTTGTTTTGTTTTCAATTAGCAGAGAAAATGTAACCACTGAGTTTATTAGGATATAGACACTGGATCAGTCCTTAAAAATTACTTTGAAATGTACTTTCCTTAAAAAACATTTTTTCTATTTATTTTGCTTTTTTTTTTTAGTATTACCAGCAGCACCCCACTTCATCCTAGAGGCAGAGGTTACATGAACCAGGCCAGTAAAAATGTGGACAGTGACACTGGGTCCATCATGTCAACAGCTTCTGATATCTCTTGGAAAAACCGACAACTTGATGAGCAAGTCCACACCTTACAAAGCCAGATAGACAAGTATGAAGAAGAAATTGAGCAGTTTGAAATGGTGCAGTCTGATTGGCAGGTGGAAAAACAGGCCTTGGAAGACGTCCTAAACAAGTTACGTGGGCAGTTACGACAGAAGGAGGAGTCCTTAAATGTGGTGCAGGCTGCCAAGGTGAAGGTCATTTGATACTTTTTATTTCTTTCTTGATTAAATTGGGTGCTTCGTATGCCTTTGAATTTTCTTCTGTAAGAAGAGATTATAATGAGTAATTACTTTTCTCTCTTTTCTTAAATGTGAGATAAAGTTTTCTTAGTTTTGTGACCTAAGTATGAAATCTTTAGAAATTGGAAAGGGAGTGAGTTTCATTTGCATTTATGAATCATAATAAATGTAAACTTTTCTTGTTTTTTTTTTAATAGAAGATGAAATTTTCTTTGTTAATTATACTTATTTATAAATAAAAAATGTTTACTTATTGAAAGTGGAGGGGGTTTCATTGTTTATGTGTATGAATCACATATGAACAGACTAGCACATGAAAGACTCTAATACAAGCAAGATCACCTAAAAACATTGCCATATGATCAAGTTATAAGAGTCTTCTTCTTAATAACAGTAGGGGTTTTAATTATATTTTATTGAAAATTTACTGAATACTGCTCTTGTTTCCTTTGCTAATTTCCTTTGGTGTAGGTTTATTCAAAGGTTAGTTTGGTGGCAGTGGGGTCACGTAGTTCTACATGTGTGTTGGGTTTGCCTGCTAGAGCAGAGCTGCACTGCCATCTTTTAATGTTTTATCAATACTATATACTGCCCTGTTATGAAATTCATTTAGTACATTGAGAGTTCATGCTTGTATTCATGCAAAATAAGTCTTTGAGAAAAAAAAGGTAAATTGTATTTGATATCAGTTTGGGAGAAGTTCACGTGCCGTGTATTTGGAAATGTTATGGATATGTGCAAATAACATTCAGCTGTGCTGTGGCAGGTCAAAAAATTGTGTGCTTCAAAGATATTTTTCTTGAGTTTTGCATAGTAAGTGTGACATGCATGGGTGCTCTCCAATATATTGACCTTTTCAAGGGGATTTGTATTCTTTTATATATGTCCTATTTTTTTTATATTTGTCCCAAGAAAAAATAATAGATTGGTTATTCTACTGTTTAGGTATGAAAACCTTATTCTGCAATATTTTACTTTTTGCCATATTTAACAGGTGTTCTTTCTGGTTTATAGTGAATGTTAGCTTTACAGTCAATTACTAAGCAACATATATCATCTATACTCTCTTAATGACATCAGTATTAGGCTGGCTGCAATGTGAAATCATTTGCTTTAGATAACCCCTCATTGAAACTCCTATTGCTTCCTTCAGTTTCTTACTAACATAGGTTTCTCTTTGGTTTATTATTTGCTCTGTGCTTTGTACATAGCTTTTAGTGCTGGCTTTACCACTAGTCATTTTCATTCAGTCTGTATGTGTGTCCAGATCTTGCCATTGACCAATCCATCTCCTTGTCTGTGTAGGGCCTTATTGAGGTTGGCAAGCATGAAAGAAAATTACAGAGGGCGGGGCAATTGGGTTCCCCTCCGGTTGAAATGATATCAGAACCGGCAGCCTCTTGTGCCTCCCCGGCAATAGTTGAGACTGGAGAGATTCAGTCAGAATCACCAGTTCCAGACACAGATAGACTTGAGCATGAGCGAGATGTTCTCCTCTTACAGAAGGTTGGCATGAATTATATCATACTCACCGTTCACTGTAGTGTATAGAGTTTGTGAGCCCTTCTTTCTGTGAAAAATCAATCACTTCCTCAAATGTGCAACTTTCACCAGATTGATCACTTACTTTTAATGTCATTGAGGGGTTATCACAATCTAGTCTCGTTGTGTTTTAATTTCAATTTTACTGTTTGTGTTTTTTGGTATTTATTACATTTTCTGCATCTCTTTTTTGTAATGTATGTATTGGTTTAGAGCAGTGATATATGTTTCCCTAGCATTAGCATTTTGGCATGGTAGTAGTCAAAAAGCCTGTGTTTCTATTAGTCTTGTGATGTTAGCAGCACCCATGCATGTCTTTTTCCTAACTAATTAAGAAATCATAAAGTGTACATGCATTTTATTTTGAAAATAACAGGAATAAATGCTTCTGGATTTGGAACCTAACATTTTGATTGGGAAACACGATGTATTGGGTATTTTAAATAAATCAATGGCATATGTCAGCACCTGTTGTCACAAATTTCAAGGTAAAATGACAGAATGTTAAAAAGTGAATGTTTTTTTTACAGAACCAGCTAGAGCAGGAAGTTCAGCAACTGAGGGGTCAGCTTCAGCAAATGGACAAAGCCCAACATGATGCCAGTGTGGAAGGTAAGACAACCCTTTCATGAATTGACCTCTAATTGTATTTTTTTTCCTTACGAATGAGGCCTGTAATCAAATGAACTCAAATTTTGTTTGAATTATCTTTTTGTAATTTTATCATTATCATCTGTTTTCATTGTGATTTTTTTATGTCACATTTTGAAATGTTCCATCCAGCCCAAAACTCATACCTTAGACTGTTTAGATATATGGCAAAAAGGGGTATGTTACATACAAATTTCTGGATAATTTTCATGTAGAATAAAATTCTGCATTTTGTCTTTTAGCCTTAAGCCAGGAGAAAACCAATGCAAAGCTAGAAGAGCTCCAGTCTGCTCTACTTGAAAAAACAAATGAACTTAGAGAAGTTACTGAAGAGAAAGATGCATTAGTGGCTAGTCTGGATGAATTGGATTCCCAACACCAGGAGGCGCTGATGCAAGTTCTTAAAACTCGTGATGATCTCAAGAATCAACTCAGTGCTTCAGTGGAACATGTTGGTCAGCTCCAAGAACAGGTTAAGAGTCTGGGGACTGAGAAGCAGCAGTTGTCTTTAGAGCTCAGCAGCCTCCAGACTGCCAGTGTCAGCAACAGCATGGTGGAAGATGAGATCAACAGGCTCAGGAATCAACTGCTACATTCCACAGAAGAGAAAGACCAGCTGGTGAACACGCGGAACAATTTAACGGAGCAGCTGACAGAGTTACGCCAACAGCTTATGGAAGAGCAGGAAGCTGCTTCGCACAAGGTAGAACACTTCGAGATGGAACTGAACACCAGCAGAAGTCAAGTCCAAGAGCTCAGCATTGAAAAGACCAAACTGATGCAGCAGTTACAAGTAGAGGAAGAGATGTTAAAGCAGAAAGAGCTAGATCTTTCCCAGGAACATTCCAAGGTGAACTTGTCTGCCAATGAAGCACAGCAGCTGACTCAGGAGAAAGCCCAGCTGATCAGAGAGATAGAGATGCTTCAGGACCAACTTGATGAGGGAGGTAGAAGTCTAAGTAGACTCCAAGCCGAAAAGGGTAAACTAACGCATACCGTCTCTTCTTTACACCATAGCCTAGAGGACCTAAGGGCAACACATGAGGCTTTGAAAGCTGAAAAAGTCGATCTTTCAAAGACTTGTGTTGAGTTAGAGTCAAAGCTGCATTCAGCAGAAACCCAGATTCACAGCCTTGAAGACAGTTCTAGGACAGAAAGTGAAAGTGTGGCCAGTCAAAAATTGCTTCACCAAGATTTACATTCTCTGCAGCAAGAGCTAGACCAGACCAGACAAGTCAGTGCAGAATACAGGACTAAACTGGCAGATTCTGAAAGTAGATTAAGAGATCTGGAGGTGAAACTTACCCACCTAGCTGAAGATAATGAAGCTTTGCAAGAGACCCTGGGTTCAATGAAAGAAAAACACAAAGCCCAAATGGAAGCATTAGAAACTAAATACACCAAATTTAATGAAGATCTAGAGACACAGATCGACTCTTTGAAAGATCAAAAAGAGTCATTGGAAAAAGACCTTGACTTGGCTGAGGGGAAGCTGTATGACCAGACTAAACATTATGAAAAATACATAAAAGAATTGGCAGACTCGAGAGAACTTGATGCCAACTCTTTACAAGCAGAGCATGAGAAACTAATGAAATTAACTCATGCAAAAGATAGAGAAATAAGAGAGCTGAAATCTAGGTGTGAAGAATTGACAGAGGAGTTGAAAGAGTCTAAAGAGATGCTGGAATCCACCTTTGAAGGGCAAAAACCCTTGACTGATTTGCTGCAAGAGAGAGAAAATGAGCTGTCCGAGTTGAAAGCAGAGAATGCCACTTTGTTGTCACAGGTAGAAGAGCAGGCCCAGAAATTGGTTGATCAAGAGGCCTTAAACCATGAACTCACCGAGTCTAAGAAACAGGTCTCCACAGTCAGGGAAGAAAACATTCGGTTAAAGACAGAAGTGACAGTTCTCAAAGAGAAAGAGGACAAGAACAAGATTGACACTAAAACCTTAGACATTATCACAGATCTTGAATCAGAAATCACCTCTTTACATGGTAAAATAAGGGGAAAAGATAAAGAAATTGAAGATCTTAAGGAAATGATGGCTGAACTTGAAACAGGGATCACAGATTTAAATGAAAAAAGTGCAGAGCAAGTGGCAAAGCTACAAGAATCAGAGGAGAAACATGAGCTTGTTGAAACCAAGATGGTTGTTCTCAGTCAGAGTATGCTTCAAAAAGAGCAGGAAATTGGTGATCTTGAGAAGAAACTTGAACGAGCTAAATCTATGCTAGATGGAAAGCAGCAGCACTATGTTGAAACTGAAGAAGAAGAACCAACTAAGCCAAACTTTAACCTTCCTGCAATAGAGTACAAAAACAAATCAGAACCAGTTACTAATGGCATTGAAGATGAGAAGAGTAGAAGGGAGGAAAATGGAACAGCCACTGTCAAGGAAATTAAGGAAAAGGACATGGAAGATGGACCCTCTAAAGATGAACTGGAACAGCAAGTCTCTGACTTGAGAAAGGTATTACATGACAAAGATGAAGTGATTGCATCTATGCAAGAAAACAATGACTCATTACTTAAAATGTTAGAAGACCGCTCTTTCAGTATATACAAAGATAGAACTTTAGTAGACCTTCACAAGGCTCAGAACCAAGTCAAATCCCTGCAGGTTGAAAGGGAACAGATTCTTTCAGTGCTCAATGAAAAAACACGTGAGGGTAGCTCCCTTAAAAGCGAAGTCCACCGTCTAATGAATGTGATATCTGCTGAAAAGGCAGCCATCTCTAAACTTCAAGAAGACAACCAAAAACTGGTGACAAACTCTCCGATGCGTGAGGCGCCAGATGAGGATATGACAAGGGAGGCTATTCAGAACCTCTCTCACATGGTGCGTAACAAGGAGATGGAGATTGAGGCCTTGAAGCAGAAAAATGAAACTTTACTCATGGTGCTACAGGAAAGCTCGCCTAACTCACCGGCACCACAAAAGGGTGCCACCGTGATGGCAGGTGGGGGTGCTAATACAAACAGTGTACAAGTTGGACTCCTGATGCAAGAGAGGGAGAACTTGTCAAAACAACTGGCTGCATATCAGCAGGACAGGGAGCAAATCATTGCTGCTCTTACACAAAAACACCAAGAGAGTGTTGCCTATCACACTGAGATACAAAGGTTAACAGCTTGCCTCTCTACAGAGACACAGAAAATGGACAAGGTGCAAACGGACTATGACAAACTTAGCCAGCAGTTTGAAGACAGGCAGCAGTCACTTGTCAAAGCACAAAATGATTTGGCCAACTACAAACAAAAATATCAAGAATTAGATGAGAGGTACCAAGAACTCTCACAGCACCAGTTTGGCCAGGTAGACACTGTAGATCTTAGTTTATACAATTCAAAGTGTGAAGAGCTTAGCCTTCTAAATGATAGACTAAAAAAGCAGAGTGATAGTAATTTAGAAAAGGACTCCAGGATTGGGGAATTGATAAATCAGGTCAGTAAGAACGACGAACTTTTGTCATCAAGGGAAAGTGAGTTAAATGCTACGAAAAAGAGACTTGAAAGCTTGACATTCCAGCTAGATGGTGTGCATGCAGAACTTAAAGATGTAGAGAAGGACAGAGCTGTATGGAAGCAAAGGACAACAGAGCAGCAGTCTGAAAATGAAATGTTGAAAGAGTCCTTGAACAGGATGTCTCTTGGTGTCCAAGAAAAAGACTTTGAGATTAACACTCTTCAAGAGAAGTGTAAAACATTGACTAAAATGTATGAGGAGAAGGGGGATGAGAACAGCCCTCAGTTGCAGCAAATGCTTAAGGATTGTGAAGCATGGCAGGCTCAGGCGCAGACATTCCGTCAGGAGAGGGATCAGGCCGTACTGAACATGCAGCAGGTGCATGCAGAAAATAAGAATCTTATAAATGAGGTAGGTAACCATTCTTCCAAGTCCAAGTTCTTATTTTGTAAAGGAGTAATGCTTTAATGTCATTGGGTGACGGGTAACGTTTTCCACTGAATTCTCGGGTTTACCTTTTTCTAACAAATTCTATATACTATTATGTAATAAAAGCTTCTTTTCTTTAAAAGTTTCTCATATTTCTTTCCTGAAATCTAATTTTAAATCTCTTGTTTAGTTGCAAGCACTAAGAGATCAGAACCAGAAAGCTCAGAAAGAACTGGAACGACTGAGAAACCACCTGCTCCAAGTACGATTTTATATTAAATTCTTCGAAGTGAATTATAACATTGATTTGTGCAAAGTGTGCTTCTGAAATTATATATTTTGATCTTAGCTTTACCACATATGGACCACTAAACTTATAAAAGATATCTTTCTTGCATTCATTGGTACAAGAATAAGATATCATAGTGTGAATGTTTTACTTTTCCAGACAGAAGAGAGTTATGTTCAGGAAGCCCTGCAGTCTGAAGAGCGAGAAAAGCAGTTGCTCAATCGTCTTCACTCAGCAGAAGAAAAAGCACTGGCTTCAGACACAGCCATCCAAGAGTCAGAGTAAGTTCACAGACTGGCCTAGCTTGAAGATGCATTAAAGAATTACCAGCACTCGTTTCCTTTACAAGCACTCTGGTACTTGCCAGTTATTTTCAGACCAGTAAGCCATGATATTTTACTGTCAGAAATGAGAATCTGCATCAATTCAAGATATTTATTCCAGCTTTAAGTTATTTTGATATATTTGTGTAAAGAAAGAAGTGCCCAGATGCATTCATATTGCTAATTTTTTGAATGCATGGTCTTTGGAGAAATAAATATTAATTGTTTACCCTCTCTGTCCACAGTCAACTGAAGGACCAACACATTGAAAGTCTGAAGGAGCAATTGTATGTGATGTCGCAGAAGAAGGATGAGGTTACTGCCCAGCTTATACAGNAAGGAATCCTTGAACAGGATGTCTCTTGGTGTCCAAGAAAAAGACTTTGAGATTAACACTCTTCAAGACAAGTGTAAAACATTGACTAAAATGTATGAGGAGAAGGGGGATGAGAACAGCCCTCAGTTGCAGCAAATGCTTAAGGATTGTGAAGCGTGGCAGGCTCAGGCGCAGACATTCCGTCAGGAGAGGGATCAGGCCGTACTGAACATGCAGCAGGTGCATGCAGAAAATAAGAATCTTATAAATGAGGTAGGTGATCATTCTTCCAAGACCAACTTTTTATTTTGAATGCAAGTAATGATTTAATGTCATTAGGTGACATGTAATGTTTTGCACTGAATTCTCAGGTTTACCCTTTTCTAACAAATTCTATATACTATTATAAAAGCTTCTTTTCTCTTAAAGTGTCTTACATTTCTTTCTCTTGTTTAGTTGCAGGCACTAAGAGACCAGAACCAGAAAGCTCAGAAGGAACTGGAACGACTTAAAAACCACCTGCTCCAAGTATGATTTTTTAAATTCATCTATAGTAAAGGAATTATAACAGATTTGTGCATAACATGCTTCTGAAATTATATATTTTGATCTTAGCTTTACCACATATGGACCATTAAACTTATAAAAGTTTAAGATATCTTTCTTGCATTCATTGGTACAAGAATAAGATGTGGGAGTGTGAATGTTTTACTTTTCCAGACTGAAGAGAGTTATGTTCAGGAAGCCCTGCAATCTGAAGAGCGAGAAAAGCAGTTGCTCAATCGTCTTCACTCAGCAGAAGAAAAAGCACTGGCTTCAGACACAGCCATCCAGGAGTCAGAGTAAGTGCACAGACTGGCCTAGCTTGAAGATGCATTAAAGAATTACTAGCACCTGTGTGCTTTACATGCACTCTGATACTTGGGTGGTGTGCCAGTTACATTCAGATCAAAAAGACATGATATTTTACTGTCGGAAATGAGAATCTGCATCAATTCAAGATATTTATTCCAGCTTTTAAGTTATTTTGATATATTTGTGTAAAGAAAGAACTACCCAGATGCATTCATACTGCTAATTTTATGAATGCATGGTCCTTGAAGAAATAAATATTAATTGTTTACCCTCTCTGTCCACAGTCAACTAAAGGACCAACACATAGAAAGTCTGAAGGAGCAGTTGTATGTGATGTCGCAGAAGAAGGATGAAGTAACTGCACAGCTTATACAGACACAAAGTATACTTCAGCAGTATGCTGCCTCTGTTACTAATCTACAGATGGTGCTCGAGAAATTCCAAGCTGGTAAATATTTGGGTGTTCACCCCATCAATTTGAGTTTGTTCTGGTTATGTAAACGTGGGTGTGTTTACATGAGCATGCATGTGCACCTGATAATGCATGCTCATGCAAGTGCTTGTGTGCATGCACAAACAGTACTTCATTAAAATTAACATGCTGGAGCCTATAGTGTTTGCAAAGAACCCTGATATTTATATTGGACAAGTTGAAACAACTTTTTTGACTGTATGGTTCTGTAACATAATAATCTGGTTTAATTCCCCTAATCGTGGTTTATTTGAAAAGCTTCAAGGATAGCATATGATTTAATGTGATATTATTTGTAATTACCAGATAAAATTGCTGAGGAAGAAATGCACCAGGAACAGATCAGGAAAGCTCAGGAAGAATCCATGCAACTGAAGGCCCAAATAGCAGATTTACAGGTAGGTTGACTTTTTGTACATGCATAAACACATTGTACTTTAGCATGCCGATTGATATTAACTTTCCTTACTGTTAGGGGTATACTACCTTCTGTATATCTTATGATGGTAGACCTGGATTTTTTCATTTTTGTTTTTGGTAAATCTTGCATGCCATTTTTTTCTTTTTCCTTGAAAATTATAAGATTTGTATATAAAACAAATGATTATATAAGTATTTTCATATATATTTCAGAACCAGATGGTAGAAGCCTCTGATGCCTTGGATGCAGCTCAGCGTCTCAGTGAACAGATAGACAAGAAGGAAGACGTGGTGCAGGCTCTCAAGGAAGAAGGTAATTACAGACAATCTGATTGGTGAAAAAAAGGTCACATGACTTGAACCATGATTGAAAGTATTTGTTTGATTGGATTCTTGAGAATTGCATTAGAAGCATAGTCAATTTGAATGATTGAAACTATGTTAGTAATAACTGATGAATACGGGACTAAGACATTGGACTACAATATGTGAGGTGTTGAGGGGACAGTGTGCAGTAAACTGGATCAGTTGTGAGAGCAGTCCTCTAATCTCCACTGGTAATTCAGAGATGAGCTGAAGCTTACAGTTGTCAGCAGAGACTGGAGGGCTGGTTCTCATTGCAGCAGGCACAGGTCCAGCCAGTGTGGAGGAAAATACAGTTGTAGCATGCAATTTTATCTTATAAAAATGGCTGAGGACAGAAATAAGTGGAAGATGGGGGCATTGTTGAAGTGATCCGTACTCATGACAAAGAAGATTGGTGGATGTGAGAGCATAAATGTTGAAATGATTTTTATGAAGATGAAAAAAGACTTATTTTAAATTTATTATTTTTACTGATGAAATATATGTCTTATATCTGTAGCCTGAGTGTATCAGTGGTACATATATAATATTTGCATGTATTTTCACTGCATGTTTTTGTCTGGACTAATATTGGTGTGTTGTTAATTATACAATAACTGTATCTTATTTTGATATTCTTTTGCATGTGGCCACATTTGCTCTTTTATTTTGTTTCCTTTGCATGTTGTCCAAGTTATGTTGGATGTTGTTGGTGTTGTCGTGTTGTGCGCGGTTTCCAAATATCAGCTGGTAATTCTGGGCTCTTAATTTGCTCAGAATTCTATCTGGTATTGGGGAATCCTTGCACCTCTCACTGTGTCTATAACCCTGTGGCATGGATGGGCAATGGAGCATTGGTGGAATCAAGGTGTTGATGGTGAAGGGTATTGCAGAATCTAACATATAATCCTTGTGATAGTGTTCCTGGCACACATGTAAATCACCATTATGATATTGTTGTGAAATTGTTGAATGGGTTTATGTAATTTTCTGTATTATCTAATCCTCATTTTTAATTCATATTTTCTGTGTGATTTATTTTGGCTTTGGCTTCAGTAAAGAAAAAATCTTGTCTGTCTTGTTTTATCATTTTAGAGTCTGTGTTTAGTGTCTGTTCATATGTTACTTTATGAAACCTTATCTTAGATCTTATTGGTATTTTTAAAAAAACAACTAAGGTACAGCAGGAAAACAATGCAGCACCTGTATTTATGTCATCTTATGAAACATTTTCACCTACACATTTTTGTTACCCAACTTAAGATGCACCTCACATTTCTTTATTTGATTTTAAACAAGTTTTATTCATAGACTAGGCAACTTCTAGAGTATAGGTTTTTTTATTTTGCTGTTTTAATCCTTGGCTAACATCATGTAAATGTAGCATTAATCTCAGCTGGTAATTATGAGTATTTATCCAAAAGCCTCAAGTTACCAGGTGAGATTTAAGCTATGTTCTACTAACCAACTTACTGTACATTAATGAAAAATATACACAGCTGTTGACCCTGATTCACAATACTAACTGATTTAACCAATTTAACTGGTAGTTTCTGTCTGTTCAAAGTTTGTATGAATTGAACTTCTGTGTTTCTGTACTAAGCAATTTGAAAAGTTAACAATGAAAGCCTCCTGATCTCTCCTGTGTACAGAGATGAAAAAAAAGGAAAACTGACAGTTAGGATACAAATGTTATATAATGTTTACGGAAGTAAGGGTGGCTCATCCTGTGAAATTACCAGTATAAAAAGTATGAGAATGTCATCCATGAGTATTACATCAGGTACTGATGGTGGTTCTCAACTCAGTGCCTTGTGTGATATTCTTGGGTTGCTGCTCATTTCAACACTAGCTGGTTGTAGATGAACAAATCCCAGGGAAGTGAAATACATTGTATTTGGCAACAGGAATGAGCTTGGACTGAAGGTTGCCACCAAACTGAGTATTGGGTGCCAAAGAACTGATTAATTTCCAACATCAAGACCAATTTGGAGATGGGCAGAGAATTACAACTTTTGATTTGTTAAAGAAGGATGGGTTTTTAAAATCCTAGTCAGATGTTATCCCAAACAGAGCACATTTTCATTCCTAGCAACTGCCTCTTTTGCCGTGTTTTATTCAATTGAAATACATATTGCACAGAAGGGTGAGGCTTATTAGCATATTAATCTTATGTGAAGGAGTTGATGAATGGTTTAATAGACTTGAATACAGCACACCATGTCATCAAGAGACTTGTTTTCCCTTCCAGTACACCAGCGTGATGAGCTGTTAAGAGAAGCAGGTGAAAAAATCCGCCAGCTGACCAGTGTAACGGAAGGTCAAGTGGACAAGTAAGTAGGGGGAGAATATTGTTATGTCTTATCTTGGAACAATTTCATTAATCAAACTCTGTATTACTTCACTACAGCACAGGACTTAAGAAATATACCTTTACTCACTTTTTTACATTACATGCAGTGGTGAACAAAAATAATGCACATTATCATGATGAAAATTTCTAACCCTTTGGGATGTCAGCTTTTCATAATACGTTGAAGATATACAAATATATCACTCCTTTTTGTTGTATTTTAGACTTATAATGAAGAACCTGTTCATGGGCTACTTCCACACCCCACCAGCCAAACGCCAGGATGTGGTACTGCTGATCTCGCGGGTCCTGGACTTCACCTCAGAGGAAATGAAAAAGGTTTGTTATGTTGTCAACTTTTACACATTTTTATATGTCACAGCTTTTTTTTTGGTTTTATTGATGTGTGTTGGCTAGAAAACCAAAATTGTATGCAAGTGGATTGTTATCATCTTTATTTTTTGTTCGATTTTTAATCTTTTACACAGTGAGTATCGACATGGAGATTACAACAGTGTTCCCATGTTTTCTTTTGTGCACATTTGAAGTATTTGAACAAAATGTTTTTACAAAATAAGCTTTGTGGATGACAAAAATATTGCAAATAGTATCCTATCCAGAATGTTTTAGCCAAAAATGACATAAACTCATTCAGGTCATGGAAGAGAGCAGTGGTGGAGGTGGCAGACGATGGATTCCAATTCCCAGCATCTGGGGCATGGGACGGTCTCCTTCCACTGACCCGCCAAAGACTCCCACAAAGCAGCCACAGCAAGCGCAGAAAAGTTTTGATCAGGTATGGATGTTGAAATGCAAGTCTTTTTTTAGAAGACTAGTAAATTGATAAAAGTTCTTTATTATGCTCAGCTTTTATCATACTTTTTTGTCAGACATGTTTTGCTATTTTTAGTCAAATCAATTTAGTTAAACATTATTTGGTTTGCTGTCTTTAGTATTGAAGTATAGCATTATTGGAAGGAAAGTGAATTTTTCAACAAATTTACTGCTTGAAAATTTTGCCTGGTTTGACATAATTTGTGAGGCTTCAAATTAGATGTTTCATTTATTTCAGTCATTTTCTGAGTTGTTTGTCAAGTTCCTGGAGCGGGAGTCAAGCCCTCAGCCACAGCTCAAACTCCCAGTGGATCAAATGGTCAGGGAGGAACAGGAAAAACAGCAGCAGCAGCAAAAAGCCAGTTTCAATCCGTTTGCTGCTCCACGCCATGTCGCCTTTCCACTACAAATGGCTTCTTCAGAGCCTTCATCAGAACTTCTACAGCCTCATTTTGGTGGCCTGGCGGACTTGAAACTGTCCCCTTTACCGACATTGTTAGCGGACTCATCTAATACTAGCTCATTGAACAATACACCAAACACAAGTCGTCCATCTAGTCGACAAGATAAAACACAGCATACGTAACATAGTCATGTGATTCCTAGACATAGTAGTTTAATATTGTAGATTCCCCTTGCATTGATGAAGATCATGTATCTCTTATTTCTTTTTCAATTTGAAGATGTATTATGTAAACAGTATTTCTTTAGTAGCATCACTCTAAATATTTGGGATAAAGCTCTTCAATATTTTAGTCAGAATGCATTATCAGACTGATCATGTTGTTATGGTCTGCTACAAAATGAGACGATTCAATAAACACAATTTCAAATCTTTCTTTTCAAACAAACACTCTTATTTCATATCATGGGAAAAGGTAACTTGTTGATTCTGTGCGTATAGTCTGTGTGTATATGTTTTAACGTTACAACTAACTTATTTGTGTTCGGGGGAATTCCTGTTACCTACATACACGGTATATAATCTAAGGAGAATATTTATGTGATGTATGCGCATTTAAAACGTACCAAGAAATGAACGTGAAATTCTGTATCTACTGACCAGTTGCATTTTAACTAATGAAAATAAACCATCGTTAAAATTATTGGTTTATTCCCGTTTATTATGTTGAGACCTATCATGGGCCATATATGATGTCCATACGGTACCTGTATACTGGCAGCACGTCAGCTCAGTATGTCTCATTTTATGCTGAATCTGTGCGGATGCAGTCGTTGGTCGTATTGAAACCGCACTGATTCACGGTCTCCTTTGCCCTCTACCAGGGCTGCAGTTGTGAACTTTTCTCTCACAGTGTAGGAAAGTCTATCATTTAACGGGAGGCATATTCGCGAATATCTGCACGCAGGGTGTACGTCTGCTTTACGACACTGAGACTGAAAGGGTTCCGTGTAAGAATCGCACGCAAAGTTGAACAAGATTTCATCGCACGCCCCCCATGGCAAATGTTATCTAGGCTAAACCAAGACTTTACCGATTTGCAAGTTGAACAGGGTTTTTATGTATGAGCTTCATAGTATCTTTGGAAAGTGAAAAATACTGAGGGTGAGGTCAAAGTACACAGCCATGTAATCCAGTGCTCAGCGTGACGTACCCTGTACCTTAGGGCTTACGTACTTATAAAATACAGTCATGATTCCTTCTAGAGTGAACATTTTGACGTCATGCTGGGGGCTTTGGACGTTATGTTTGAAATGCTTCGTTCCATTGCATAAAGTTAAAGCAAAAAAGTGGAAATATTACGTTATGGCTGCTTATGAAGTGAATGATGAAATAGTCCAAAAAAAAAAGAATATAAGGTTCAAAAGAATTTATGGTTATCATCCCTGCAAACAGGACACCTGTTTTGGAAGACGAAACACTTCCCCATGAAATATTTGCTAGCATCGCTCTAATTGTTCTCTATTTTATGAACCAGTTAATACGATTTATCAAAAGAAACAATGTACAAGGCATTGCAAAGAAATTGAAAGCAAGCCTAACGGGTGTGAAAAGAGCCTAAAATTTAAAAAATCATGATCCCCGAAATAAAGCTAAAGGCAGCGAATTACGCTCGTTAATGAAACCTACCTCGAAACGGATTTTAGCGTATTCAGATATGTTGCCCTTAGAACCCAATTTTAACTTTTAATTTAACCATTTCTTTTAATCAAAACAAAGCACCCGAAACGGGTCTTCTAGGATAATTATTAGATTTTTTGTTCGGTCTGCATGAAATAATATATTACTATAAACATTGGAATGTAATAATGAAAATAATTTTTATTTCGTTGTCAACTTTCATTAACTTTATTGTCATCATCTTTGTTATTATCATTTACGTCTAATGCAGTTTATTTAATTTAAATATAGCAAATTTAAATATATCAATCACAAAGATCACTTTGTCTAAACACACGTTATCGCCGCCTTTGCTTTTTACAATAAAAGAACCTGCTTTTATATTTTTTCGTGTTAGGGCATCCAAGTCTATCATCTCAACGTGTATGTTGAGTAAACATATAAATTTCAGTCCTAAAATGTTAACATAACAAATTCCTCCACAGTTATTGAATATAAACACCCTACACATATTTCATCACAGGATACGTCGTTCAAAATGCCAAGATAATATATAAAAGGCAGACTCAAACAACATTTCACCAAAGGCAATTTTGATTCGAATTCGTTAACTCAGGTCCCGGTTTTTCCTCTGTCTGAATAGTGAAGCTGCCCATCGAAATGATTTCAAAAACAGTCCAGGTTGCATTGAAACTGATCAAATCTGAACTCCTAGGGAATGGTGAGTATTGGGTTTAAAAAAGCTTTTGACTTTCAGCTGTTTCTCGGTATAGCTTTAATTTTCATGGTTATTATTAACATTTTCGTCTTTCAGGTGTTCAATTATGTAGAACTGTATAAGTCAAAGTCACCAAATTCAGCTGCATTTAATGATAAATAAATAATAATAATCAGTTAATTAAACATAGCAACCAAAAAGCTAGGTTAAAGTTGTACAAATGTGTAAGTGCAAATAAAAAATTTAAAGACAAACCAATTGTCTTTTTGATTTAATTAATTGTCTTTTTGATATACAAATTAATGAATCATTTTATTTTCACATCTTAAACTTTAATGGTTTATAATTCACTTTTAAGATCTTCGACAGAAACCAATTGTGAAATATATTCTATATGCACCAGCTGAATACATTATTATCATTATGTATAACATTTAACACCTTGTATCGTAACTTTGAAATAGACGAATATATACCATTCTGCATATGATTTTAAATTTACATGATAATGTGAGTACACTATAGAATGTTTCCCTTTAAAAAGTTAGCAATGCCGTGTAGCAAATTCACGTTTTGATCATATCTCATACTTTTTTTGAGATGTTCATCATTCTTTCATCTTGACATTTTCATGTTTCATTCGCATCTTCTTTCACAAGTACTTGGAAAATTATGAAAATGGTTCGATAAAACAACTTGGCTACGAACATTTTCCTCTTACTTTAATTGCAGGATTTTCTTCGTTCAAAGTGAAGGACCTATCCCCGATACTAAAGAGAAAAGTAAAATGCAAGAAAACAACAAGACGCAAAAATAATAAAAATGGTAGGTGGGCTCTTTTTAAGGAAGATTGAATGTATACTTAAACAACTTGAAACGTTTTCTCCTTGTTTAAACATTTGTGATTTTTTTTTGCATTCGCACAACTTATGAATGTGTGAATGACCTTGCTATTGAATATTTAGTTTGGCTACGTAGTTAGTGCTAATTTTACCCACAGATTCGAAGTGCCCACGACGCCTGAGCCTCGAAAACCTAAATAAACTTTGTGAAGAAATTAAGAGCTTTCGCATAGAAATGAGAGGTAAGACTAAAAATGAAGAGATTTTTTTTTTCAGAATTAAGCGACATTTGTAATTGATCAGTATTACGCCTGTATTATACCAATGAATATACTAATTATTTTAATTATTTAGCGGGATTAGCTGAGAAAGACCACAGAATACAAAATTATTCCCAGGTTTGCGAAAGAAAGAGATGGGGGCCATGCAAAATTGATGTGAATTTTAATGCGGATATGCGTTTCATTTGTATCTGAATTGTAAAACTTGAATGATGTTTTACGGAAATGTATAAAAAGACGAATTTCTGGCCAGCAAGTATACCTTTACAGGGCAATATTAACACGCACGAGGCAAACACGCACGTGCAAAGATTACAAATAGAACCTATCTGGTTTAGTTTTGCCACAGTAGATACATGTACGTTTGTGCTGAAATGATATCTCGGAAATCTTGCAACGCCAATTTCAAGAGAACCGACGGTTAAGTCACATTCACACACTTTTTCTTGGTTGAGTGATGGAGGCGGAGTGAATAATTTAAAATTTTTTTCATTAAGGCTCAATGAAATTGTTATTTCTTATTTTGGTATTTTCATCCTTACTCTTAGTTATTCGTATTTCATATTGGTTAACTTTCTATTCAGAAAAACTTGGATGCAAGTCTCCAACATTTAACCGAAAGAGTGCCCTCAGGAAATCAGTTAAAGCGATGTTCCGAGCAGGACCAAAATTTCAGTCGTGTTTAAAAAGGTAAAATTGCTTTTTTTGTCTATTAATTATGGACTTTCAATGCAGACTTTTCTGCATATGTAAGTTAAAGTTTCAGTGCAATCTGCACGAACTTGAATTATTCATACCAGTAATATAAGGCATCTTATTAATAAAAAAAAAAACGTTATGATGACGTTCCGGAGTAACATAAGGTTGGTCAAATTCTCATGACTCTTACTGTTGATTGTAAAATTTTTTGACAAGCAATCTTTTTGTATTCAAAACAACCTATAGTATGATTTTATGTCTTCTACGTTTGTTATTGTATTTTTATCATTTGTATTTTGATGTAATCTAGGGGCGTATACATTGCAACCCTCCTCTACCATAACGACAAAATCCTGGTCACTAAAAGGGGGACGTTGCCGACTTTCAAAATTGATGACGACTTCCCAAGTGCAAGTTTTAATGCTGATTTCCATTGGATGATGAAGGTATTTAAGATTCTCTCCATATTTTTTATAATGATGCAGACAAAATGTGTTTTGAAGTGTCTCATTGTTGTTATGATGTTTATTATTGTTATTTTCGTCTTTCAGGTGTTGAATTATGTAGAACTGTATAAGTGAAAGTCACCAAATTCAACTGGGTTTAATAATAATAATAATAATAATACATAATTAAACATAGCAATCAAAAAAGGTTGAAGTTATACAAATTTGAAGGTGCAAATAAAAATTAAAGAGAAAAGATTTACTTTAAGATCAAAATAAGCACAGGTCCCAAAAAGCTAGTTAAAAGAAAATGGAGTAGGAGTCTTGTGGAATCTTTCAACTTAAATATTTGGCAACTGAAGGTAGATTGAGTGTTTTATTTCTTCTCTATACAGTTAACTCCCATTTAAAATATTATCTTGCATATACTGTATGAGGGATCCCGACCAGTACCACTTCCACGCCAACCACCCCCTTAGATAGTCAGCGGTTTCCTCTTCCATAATTGGAATTGGAAGCTTCGAAGTACGAGCCCTTCGATCTCCCTGGTTCATCTACTCTAATGAGGGCGATACAACATCGTCGCTTTGCTCGATAAACTCAATCAGATTGCTCGATGAAAACCACTAGAATAATTTTTTATCAAAGCACAGCCCTTATACATAACCAACCTTTCAGCATTTCCTATATATACATACTTGTAAAGGAAATCTTTTCTAAAGAACTAAATGTGTTTTTTCTAGGCTACCTAGGAGGCATGGCCTTGTCGCATGATATACTAATAAGATGATAATTTATTAAACCAATAAAATACACAAAATATATAATATATAATATATAATATCGGGAATCTTTTGCCTTGTAAAAGCAGTTATGTTATCACTTCCTGCAATCCTCTGCATGAATGTCACATGATGTTGATACGAGATGATTAACATAATTTAGTGCTTCATTCCATTTTTCATTTGCATGGAAACGTTGACTATATACAAACTACTGTATGACAAGGTTGTACAACTGTATGTACCTCAGCATATGAAATAACAACACTGACAAGAGGCAAATTTTAGGTTTCCAGAAAAGTTTCGTTTTAAAATATAATAAAATCAAGTAAATGAATCAAGAAATAGCCGCCATGAGGTAAGGCGTAATGGTGTCTGTATATATCGATGCTTATTGGTGTTCATTTAAATGTGATATTATATAAAAACTGCCTTGCAATCAAATGAGGGTTTAAAATATATTGTCACGCTGGTTTTACGAAGAAAAAGATTCTCGAATGTTTCTCAACTTATGTATTGCGAAATACTTTACAGCATAGTGTTACAGTATTTACTACAGGTACCTTTAATTCTAAATAAAACATACTTATGCAACTAAAGCCAATTAGTGTTACGATATGGATAACCAAAGGCTAGTAAGATGATATTTGAGAGGCAGATATTATGTAATATTGTATAATATCATAGACTGTTAAGTTAGCGGATATTATAAAAACAAAGCACTGTTTTGAATTATAATATGACGTGTCCGAAACCTAAATAATATGAATTAAGAAGTTTAGAATGACAAAAAACATTATTTATTACATAATCTGATCGATAAGATTTAAAAGAGTCATTTCTTCAGAAGAGAGGGTGAATTATTTTCTAAATGCTGGTTGGTACATGTACTGAATCAGCAGTGATCACCCAAGATGTGTTGTGCTGAAAGCAATTGCCGTTACGTAGCAAGTTTATGATGGGATATGTTAAGGGTTGTCTAGTACACTTGCACTAGATTTCTCAAACCAACCTCTACCAGTACTATAGCACAGAATAATCACCAAGACTGTTGGATTGTGGTAAGCGAACCCCAGTTACTTTTCCCAGGAGGATATACGAGAAAAAAGCTTATACGTCTTTTACTTGAATAATATTCTGGTAATATCAGTTACTCTACTTAATTCTATTGTCTTTAATCTCGAATTTTTGTCATAATTTTATTAATTTTTGTCATAATTTTATTAATATAATGCGTGCACAAGTTTGGAACAAAAATTATGTATTTTTCAGTTTGTTTGAAATATCTTCCCAATGGTGCCCAATATATGGAAATTATTGTCTTTTGAAGGTTGCGTTTTCATGGAAAGATTCGAAAACTTTACTACAGGACATAGAAAGCACTGCAAATTCACCCGTCATGGAATTTCGCAGAAAGATGCTTCTGGCCGCTGTAGACTTGCAGGTATGGAATGCTGAAAATAAGACGAAAAATGAGGGAGAGACCAGGCATGAGTAGATAGGAAACTGTTTTGTCAGATTTGATTTACTCCACTTCCACAAATATACCTCAAGTCAGGTAATCGAGCCCACGTTGACACATCCGCACACGCACGCGCGTACATGCACACACACACACACACACACACACACACCAAAACGATGATTCTATGCTTTGTTATATATAAAAAAATACACATTGCTGTTACTCTCTCTTTCTGATTTCTAAGTTCTCTGTTTTTATTTCAAATACCATACTTAGGCTTCGCTAGGCATTAAGGACCTTGGTCAATTCTTCTACAAACCTATCAAATGCAGTGAGGATTGCACAGTCTTGGTGACAGTCAGCGAACTTGCCAAATACGAACAATGCAACAGTAATTTAGAATGGACTTCATTAAACAACATCGTGAAAAAAGTTTCTACTTTAGATGGTGAGGAGCTTGGACCATCGGAAGTTGTTCTGAGTAAGGTTAATGTAAGTATGCAGCTATTGAGATAAATTATGTGCTAGTTTTTGTTTAGCCAAAAAATATACCAAAGAAAATAGGCTGGTATCTCTTGTGTCTTTAGGCAATCAGATTAAAAGATTAACACTCCTCCTGCTGGTGTTGATTAAAAAAACGCAAAAGCTACTGATTATACGAGTACTTTGGAAACATGAGGAGGCGTGTTCATCTGTTAAACTGATTGCATTCAAGAGAGTCCACGGAGAGTTAGATCGATCTACGTTGTTTCATTGGGAACGAGCCCTTTAATAACATTTTTTCATTAAACATTTATAAAAAGTTTGAAAAAAGCAATGTTATCTAAATCAGTTGGAAAAAAAAGGTAAAATAAAATGTGAAAATAAGAATTCAATACATTTTTTTTGTATAGGAGATGATCTTATCTCATCAGAGGAGCAATGCCGTTTTACCCAGGGGCTTGTATATGGGCTACCTAAAACTGAAGAGCAGCATGAATCAGATGAATATCCTGGTTTCTAACTCTTTTGTTAATGTCTTACCCTATGTCAAGATCAGAGAATCGCCGGATGTAACCAGGTTAGTAAGCGCTGTATATATATATACATGTATATTCAATCAGCCTTAGTATATAGGCCCCTTTGAAGAAAACAGAAAGGTGAAAAATGAAGTTAAAGATATAGTCGCGAATTCTACTTTTATTAAATCTCTGATGACAGAAAGTGATAAATCAATGCCTAGTAAAGACGGTTTTGAAAATTACTTTCTATGAAAATGCAGTTTTGCCGTGTTTCGTCTAAAACAGTTGACTGTGTCTATAAAGGATAAAACTAAATTGAAGATTTTATTAATGGCTAAAATATTACAATAAAAGTCAAACAACTAAAAATAATGACATTTATGTTGTTTGTGTGAAAACAGATAAAGCTAGTAATTGTTATTTTATTTTGTAAGTTGCTAGACTCGTGTTTTAAATTAACTTCCAAGTGAATAAACAATTCTTCCGCTAACTTACTTTTAATGAAATAATAAAAAAATGTTAAATGGGCCTATATACTGAGAATGAACGAACTGCAAAAAGAGGAACATTTTTTCACTTTGCGAATCTATACACGGGAAGTGCTTTACTGCTACTTCAAATTGCATATCATTGTTCCCAATTGATTTTCAAATGTAATATATGGAACTAATAATCCATTTATAAGATGGAAAAATCTAGCAGTCAGATTCAGTTATAAATCAGTAATAATTCAGTTATAAATATAAAAAAATCTACTTGATTAATTTACATGATTATTATTTATTTTTGTAGAGAGGAATGGGAATTTATTAGAAACCTTGGAAACGATGTGCCCCAAATAAAACCAAAGCCATCTCAGCAACATTTCAGAGAAGATCTGAATCTTGCGTCAGTGAAATTGTTAAACTCATTAAATGTCAGCAAACACTACACCAGATCCCACAGACTCTACGACAGTGAAGTCATTCGCCTCAACCAAGACGTGAGTTTCATTCCATTGCTGCCCCCAGTGGACTGTGTATGCACTGGTCCCGCTCAGCAAGAAACGCCTTTGGCCAAGAGCAAATATATGCCAATACAGGCTTTTGAAATCAGTAAGTGCTATTCACATATAACATTAGTCTTCAAATAACGATTGCTTGTTCCTTTTTTTTCTTCTGGGCAACTCTACTATAAAATCCGGAACGCAATTTAAACAAACAGTATTTGACTGTCATAATTTAGAACTACATTGTTATTACAGTGAATTCTTTCCAACCCATCTTTTTACAGCGAAAAACCCCATATTAATCCCGCAGTCATATTACCTAGTTATTTTTATACTGATAAAATTATAAAATATAAATCTTTGTCTTCCAGCAAACTTAGGCACATACCAGCACGAATACATGGGCCTTTTAAACACCACATCATCTGCGCTAGAGGTCGACTTACATCGGTCAAAACTTGCGAAAAGAGAGGTACAAATGATTATAAAAATATAATTTTGCAGATTTGACTTTATATGTAGAATCTACTTGAATAGCAGGGTGATAATATCATTTGTGACAGATATCTAAACCTGGTCATAGGAAATTATTTCCAGATCATAATATAATAATAATAATAATAATAATAATAATATTTATTTCTTAAAACCGCACTACACTAGCGTCTCAGTGCTGTTTACAGGTAAAATTATTAGGATTACAACTTATTATATATATAATAAAAGCTAAGGTAAAAAAAAAAACAATTAAAATAATTAAAACTGGTTAAAATAGTAATGGTCTGAACAATAAAACTTTTTTCTGATAAAATGAGAAGATATCAATTAAAATACTATGCAAATAAGAATGTTTTTAAATCTTTTTTAAAAACCTCAACACTGTCAATAGTCCGAATGTGTGAGGGTAATTGATTCCATAAAATTGGTGCTGAAATTGAAAATGCCCTGTGGCCGTAGGTTTTGGTTGTTTTTTTATTATCATTTCTGATAAAACAAGGAGTGGAGGTGGATCTGGTAGACCTGGTGAGACTGGGTGTACTTGGATGTAGCATCGAGTTAAAATATGAGGGGCATTCACCTCTAGTGAATTTAAAAACAAACAACAGTAATTTAAANAGGTAGTAATTCTTCTATGCATTCCTTTGTGAGGTTAGTTGGAAGGATGTCCAATTCTGATGATTTTGGCTTAGAGGCGTTTATCAGCTTTTTTATTAGTTCGGGAGTAGCGATGGTAAAATCTCTGAAAAAACTCGGAGCTGTAGGAGGATCAACTTCTTGTATAATGGAGTTGTTAATTCCGCTTTCAAAGGATTTTCGAAGTTTTTCTATTTTGTTATTAAAAAACTCCAGGAACACAGAACAAATGAAAGAAATTATAATATAAATGAAAGAAATTATGACAGTTTGCAGTAAATAGATAAATCACTGAAAATTGTTTATATATCGTGGTAGAATAATTCAGCTTTACTTGGGAATCGGGGTATTACACATTGAAGATTTTTACTATAATTTAAGCAATTTTTTGTATTTCGTTCATCATTTCTCTTTTTTCGTCTATTTAGGCTTTTTCTACAGAAGAGGTAGTAAGTGCCAATGAAATTTCGGGAAAATTATCCAAATATCAGCAGGACTTGGAGGACGCGTGGGAAAGCAAACGCTGGACAAAGAAGGTGGTAAAGATTGCCTTAGACAAGACCCAAACACGAGGTATCTCGCTGGATAAACTTTTATGCAACTGAGACAAGAATCTCCCGAGGTGTTATGTAAATACTGTGAACTGTGATATGTAACATTTACCTGTGATGCAGAACACATCTTTCCATCTTTTGACACGTGCGTCGAAAGAGCCATTCCACTCAGTGTAATTAAGTTTAAATTGTTTAAAAAGGTTGCGCTCTCTTTCTGTGTGTTCCCGTATTTTATTCAAAGTTTTAGTGTTTACACATGTGGTATTCGGTGCATTGCATCCGCATATGAACTACCTGATATGAACTACCTGATTACGGGATCACCTTCTTCTTAAAATTTGTCACGCAACACTGACAGCAAATGGTGATATACATGTATCTTTGAAAATAGCAGTACTTACCGAATAGAACGAATAGAACAGCTTACATATCTAAGGAAAATTTAGCAAGCAGGAAACTTGATAAAAAAAGAACTAAAAACTAAATCGATATTACTTTTAAATTATTCAATTTCTTATGACAAGGAAAATTGATTTTATGCACAGAAATTTAATTATATGAACATCTAAATCGTTCTCATTTATATAGATATTTTCATCTCAAGATATTTTTTATGCTGAATTATGGATTATGTAAATTAATTTATTCAATTTGATACATATTTTCATAGCCATTAATGACGAGGAATCTTCAAATCTTTTTAAAGATTTTAAAATAGGCAAAAGGTGATTATAGTTTTTCAAAGAGCGACAGAACATTACAATCGCACTACTTTCTTAATTATAACGGTCCTCAATTCAGCTGACTTACTTTTCTTAACCACAATCATCATTAAATCACAGCCGATTTGTTTTTTGTTTATCTTTGGATAAAATGAACTGTGTTACAGACATAAGTGTTTACATAATATTCTTGACATATAATGTCGGAGCCATGCTTTTGTTTTGATGACATTCATCGTTGAAAAAAGTTTATTTTACAAATATGACCAGTGTAACAAAAACTTGTCATATTTATTTTCATAATTGTGATTACCACGTGAAAAGGAATAAGCGCAGCGCAAAGCAAAGTGTTAGTGCAATGTGAAGAAACCTTGTATGGTACATATTGTCTCTACTGTTATCAATTAATAGGATACATGGCCATTATGTATATATTGTGTAATTATATTCCAGGTCTCAATTGGTTAGATAATGGAGAATTTTTTATTTCACAATGAACATGACGTTTCATTAACCGGTATGATTGTAACATCATTGGAATTTAAATGATACAACAATATCCTCACTTACTTAATCATATTATGGAACGACACTGTACGATTAAATAAGGCAGCAAGACTTTCAAATGTACATACGTACCAATAACAGTAATAGAACTGTTTAAATAGCAGGGATTATCAGGTTAAATAGTAGCAAATATCCTGTGGATTTAAGGGAATTGTATTCTGAATAAAATAAATGTAAACGAGAATTATTTATTAAACTGTATCTTCTTTTTGTGAATTGTTTAGATATGATAGCCCAGGTTGACACTTATTTTGGATCAAGTAAGTAGGTTTGAGGAAAATAGTTTACTCAGTTTTTACATTAATTGCAATCTGAAGGATTCAATGCTGAAAAAATAATGAACTTGCAAAAATAGGTCAAACAAGCTATTATTCAAAATTGAAATGTGTTTTAATATCACAAATCAGTGGTGTTAACAATGACAGGGCACTGGTGGGGGGAGCCTAGGCTTTTGTCGATTCCATGCAATATCATGTAATGCTAAACAGCATAATCACCACTAATTTTCAATTATGAACTACTGTTACTCTGGACCTTCAAAACATGTTATCAGCACAGGCCCCTGGGAGTTCCAAGGTCACACATAGAAAATGCCAATTTGTGAAAAACAATGAGTCACAAAAAAAAAAAAAAAAAAACTAACTTCAGTAACACGTTGTGCATGTAGATAGAACATTGACTGATATTATGACCTTTAAAGAATTCATGACTTGTACAGAAATCCAAAACACCACCTAAACAAAAACATCAACTTGCACCAATGAATTCACCAGTGAACAGGTTTACAGGGAAATAAATCTGCATTTCTTGGTCAAGGAATATGACCCAAGGACTTAAGTGCAAACATTTTTAATCAAACAAAAGTACTGTGAAAATGGGACAAACCTTTACGTAAATCTACAACAGAGTCTCCTGACCAACATCTCAAAGGGAAGAGATTTCACAATATCACAAACAAGATAGATATTATGATAATACTTTTATTGCTCAAAATTAAAATCAACCTTAACCTATATGAGTTAAAACAACAGGGAAGACCAACAATCAAATTTTAATTGAAACTCTGAATACAAGTTTTAATTGAAATCAAAGTTAATTGAAACCCTGTCCTAAATTGAGAATTGTGCTTAAAACTTACACAGATATCTGTATGAAGGATTTTGCAACGAAAGCTGAGAAAAAAAGGCAATGACTTTTTAAAGTTTTCTTTTAAGATTACAGCTAAAAAATACAATCTAAAATACAAAATGTCTTGGGAGTTCAACCCCCTTGTAGAAGTGGTTATTGGCTAATGCACCATGAAATTCATACCACAATATCACTAAATGATGGTAAAACCCCAGTCCCCATCCGAATCACTCTCCTCACAAGGACAGGAACCTGACCCACCAGCGTAGTAGTGCCCACCACACTCTTCACAATGTGCCTCACGATAATCACCCAAGCATTCACCAAAGTCAGGACACTCTGTGCAGTGATTGTGAAACTTCCCACTATCAAAACACGCCTCGCCATAACACACTCCTGTCACATACATTCCCTGCCCACAGTCCTCAGTCTCACACTTCACACTGGCCTCCTGTCCCCCATTTTCATAATCACTTCCTCCATATTCTTTCTGGTACAGGATATCTTTCACTGTTGCCGCCATCTCTTCCTCACAGGAGGCGCAGTTTCCCTCAGCAATCACAGTTTTCAGTGACTTTTTCCCTGTAAGCTTGACATGTCCTAGTAGAATTCCTCGTTTCAGGCACTTGTTTACCTTCTCTGGGTTTTTCACTCCGCAGCATGAAAGGAGCTGGTGTACATCTGCCACTGATAAATATTTTTTCTGGTTCAGAGCATCTATCACTGAAATGGGCTTAGTCAATCTGGAATGAGATTTCAAAATGGATTACTTTGTACTTTCCTTGCAAAAGCCAACAACAATCCACATGTGCTTAAATACTGGTGTGAAGAAAGCTTCAGTGTAGGCTTGTTTCTCTTTTGGGGTGTAAAAGTAGTCTCCCTCATTAACTAACACAGCTGGGAGCCCCGAGGGTCCACTATTCCGTACGTCTGCCATTCATAAAGTCCGCAATTCCAAGGGTATGCTATTCCGAATGTACATAAAGAGCACAAACAGCACAAAGATGGCAAATGCAATTCTTTGAGACAGAGGTAAGTGTCCCAATTATGCAAATAATATCATTTGTTCAAACATAGATTTTGCATCAGTAAACTTTTTGGAATAGTACTACTTTCAGAATAAGTGACCCTAAAACCATCCAACTTATATGACTTGTGAACTCTGCAAGGAAGAAGGGCTATATGCTCAAGAGAAAAAGGGTTTATGGAATAACGTGGTTATGAGAGCCAAAATATATTTACTAATCAGAATTATAAAAATTTAGTTTTGAAGTATACATTGTATTGCAAAGCTGAAGTAATTTTGGGCCCTATATATGTGGTATTTTTTTAAAGGCAAAAAACAAAGAAATTAAACACCTCAGTATAACATCAGTTTATACAATAATTTAATATCCTAACTTTACCTTTCCACAAGGTCCATCTTGGAACCTCCAACTTTTAATCCTCTGCTTTTTAAGATGTTTTTCAATTCTTTTATGGTCATTGATGTATAATCTACTTCCTCGGAGTCATGAGTAGAGCTTGTTGAACTTCTTTTTCTCTTTTTGGCAATTTTTGCTGGAGGTTTAGGAACTTTGGTTGTTGTGTCTGAATCAAAATAAGAAATATATTGATCAGCTAATTCAGTGTATGCTCCACATATCAATGCAACATGCAAAACATATCTGAAAACCACTGACCATATATGTATACTTAAAAGAACTTAACTGTACCAGGTATCCTACTGAAAATTTTAAATCCTGTGGTGCCTGTTTAAGCTTATAAAAAAATCAAAATTCAAAAGCAAACAATGTTGTATAAGGCATGTTGTACAGTTTCCGTTATGATGACTTCTATTTGACGAAAGTTCAACAGCCCGGGAGCCACCGGCTCATATGACGGTTATTTTGGAGAATATTAGATTGGGCCTCGTTTTCAAAACTTGAAGCGGCGGCCATATCCAATTTGGCGGGAGGAGCAGGCATAGAGACAGGTAAGATGAACAGACGTTTACACGCTGATATGTTGATAATTTTACTAATGCACTTGACAGAACGATATAGTATGTTCTCAAGCTATATTTTTTATACCAAAGTAGTGTTTAAGTATCGGTTTCACTGAATCTTTTATCAAGTTACTGTCGTGTTCCAAAATGGCGGCACACAGAACCGAAATGTAAACACGTTCTTTTGAATTGTGCCAAATGCAGATGAAGGTGATTTTTCTTTGTCTGTTCAATTTTTTTTATAGTGTGACATTTGTTTTTGAATATGTTAAAATTTTAGGAAGGAACCTAACCTGCAACTTATCGATTTTCTACATGTACGACAGGCAGTATATTTTGCAATGTTCCAAGTAACTACAGCAGCAGTCTCGTGTTACATCTTGAATGAATGTCGAAGTTTAATAATGAATTCTTGTCTTTTTATGCATTTCTTGTTGTTTTGAAGTTAACTAGATTAAATTTACTTCATGAAATGACAGTGTGTGTGGTTGTGGTGCTCACAGTAAAGTGACTATGGGGAATGTATTGCCTTATGTCTTGTATGAATGTCACAGTAAGATATTGAGAATTTGCCTTCTTCTGATATTTTTTTGTGTTTTGGTGTTTATTAGATGAAATGGCTTGTGAATGACATGCAGTATACTTGATTCTGCATAGATAGATATATTATGAGAGGGAGATAGATCACTTTTGAGGATATGAAAGTCATTGTTTAGATATTCTGCAAATCCCTTTTCATGCTATTTCTTTGCATTTTGATTTAAGTAAGATGAAAAAAATACAGAAAATGTAATATTATCCATGAAAAGGAGTTAAACTTATACAGGAATGTGCAATAAATAATAGGTTTATCTACCTTTTTTTACTTTCCATGACCTTGATCATTGACAGTACAAAGGCTTATTTTAAGCTATCATAATAAGGTATCAGTATTACACAGCTGAAGNTGTATGTGGGGGTCTATACGAATGCGCTTGCTCCAGCTGGTGGTACAATATTCGGAGGGGGTATCGCCTCTCTGATCCTCTAGTTATTTAGAAACTTTTCACTATGTGACTATTTGTGGATGGCATGATTTAATGTTGGGGGAAAAGGGTGTTCCTTGCCCACTGTACCCTATCCTAATTTTATAGGTTCATTGCAACATACCCCATTTTTCAACTTGAACGAAGTGGACTATATCATATACACATATATACATGTACATACACCCTGGTAGATGTTTTCTTTCGCGCTGACACTTAAGCATTATTATATAGTAGTGAAAAACTACAAAAGAATCTTAACATCTTTTCATTCATAGGGCGAGGTTGAAAAGATTTTTGATAAACTCAAGAAGTGTCTGGACGACATGCAGGTACTCAAGGACCACGTCTACCAATATTTTGCCGTAAGCAACTTGGCCGAAGATGATGGGGAGTTCGCTGAAATAAAAAGAGCGATCGAAGATTTGTGCGGTTATAGCAGCAACAGTATTGCTACCGTTCAACATCTTTCAGTGAGTTGGATAAAATTGGAAATGAATTTGGCAGAGAAGAGTGAAGAAAACCCCATCATAACTATTGAAAAACTGAGGGAAATGGCACAAAGGGTAGGACTCCCAGATGAAGAATTACAAGAAAAATTCATTCCTTACCATCACCGTCAAGGCGACATCCTACACTTCAAAGTTGATGGACTGGAAAATGTCGTCATAATAGATCCACTTTGGTTAGCAGTTGTGTTTTCTGCCATCATGACCATGGCCAGCAGTCAACCCGGAGGCAGTCACTTCAATCTCCTAAAAGACGATCTGAAAAGAGGGGTTCTAAAGGAGGAGGTGTTTGATGAATATCTAAAACAAATCAAAATGGCCGAGAAAAAGACTGAAATCATTCAACTTATGCTGCATTTCGACTTGATGTTAGAAATATCCCAATCAGTTGAAAACCCTCTGCCCGGGTCTAGAAAAAGAAGATTTGTCGTGCCCAGTATGCTGGTATCCAATAACAGTGCAAATAACGCCTTGACTGAGACGGATCCACAGAAATATTTGCTTATTGCATTCCCTCACATTCTGTTTCCTACCGGGTTGTTTCATCGTCTGATCGTCCGTCTTCTTAGGAAGTATAGAGCTCAGGACTATGAACATAACATTCCAGTTGTTGGGTTTGACCACGCCTCCTTCCGTATGGTTGACAAACAGTCGGTGCTCCATCTTGCCATTGAAGAAAAGGCCATGAGAATGATGATAACAAACGCTACTGGACACAAAACAAAACCTCACATATACTTAAACGCACGGAAAACCGTCGACGAAGAGCTGTCAACTCTTAGGGATACATACTGTCCCAGGATGCAGTTTGAATTCCGCATTAGGGTAAATAACAAGGGAAAAGATATTGCAATAAAAGCAGAGGACGTCCAGGAAAACGAGATCTGTAGATCTGTAGAGGGCTCTGAAAATGCAATTGATATGACACCGTATCGCATTTGGTTTTCAGGTAAGCATTAAAATTTTACGTAGTTTTGCTGTGAACAGACATTAAGTCGCTATATAATTAGGGGTGATATAGTCATTGATATTGGCGATTCCTCAAACTGATGTAAATGCAACTAATAATCTTGGAAGATGTACTAAGATGTAGGTGTAGGGAATTTATATTTCAAATGTTTGCCAATAAACCAATCTATATGGAATGCCATTCACGCAAAAAATGCAGAAGTCAATTCAACAATCTATCGGCACTATTTAACAGCCAAAACCTACTTTAACTATCTAAACTTAATTCTACTAAATTAGTTTTTGTCATTTTAATCATTCGTCAAAATCTAACAATCATTAAACGATTCAAAAGTCAGTTACTGCAACTCAACAATTAGTCACCGCAACTCAACAATGTATTTTTGCCTGAATGGCATGAATGCATGGAACGCCATTCACGCAAAAAATGCAGAAGTCAATTCAACAATCTATCGGCACTATTTAACAGCCAAAACCTACTTAAATTATCTAAACTTAATTCTACTAAATTAGTTGTGGTCATTTTAATCATTCGTCAAAATCTAACATTCAATAAACGATTCAAAAGTCAGTTACGGCAACTCAACAATGCATTTTTTGCGTGAATGGCGCGATGCATGGTGCGCCATTCACGCAAAAAATGCAGACGTCAACTCAACAATCAGTTTCAGCAACTCAACAATCAGTTGTCGCAAACGGTCATTCGCGGACTTAACACCAGATGGCGCGCGTGCACCGTCAGCGATCTGAAACGTCCTTGACCTTTTCCATGTTTTCAATTCCGCATATTATGCGAGTACATGTGGTTCATCGTGTTCGTATTGTCATGATATAGTTAAGTATATAATAGTAGGATTGCGTTCAATCACATCATACTGAAATTAGATATGGCAATGAACCACATGTACAGCCCGGGAGCCACCGGCTCATATGACGTTTATTTCGGAGAATATTAGATTTGGCCTCGTTTTCAAAACTTGATGCGGCGGCTTTACCCAATTTGGCGGGAGGAGCAGGCATAGAGACAGGTAAGATGAACAGACGTTTATACGCTGATATGTTGATAATTTTACTAATGCACTTGACAGAACGATAAAGTATATTCTCAAGCTATATTTTTTTTAACAAAGTAGTGTTCAAGTATCGGTTTCACTGAATCTTTTATCAAGTTACTGTCGTGTTCCAAAATGGCGGCACACAAAACCGAAATGTAAACATGTTCTTTTGAATTGTGCCAAATGCAGATGAAGGTGATTTTCCTTTGTCTGTTCAGTTTTTTTTATAGTGTGACATTTGTTTTTGAATATGTTAAAATTTTAGGAAGGAACCTAACCTGCAACTTATCGATTTTCTACATGTACGACAGGCAGTATATTTTGCATATTCCAAGTAACTACAGCAGCAGTCTCGTGTTACATCTTGAATGAATGTCGAAGTTTAATAATGAATTCTTGCCTTTTTATGCATTTCTTGTTGTTTTGAAGTTAACTAGATTATATTTACTTCATGAAATGACAGTGTGTGTGGTTGTGGTGCTCACAGTAAAGTGACTATGGGGAATGTATTGCCTCATGTCTTGTATGAATGTCACAGTAAGATATTGAGAATTTGCCTTCTTCTGATATTTTTTTGTGTTTTAGTGTTTATTAGATGAAATGGCTTGTGAAATTACATGCAGTATGCTTGATTCTGCATAGAAAGATATATTTTGAGAGGGAGATAGATCATTGAGGATATGAAAGTCATTGTTTAGATATTCTGCAAAACCCCTTTTCATGCTATTTCTTTGCATTTTGATTTAAGTAAGATGAAAAAAATACAGAAAATATTATATTATCCATGAAAAGGAGTTAAACTTGTACAGGAATGTCCAATAAATAATATGTTTATCTACCTTTTTATACTTTCTGTGACCTTGATCATTAACAGTACAAAGGCTTATATATTAAGCTATCATAATAAGGTATCGTTATTACACAGCTTAAGAGATATATAAATATATACTGCCAATAGTGTAGCTTTTCATAACAGTCTGTTGGAATATATCTTGAACATATTTTTTATTTTATCATAAATTGAATAATATATGATGCCCAACAGAGAGGATATTCACTATGGAAAAGTCGATTTAAGGTACTGGGATGTCAGTGAAGAGCATTGTTATCAGCCCAGCATGTGTGTGCATGGGATGAGTGTAGGGGTACACATGCTTGTAAATTATCCAATGAAACTATTTTCACACTTGTAACTTTTATAGTTGTGAAAGATACCAAATTGAAAACCAATCACAAGCATCTTTTCAAACATGAATAACAAATTTTAACTTTTCACATTTTTACNCTGCCTTGTAGACTTATAAAAATAAATTCAAATGCAAGTATGGATTGGTACAGGACTAACTGGGTATCGGTGAAAAAACTGCTGACCCAAGGTAAATTTATAAAATAATATTATTATTAATATTGATCCTGTTTTTAAAAGGAGTGGTGTGTTGGTTAACTGTATGTACTGATTAATAAGTGTAAAATAATCGCAATATTGATGTGTTGCTAAAATAAAAAAAAATTTTTGCCACAAATAAACGTGTATTACATGTATGAAAATAAAATATAGCAAATTGAATTGATGTATCTTTTGTTTTGTTTTTTCGTTTTTCATAAAAAAGGAACTCTTATTGGTTGGCCTCATATAATAAATAAATGCTTATTTATAAAGAAAAAATATGAAATGTTAATTTTCCTCCATTCTTCCTGTGCCAGCTTCATTTGACTATATAGACTAATGAGCGGAGGAAAAACCAAAACGAGGTCAGAATACCAACAGAATGTACTGAGTCAAAACGAGGCTGGTACACGGTTGTTGCAAGGAAGACACTTTTTGCATACACGGGTGTGAATTGATTTGTGCCATTCCTGGATGAAGGTAAAGTTCCTTACATGCTTACATTTACAGAAAGCTGAATAAATTTGCCACAGCTTACTGGTAATTTGAAATTGGAACCTGTTCTCTAAGAATGCAAGCATTAGAGTCGAAGTTGAACTTCCGCTGTAGCTTAAGTAAAATATTTGGTTTCAAACTCGTTTTTCTCCACAAAATAGGGTTTAAATCAACTCGAGGAGCATCTGACATGATTTGCAATTTACTTTTAAAAATGATAATATACATAACAAAACTTTTATATCCTGAAAGGCCGAGATATTCCACCGTTTCTGACACCCTACAAATCTCAAAAAATTTCACCCAATTCAAATTCTTGAACTTCCGGTTTGGTTAAAAGCCACCTAGCGGCAGACCGGTGGCTCCCAGGCTGCAATATATATTTTTACCTTTGCCTGTTTCAGTGGCGTTTGGAAATGCAGCCATATCAAGGCAAACGTCTGAAGCTCTGGCGGGAGATCCCATGCTTTAAAATCTCAGTGTCCTTGGTTTAGAATTATGCAACTGATATGAAATCCAATCGCTATTCTGTCAGAATCAGAAACCTAGCTACGTTCGACAAGAATCTGAAAAGAGAAAGAATCATTAGAATTTAGATAACAGCGGGGTGAGAAGTCACGTCGCATCTGTTGTCATATTTCATACTCAAACTGTTTCATGTCCAACCCGACTATGTGGCGGTCTTTAACGGTTTTAAAATGCAGACCAAAACGTTAGTAATACACCGCCATCTCTTGCCTGTAGCTTTAAGCTTGGTATTTTCAACTTCACTGCTTACCGATGGGCTTCAGATGGTAGCGCCTCAGAAAACAAGTGTATTAATTGCGCATGCGCGATATTTGAGAACTAAAAATGACACTTTCTATCAAACGCTTCTTCTCTAACACAGTTAGCTCATCACTACCGTAAACTGCAATTCCTTCTTGCAAATTTTCTTGCATACTCGTTGCCGCAAACTTTTAGTTTGCACGCAGCTTTATTCCACAGTTAGTACGATAGGGTCTGGAAATGGTCCCTTTACCTTGTAAATGCTTTCCTAAAGTATTGGCGGCATAATTTCTTGTGATTCTTCTCATCGTGAAATATCAATTTTTTTAAATCTTGCATATTTTAGTCGACTTTTCAAATTTTGCTGTTAAGTTAGCCTCAATGTGTTTTTTTTTTCGGCATGAGCAGAGGTTTTTCCATTTTCAGTTAATCTAATATTTATTCGGATTCTCTGCTTCCGAAGATTGAAATATCGCCATTTAAATGTTATTTTGTTATTTCAGAACTGCAAACGCCTGACTAAAGCTTCCCTGGCCTTCGAGACGTATTTTAAAATCTGCCGCAGATCCAGATCCATTCGAAGAGGAGACGCTATGCTATATGTTGAAAATTGTACATGGTCTCTCTCTCTCTCTCTGTCTATTTTTAAACATATTTTAACATATTGAAACGGTGCACTAAGATCTATCGTGTTCCCTTTAGAAATTATACTTAGAAATCGATCATTTTTGTTTTATTTACATATATATTATACCCTAGGGACTGATCATGATATTTTTTAAATTATACCTTAGGGCATGCTATGTACATCATTTTATTTGGAACCAATCCAGCTTCTTTTTAAATTCATCTCATTATGCAATAGTGCAATTATTAAAGTGTTTAAAATGACATGAAGTTATTTTCAGAGTGTTTGCAAATCACAAATGTCAAAGTTGAGAGTAAAAACGCAATTTTCACGATGTTGAAGCTCGGGTAAGATTGTTTATTTAGCCAATCAATTGCCTTATCATATTATTAAATTTACATTGTATAAGTCAATTTTATTGTTAATATTTACACTTGTGAATGACAAACAATTTATGAAAATAAATGCGGTTTTGGGGGGTAGTTTTTGATTCAATCTAAAATATACAAAATTAAAATAAAATTGATGTACTGGCTTCTTAGAACCTATACTATACTCTATTTGGAATGCATTTTTTGTTTTCCAGATAAAATCTAAAAGTGCTATTGAATTTTGTAAATGAAAATTTTGAAATTAACACAAAGCAGTTTCATTATAATGTCACGAATTATTAATTTGAGTAAATTCTGTAGGTGCCAATTTTCACATTTATCATTTCGGTCAATAACATCGCCTGTCGGCCTATTCTTCCTCCAATGAATCCAGTCCTGTTCAAAGGCTGTTCCATTTCCTCATTATCTTTTATAATTTGAGCACACGAGTCCTCCAGTGAATATTTTAATTGTTTTTTCGTGGTTTTCTGTCATTAAAGATGTCATATAATAAATAATACTTTGGTCTTTGCTTGTAGATTGAAATGAATGATACTCGTATGCCTGCATTGATAACGAGTGAGAGAAAAAACCGTCTCGTATTTGGGCGAGTCTTCCAAACTTGAGGGGTGAAGGTGGAACAAGTCGATTCGGTGTCAGATGGGGCGAGTTCATTTCATTTTAGGGGTGACAGGTGGGGCGAGTTCATTCCATTTAAGGGGTTACCACTGGGAAGGATCCATTCCATTTGAGGGGTGACAGGTGGAACGATTCCATTCCATTTTAGGGATGACTGGTGGGTCGAGTTCACTTCATTTGAGGGGTGACAGGTAGGAAGAATCCATTCCATATAAGGGGTGACAGGTGGGGAAGGATCCATTCCATTTGAGGGGTGACAGGTGGAACGATTCCATTCCATTTTAGGGATGACTGGTGGGTCGAGTTCACTTCATTTGAGGGGTGAGAGGTAGGAAGAATCCATTCCATATAAGGGGTGACAGGTGGGGAGAGTCCATTCTATTTGAAGGGTGTCAGGTGATAAGTGGGGCGAGTTCAATCTATTTTAGGGTGGCAGGTGGGGCGATTCCATTCCTTTCTAGGGAGTCAGGTGGGGCGATTCCATTCCATTTTAGGGGTGACAGTAGGAGCGAGTCCATTCTATTGGAGGGTGACAGGTAGGACGATTCCATTCCATATAAGGGGTGACAGGTAGGGTGAGTTCACTTTGTTTGAGGGGTGACGGGTAGGACGATTCCATTCCATATAAGGGGTTACAGGTGGGGCGAGTCCATTCTATTTGAGGGGGGTCAGGTGGGATGACCCCATTTCATTTGAGGGGTGACATACATGTGCTACAAACAAATTAAAATATTATGAATAGAATGCAAGATCGTAAATTTATACTTTATATTGAAATTTAGATATTCTTTCAGCGGGTTAGACCTTTAATGTCCAATTTTATATGTACAAAATGCTGTGCATAATTAAAAAGCTTTAAACTATATTAATTTTAAATATCGCCAGGTTTCATAGAGAACCGTCATTCCCCAAAGAAAATTACACAAATTTTCCAGATTGAACTTGAAACAGTTATCACATCTATGTAATTTTTAACCTTTCCCATTTTAATATTGCTGTACTGTGTATTTTATATCAATATGAAAAAATAACAAGGAATTATAGAAATATTTATTCGAATTTGATATAAGAGATGAAATTGATGATATATATATCAACCAAAGACCTTGTTGCTTGCAGGCCCATGTTGCACAGTTTCTCCGTGGGCTTCTGAAAAGACAAAATAACGCATAAAAATTTTGATTCAATTGACAGACTGAGATCATTTTGACTTATTCTAGAGAAGCGCAAAACATCTTATTTGAAAATTTTCTTTTAAGAATATATGAAATAAATTGCACATAATTTGGATGAAAGTACAATCAAGTTTTAATATACATGTAGTTGGTCATGTAATGGAGGGACAGAATACGGCACACTGGAGACGGTAGTCAACCTGCGTAAAACTCATCTGTAAACCATCGCCTGAGCAATTGACATGTGCGTTAACGTGTGTTGTATTATATTAAAAACACTTACCTTACAAAAAGATCTTTGACAGCATGTCAATCTTTAAGCATAAATGGATTGCCCAAGTGTAATCTGAAACAAGTAAGAGAACTTTAATAGTTATGTGGACCCTCATTCTTGTAGTAATAATAATAATAATGATAAAATGATGTATTTCAAAAATTGCTAATTTTTCCCAAGTGAAATGATCGATCCATTACAGTACATGAATATAACCCAAAAGAAATCGCTGAAAACCATCGTAATTGTCTTCAAAAGCGACGTTTGAAATGTTAATTAAATTTGACTTAAAATTGATGTACAGACTTCTCCTTGTATCCAAAACTCAGAACTATGACAAGTAATATTATCTAAATGGATCAATCTTTTTTGTGCAGTTATGTTTATACTTACACGATTCAAACATTTTAAATGGTCACAAATAAGCTTTTAATTGCTAGGGATCATACAAAAAAATTTACACGCGCAGAACTAAATATAGCTAGTACGAAAGATTTCAAGCAAACTTATTGTTTCATCAATGGTCAGCTGATAGCACCATTGCATTTCTCCTGTACGTTTGTAGTCCTGCAAAGCGTTGTAACATTGTGACATTACAAGTAACGATGGGCAAAATATTACAACAAATCGCGCTACTAATATCTACAATTAATTTTCTCTCATTCGGTTGCACTTGTGTTTTATTGAGAGAGGTTATTGAAGAAGTAGTGCTACTTACCATATACTTGCTTCTACGTCTTATAAAAGCTGAAACTTGTGAATTCACCACACATAATGTTGCGTCTTCACTCAACTGTGCCCAACTGCAGAGTGAGTATTCAGCTTGCACTACGTCGGGCAACTTATTGTTATGCAAATTACAACAGATTTGGCCCATTTTGGGTGAGAAGTTTTGGTTAAAACTGCTCACAAATGTTCACTGCCAAAATATTATCAGTACACTTTTGATACAACTGAAGTCCACTTGTTGTTAAAATATACTACCCAAATACAAAAACTACTTTTAAAAAACATAATCGAATAAAACGTTTTTATGATTCTGTCTGTATCTTAAAAGCCAAGATCCACAGTATTTTATATAATGAAGTCAATCAGTAGAAATAGCTTAATATGGGCAGGACAAACGGGTCCTTTCTATATAACTGGTCGCTAACATATTCATCCCGAGCGAAGTTGTATTGGTCACACATGAATTTTTTACTTTGATACTGTGACGACGTTACTGACTTTGTCTTGGTGGCGCGAGGTAATAACTAAACAATTCCATGTTTTCCCATATTCTTTATTATCGCTTTCTAACTACGCTATCTACAGTTTATTCCTCTACGTTCAACTTCTTACATCGTTCTCCCCGTCTACATTACATTCTTCGCTTAAGTACAATAAGGTCGTGTCAATCAACTAAAGTGACACTACAAAACACTCCCCGCTCTTATTCGCTGCATGCTGTCACTTACTAACGTTACATTATCTCCCGGGGACGATATGCCTGTCCCCAGGCATATTTAAAATTAAAATATACATTAATTAAAAATAAACTTTCTTAAACACTGCATTTGTCTATTATCATAAATTCATGCAAAACAAAACTAAGTACATAGATATTTTATAAGAAACTTATGATAAAATAGAAATACGTTGGACATGAAACCCAAAATATAACTCAAAGGAAGATAGATTGACAACTCTTCAGAAAATATGGTTGTTCGTGGATGTGCATTTACATGTTGTCATGTGTGGCCCAAGAGTACAGATACTTTTAATTGTTTTCTCTGCGCAGATGTTTAAATCTGTTACTCTCTTATTATGGCTCTGACACATTTTCAACGGTTTCTCTCTTTTTCTTGGTTGTCATTTTAGATTTAGTAGGAATGCACCAAGTGAGACAATCGGGCGGTACCTTCCCTGTCTAATGAGCAGCATTCACCACAACGGTGCGACCAGCGCATCGTTCATGATGAAGTACCTGTTCATCTTCATATTTGTCCACACTGTAGCG